TAAAGAATATATAACTCCTTTATTAACCCTTTATTATATTAAATAGTACCCCTCTTTAGAATTAATAAAATATAAATTTTTTAAGTTTTTATATTATAAATATTAATAGATTTTTATTATCTAGACTACGACCCGGTATAACGAGTTCTAATATAATATATAAGTCCCCCTATATTAGTTCTTTATTAATAATAAATAGCTATATTATATTTAATATAATTAAACTAATTTTAAAAGTTAATATAATTACTCCGAAGCCGAAGGATAATAATAAAAGTTCGATTTTAATTAATTACGAAAATAAATCGACGTTAGTTAATATAATATTAATAAAAAACTTTAATAAAGATAGTTAGTACCCTACCTCTTTAATAAATAATAATAATTGAGTTATATTAAACTATATAAATAGCCCCTTCCTCTTTTATAAACCTATTAATTTAAGTTTTAATTTCTTTATAAAGTTAACGACCGGAACTATAAAAGAGGATACTTAAATAACTACGAATAATAAACGGTCGGCTAACGATATATTTAGTCCTAATATTACTATAACCCGAACTATTAAAAAAAAACTAAAGTTATTAGTTTTTAACCTAGGACTTAAAAGACTAGGAATAGATAAAGAATATAAGTAAATAATTTATAATTAATTACGAGAGGATTAATAAGAAATTAATAATATTACAAAATATTAACGTAGACTACCTAAATAGATTATTTTAAAAAAGACTCGATATAATACTTTAAATATAGTATAATAAAAAAATAATTTTAAATATAGAGGACTAAATTTATTAAAGAGTTCTTTAAATAGCGATAAATATTTACCTATTTAAAAAAAGTTAGTATTTTATAATAGTACGCAGCGAGTATTAGTTTATAACCGGCTAAATATATCGATTAAAAAGTACTAGGACTATTAATTAAATAAATTAAATAAATATAAGCTAATCCTCGAGTACTAAATAGAAAAAATAATAAATAAAAGACGCGACCCGTTACCCTATTTTAATAAATAGTTAGATTATAAAATAAAGGCTAAAAAATTAAAAAGAACTCCGTTAAAGGGGTTAATTAAATAAATATAAATTAATAATAGAGTTATATAGGTAGATACTAAATAAATAAGTATTAATAAAGGTATTAAAAGTTATAAGAGTTTTAATAAAGACGAAGGAGTTTAATTTTCTTATTAAGTTCGTTTTTTTTATAACGAGTCGACCTTTAATATAATATACGAAGCAATATATTATTATATAATAAATATCGATATTTAATTTAATACTTAATACGATATATTTTTATAACGCGGTTTTATTAATTATATATTAATTATATATTATTATAATATTAAATAAAAACTTGCAATAGATAGTAGTTAATTTATTTTAAGGGCGTTATATTAGCGGCGGATATATAGATAAAGAAGACCTATAATACCGATTAAAAAGTTCCGGGGGGACTTAGACGGGATATATATATAGGCCTCGAGCTATATAACTCCTAGCTAGTAATCTAACCTCCCTTTTATATACCTAATACTACCCCACCTGTGCGGCCTCTTACTCTCCTCCGCTCCTAGGTGTCACGGTGTCTTCCGTCCACCGGCCTGGACCGCTGCCGTTGGTCGCATGCCTCCTTGGCATCCATAATTAGCAACTTTGGAATCAGACAGGAGGGTGTAGCCGCTGTCACACAAAGTCAGGTACTCAGCCAGGAACTCTGCTGCTGCTATCAATAAACCTCCGTATTCCCCAATCTCTCGAGTTGCATCGTCGTCAAAAGCAAAGCAAGCTGCTATAGCGCGACAATACTTAAGAGGTGACTGAGTTCTCGTCATCTCACCATAAAAGCATTGAGCAACACTCATCCTCTCTCATGCCCATCCCTCGGTATCACCTGCGCCTGAGGGAACAAAAACGAAAAAAAATGTAACCAAGTTCCTTACCGCTGCGAGAGCCCCAAGAAAGCTAATAATATAGCTTCCATCTACCGTGCAGTAGCCTCCTTTTACCCCGCCGTGCCTGGCCAATCTCTCAACACCACCTGAACCACCACCGTTACATGGGCGCATGTGTCTCCCATCTAAGGATCTTAGGATGCAGGCTTAATTGCGAGAGACACGAGAGGCACACAGACCGCCCCAAGCCACCCATCGTTCGAATTAGCCAAACTCACTGTCCGTACGGAGTACCACGGTAAAACAGAGTAAGACTGGCCTTTGATGAGTGACACCTCCAACGGTTATCCGGCAGCAATCCAAGCCCAGACAACCCAGCCATGGCCAGCCACATGCCGCGGTGCCGTCAAATTCCCCTCACTAAGACGTTAAACCAACTTGGCGCAGTCACCTCTCGTCGCGCCGCGAACCCTTCATCCAAAGCCTACTCTGGCTCTTTTGGCGACCTCATTTTGTGTCCGGACTCATTTCGGAGGGTTCACTTACATCAGACGAGTCACGATGTCTGGCTCTTTGAATGAGCTGTTCTCGTTGAGGACCCTATTCAGGCTTTCGGCTGTACTCGTCCGTCGATGGGGCTTGAATCTGGCAATTGAGTACCTTGAACACGTTTGCTAGGTATTTTTTTTTTTTGACTAATCACACCGACGGATCTTCATCATCTCATCGCTCCGAAATAGTTCACTGTAGAGGATCTTTCTTTCACAGTCCATGCTTTCCCTTCCTGTTGTTCCGCCCACACCGGAATCACCACGGTAAACCTCCCCAGCTCTCCCGAAGCACGGTCGCCCTGAATCTGTTTACTCGCCTCGACTCTGTGTTTCTCCGATGAACCGTAACAGTTCAGACTCATTGCACGTCTTAAACTACATTTGAGACACCTGATCACCCCCTCGGTTCCTCAATCCCGTACCGGCCCCAGGTACGGGAAGTGGGACGGGGGTTTGGGGGACACAGGGCAGTCGGTGGAACTTCCCTTCCACTGCTTGTTGGAACCAGGATGTCTGTCATATCAGACACCAAAGGAAAAAAACCTGAACCGTTTGTGACGTCCAACGTGGGCAGCAAAACTCGTCGACTCTTTCCGTTGTGAGTAACTGCGTCGCATCAAGAGGACACGCAGAAGGGCGGAAAAGACACTGTCAGAAACAAAAGAATTGCTTCTACTGACTCGAATCTCGACACAAGTTCCATTGATGATTTGAGAAATAAGAACCAACAGCTACAAAATTTAGCACACCAAAGCAACAGGCGCGTTCCTGGAATGGCTGGAACGAGGCGCCGTCCGCTGATGTGATGATCTACAATAAGCACCATGCCCTAGACAGCTCTAACTCGACTAAAGCCAAACCCGGACCGCCGCCCAAAGTAAAAGACTACCTTACCTTGAATAAATCATAAGCAACAAAAATGGCTTTTTATCGCTTTTGCCAGGATCTGATGCATATGCGGACTGAAATGCACAGCGGCTCCAGGACCCCAACACCAGCGGCTCCTGAACAATGAAAGCAAGAAAACACAAGCTGCCAAACCAACACGGGCGGCTAGGTGCATACAAAGTACATCGCCCCCCACCAAAGGAGCAGCAAAGAAATGCGTGGTAAAAATCATGCATGATTTCGGGGGGTCGCGATCGCAAGCATTAGCGCGCTGCCCCCCTCTTCTCGCCCCTTAAGCCACTGGTCCTTACTGGCACCATTCTTAGTCCAAGACTCTTAGTATAGATTGTGTTTGCTTAATGAACCTGTCAGGATAGTCCCAATCCCCAACCTCCACTTCCTCCTATGTCTGTGTCTATCTTCCCGCCAAACTTCCGCGCACGGGGTTCCAGCGTCAGACAAACGATGAAGGGGGCTTGCCCAAGTTACCCGTGACGGGCCTGCGGTACCACACCGCTCGTACCAGGTGTCGTCTCGTGTTTCTCTTCCTCTTCCTGAGTCCTCCCACTCTCCTTGGCTCCTCTCGTATGACGATGTGTGATGCTGAGTGTCGAAAACTCACCACTGCTTCGGATGTTTGCAACATTGCCCCGCCCGCTCCGTGCTTCTCCCATGTGTCCCATCCACCAACCGCCCCGCCCCCAGCTCCAGCTCCGAGGTTCCAACACGCGCAGACGAAGCTGAACCTGCTGAAAGCTCCGAACCCTTGTTCCTTTATTCACTCTATTACGGAGTAACTGCGACCCTACGATCCTGCGACCCTGTAACCCCCCATCTCCATTGATTGTCCTTTTCGCGCCGGGTACTACCTAACAAGCATGAATTCCTCGTTGCTAATATCCAAAACCAACGGCCAACTTCCTGATTCGGTATGCGGGCAAGCCAACCAACAATCCAATACTTTCAAGTCTCATTTACGCAGAAATCCTTGGTAACTCGAATGCTACGAGTCCATACGAAGTCAGGGGTTGATCCATCCATCCATCTCTTTTGGATTTTTCTTTCTCGTTACTTAATAGTCTCTATTCCTCCCCCTCCTCTCATAACCCGTCTCTTTCGATTCCTCTTCAAAAGACCCCGTCCCATCCGCACCTAGCCTCTTTCCATCAAGCCACCTGCGTCGGTTTTCACTCAGAGACCCAAAACGCCGTCTTTCCATCCCCATTCATCCTTTGTGTAACCAACCCGCGCCAAACTTGGCGTCCCGTTTCACGCTTCGGTGTGGCTTGTCCTTTTTTCACTCTTGACAATTAGCATACCGACTAAAGTACTTTCGGTCTCACACCACCCGCCTCGTGATTCAAAGTCCAACAAACGGTCGTGTCTGCGCTAAGACTCCTCGACTCGGCCTTATTTTCTTATTCGCGCCAAATTCTACTTTTGGGTTATAAAGTACGACCGCTTCCCCGGCTCATATACACACGCACGATCGAGAGTCTGCAGTATTGCATAATTTTGTCGTCTCTTCCATCAGGAACTTGTTTGTCAGAGCTTGGAGAGGAACTGCCCCACCAAAACTCATCCATTCCTTCATTCACTCCGTTCTTTGGCATTCCTCTATTTTTCAGCTTCTACGTTAGCACCCACCAACCGCCAAAATGAGATTTTCCGCCGCCCTTTCCGTGGTAATACTCGCTTCAACAGCTTGTGCCGCACCAGTCGACACGGAACAACATCCCTTAGCGTCCCCGCCACATGTCTCCAAGGCTCCCGCAGTTGCGGCTGCCGCGGCAGCCACACCGGAGACTAGCAGCAGCAGTACATCGCCGGCAGCCAACATCATCGCATCCGCTTGGAAACAAATCTTTGGCGACAAGGAAGGAGAGGAGGATCCAAACCTGGGAAGGGCATGCTTCTGCGCCAACGGGTCGATTTGCTGTAATACTTCGGAAGGACTCGACTGCACACAAGGCTTGTGCGGGTTATAAGAGAAACACAGGAAGAGATTCCCGATGAAGCGAGAGTCGGGACAGCGACGCTTCCACTCGCCTCGATCCTCGCCCGATCAGCGGAAGGCAAGAAGGACCCGATGTGTCCTGCTGCCAGACCGGGGTGAATCCCACATCGTGACCCATATTTTCCCGGTCCGGAGTGCACCATACCCGGGCGGATCCGTCTCTGTGGCCCTACTTGAAAACCAGATTCGCAGAATCCGAAATACCAAGTCCGAGTGGCCTCTTCACCTAAAAGAAAGCCTGCGGTCCTCGACTTTACTACAAGCAACCAATAGAGCGGGCTCCCCGCCGCACAAAGCCGGATGATACCTCGGGCCGAATCGAGTCCACCCCCGATGCCAGCGATAGCTGCATATCAAAAAACTCTACAAGAATAAGCTCTCTGCTGTGTAGTGGCAGTCAAACCCATCGCTGTTTCGATCACCGTCAGCACCTTGTGGGCGTCGGAACAATACTCTGTGCAGGCACCGCGGCCTGCGCGTATGCCGTGGACACTGGGTCCGCTACTACGCCTTGTATACGGAAGAGTAGACCGACGACCTGATCCCTTGTCTATGGGCTGTAAACGCATCGCATGAAGGAGGAAACATCTCTGACGTGGAATTGCGTGACCGAGACGGGCCGCGTCCGCCAGAAGACCCGCCAGGAGAATCTAGGTGTAAAGATTCCCTAGATGAAGCCGGACCAACAGTACCGACCGGCACGATGCCGCGGCTATCCAACATTATGTGTTTGCTGCAAGCGCAAACAAGAATGAGCTTGCCATACCATAACTTAATTAGTAATACCACTTTGGCTCTTCCAGCCGTTCTATACTCGCTCAGTCACCTGTGCCAACAGAGTATACACCGTCCAGGAAATCGAAGTAAGATATCATTCATTTGCGGTGCAAGTAGTAACGTAGTATTCGCCTTGAGCTCGCCTTCGCTGACAACTTTTCGCTACGTCTAAGAGGAACACAGCACATAGCCTGACTGCCCAGGCACTCAGCCGTGGAGTGGTCGCAGTGTACCCGGAATATTCCAGGTCCTAATCTTTGTGTCTGCAAAAGTTTGCTATCGTGATGGCCGAAGTAGGGTGCAGCGACTGAAGCTAGAATTGTTCTCGACTCCTATTCGCCTCAACGTCGTCTACCAATAGCTGGGATCATCCAGAGTTCCGGACTCTAGGCCTTGGGCGTGGTTCGAGAAGCGGACCGGAGCCGTGCATTGTTTCAAGACGATCAGAGGTGCCCAGAAAGGCCCATGTGTAGGTATGTTGTGATGGGCTCGGGCCACGAAGCAGGGGCCGTTGAACGAATCGTGGGATCTTGAAGGTAGAGGACATGTAGCCGTATCGTTCTGAGAACGGTGGAAGGCATTCGAGGCGGCGAAAGCACGTGAAGAACCGATGCATTTCCCCCCTCCGCTGTTGGCCCTTGGCCTAAGCTTGCTCTGTTGGCAACTTCTCGTTAAACTTCTCGTTGTAGCGTGGGGTACTATACGGCCTGGAAGCATGACGAAAAGCTGAAGCTGGTCATCCCCCAGAGCCAAATCCAGTCTCAAGAAGCCCCTAGACCATAAATAAGTCAGCTATTAATAGTACTTGGCACGTTATAGGAAACAAGAGCGATACGATGGGAGTAGAGCAGCGCGCCCCTGACCAGTTCGACGAAGAACAATTCTGGGGAGTATGCCCTGAACACCGTGCGACGTGATTGAGCAATCGGTGACAGCTGGAAGCACGTGGTATGCAAGATATCGGGTTTGTCAAGGCGTGAGGGTTGCAAAGGCTGGGCCACGCGTGCGTAGCATCTGCGATGGTCTGCGGCTCATCGGACTACGGACCCTAGCTAGTGACCGAGGAGTGTAGCCAGTCATGTCAGTCGCGATGTAGGGCGCAAACGCGAAGAGTTTACCGGACGTTCATGCGCGCCTTGACGTGTAGCTTGAGGCCATACCTGTCAACGTGTAGATGGTCGCTGATGGTCTTTAATGAGATAGTCCGAGTCGCATGGCCCTGGAGCATAGAGAACAGCGCGTTTCAGGGTACAGAAGTTTAAGCAGTGGCTCTCTACAGACCAACGAGACCGGAGATCGGGAACAGAGCCGACAATTGTGGCGGGAGAGTAGCACGAGGCGAATTACTCGCGGGTCAGGTTCGTCCTCTTCTTTGTTGCGTGGCCCTTGGCGCCGCGTGGATGGTGTGCGCCGAAAGTTGAGCCGAAAAAGAGGTTGTGGACTTCGGGACGAATGAAAGCTTGGAGAATGTCTTTTTGCATCGGGCACCGAAGCAACCATGTGGTGAAACACTGGCAAGATTGCAGAACAAGGTGACTGAGATGGAGACTGGACGATGGAGTCGAGGTTGGATGTCCATCGATGGCCCTGGTTGATGGAGTTGGAGAGAGTCTTGTTTTGTGAAGTAGAATGCAACATGTATCTGCCTAGGATCCATGGGGAGAGCAATAAGTAAAACGTGGAGACACGATTGGGATGAGAAACGAGAAACTGATGAGAAAAAGAAAGGAATGACGGGAACAGAAATGGACCCATCAATCTTGCATGTGTACATAATTCCATAGATCTCCCGCAGCAGGTGCAGATCTGGCGGGGGTATCCGTAATTACCTTAGAAAACAAAGGAAGGAGGATCCACTCCGCAAAGAAAGAGTGGCAGAATGCGATGGTGCTCCGCACCTTACTTTCCTCAAGTTATCTCGTACCTGCGTGCCTTCTTTCCATATTCAAGTCAACAGCGATTCAAGAAAGCGCACAGGAGGCTGTCGAGGAAGGCACCTTTTTGCTACTTTCCAGTGAAGAGAAGCGACTTAGTCACCACCAAGTGTACCAAGTGAAACAGTGAGGTGACTAGCTACCTTACCTCAAGTGCCCCCAAGCCCCTCCTGTGCTGTCACCTCAGATCTCAGGCTTTACCAACAACCTTTCAACGACGACCCAGATTGGAGTCAACCTCCATGACAATTACCAATCAGTCCAAGAATTCATTTCGACGCCTTCTTCCACGCCTCATACGCCTTGCACTAATGCTGGACCGTTCGCCAAACTCTCGCAGCTCAGAAATGCTGGGTAGGCACCATAAACATACCGCAAGTGGCCGAGTCAGAGCTTACGTCTGGCACGCGGCGCGAAATCCCCCCGTTCATCGACCTCCACCAACTCAACCTTGGCAGGCTTCTAGCCGTCTTCCATGGAGCTTCCGCGCATCGATCTCCCTCCGCTGGAAGACGCCTTGACCACCATCCCCCCGAGCTTCTTCGCCGTCACCCGCCGCCGACATGGTTGACCGGGTGCATCCTCTCAGCCAGCCGCTGTGGACTGCTACCCCTCCAGAGACCGTTTCGTGCACCGTGCGCGCCATTTCGGGTCCGATGAGCTAGGGGACCCGGGCTGCAAGTTTGAGACACGCGGTGAGATGGCGGTCCACCCACACTCGTCTTTCTGTACTAGGCTGAACCGACTTGGGGATAGTGACGAGATCAAGTGTGTCCAACACTCTCAGAGTCCCAGGTCGACTGCTGGAAGTGGAGGAATGGACCTGCTGCGAAACGAACGGCGGCCGTCTGCTTCTTCGGTCGTTTTCGCTCCTCGCTGCTGCGGCCTGCACGCGCCTCGTCTTCAACTCATTCTATTTTGTGCCCTACGACAAAAGTCCCCGTCCATGACACTCTATCCGGCCTCGCTCCATTTACACGCACCCGCTGGTCACGCCGTCGTCTTCGCAGCCTTTGCCGTCCTTGTCCTACGGCCACTGTTGTCTCGATCTCCGATCCGCGAGCCCAACCCAATTTGCAGTGCAAGGTGGAAAAGAGTCACTAGCCTCTTGCCTCGACTCGACAGTAGCGCGCATGCTGCTTGTCTGTTTCTTGAGTTTACCTTCAGGCTTCTGGAGCAAGGATGCGACATGCTTTGACAAACCGAGTGGGCGGGCTCCCGCGTCCGTGTGAGCTTCTAGAATGTCTCTCTGACCGCCTCGCATCAGATTGAAAGCCTGAGAAATCGAGTTCCAGAGCACGAGGGTGCGCTGGGAAGCAGACGAACCTGTGGACATGAAGTTTAAGGTGATACATGCGACTGCCGCTAGCCCGAGGGGTGTGAGTGCCAGAGTGGGTTTGCCAGAGGCAGAGGCAGAGGCAAAGAAGAAGCAAATGCAAGAGAGAGAAGCGAGACCAGCCGAGGAAGGAAGCCGGCATGGAAACGACGCCAGAAGCCTAGGAGAACAAAGGAATCGCAAGTCCGGCCCGGCGGCAGGCCGTTTGATTTCTGTCAATTTTGATTTTTCCTTTGGCCATTCTCCTCTGGCCGATCTAGCGAGGCCCCTTTCGGAAGAAACCCAGACCATTGAGCGGCTGCCCTGAATTTGTGCCCAAGGGGGCTAAGTAAGGTGCGTGCGTCCGTTGCTTGCGCTACGCTACTCTATTCCGATGCCTCAACGTCACACCGGTGACCGGAGCTGTGTGCAGATTCAGGTAGGTAGTAATGTGTTACCATTGCCATCAGAGCCAGCCCTGGCCAGGTAGCTTCATGTCTCGCTTTCGCGCCAGCCGACGTTGACATTGCCTGCCGGCTTATACCTAGTTACCTGCAGCAATTACAGCAAGACTCCGCCTTAATCTTGGCCTCGCTATGCTCAAAGTTGGTTAGGTAAATATGGCTCGAGTTGTGGTGGACAGGTGGTCAACATCGGTCAGTCAGTCTCCTAGTGTCTCTTAATTATCTGCCCTTTGCTGACATCATCTACTAACTTAGCACGTTGTCAGGCAAATGGTGTACTGGCAGATGAGAGTCATGACGGAGCATACCGCATGTCTCTCTCTCCGTCTCCTGACTGTTTGTTTCCTCTGCTCAGGGCAAGACAGGGCACCGCAGGCGAAGGTCGCGAAAGCTGCAGTTTGCCTGTCGCACATCCAGTCTCCTCCCCCTTTACTTTTAGCTTCGGCTCTCCTCCACTGACGAGGTACCCAGGTCTTCACAGTGCGCCTAGAGAAACCGTAAAGTATGGTACTCTACGCAGAGATATGGTAATGACTACGTACGTATGTCGACACAAGAAACAGCTTGGCTGTGCCAGGCGGAGGGAACATAAGGAGCTCGGGGCATGCCCAGGCACAGTAAGCTCCCGTTGCTTGTGCAAGTGTTTTCCCGCTGACATTTCGACGACAAAGCCGTGGTTGATGATTTGGTGATTATCCTGTCGCTGGGCCCTTCGACTGCCCTCGCCGTGACATCAATTATTATCCTGCCGAAGATGGTAAGGCCGCAGACACCTACTTCCTCACCTCCAGCCTGCCGCGGCCGCCGCGGCCACACGACTACCGTCTACGGCCCCTTGGGCGCCAGGCTGTTTAAGCTTTGGGGTCAGGTTGCGGCCATGTCTCGTCACCCTGCCAGTGACATGCTGTGCACCCCTGAATCAACTGCCCCAAGCATCCGTGTGCAGTAGATCGGTACCTGATGAGTACAAGCTTCGTGACCCCTACCCCACCCTCCGAGCGTCATCGTACGAGGGCTGGCTGGCCGCGATGTTGGCGATGGGGAAAAGGTCTGGAGAGAGAGATGGTGAGGGTGGCGCTTAGAATTGTCATGGCTACCTATGCTTGATAGGTAAGACAAGTTGTCTTACAATATACTTAGGGTAAAAGGGTATTCCAATGGCCGGCACTGGTATTCATAGACATGTGTCTTGTTGGCGCCCTAATATTGAGTATAGCGGTACAGAGGGTCAAAGACGTGGGCTCCCTGGCGGAATAGTTGTGCTGGTGAAGTGAAGTGAAGGGACGAAGGTGTTTGGCCCGTCTCGTCTGGCTGTCCTGTCCGTGTTTGACCTTCCGGGGCTCTCTCTGGTGTGTGCGAGGGAGTGTGTCCCCTCCCTCTCTGCTTGATCCTTGCGGCGCATCTGCACCAGCTCCCGCATCTGCGTATCTGCACATGTCCACCGCACAGTCGCTGACTTCTGGCTGTTGGCCGACAGAAGTTTGGGTCTGGCACTCACGCTCAGTTTGCGAGAAACGTAGGGGACGCAACGCAGCATCATCTATCCTCGCCCTTCTGCCTCCCCGTCTTCTGAGTCGCCATATTTTAACCTTAGCAAGGTACCCAGTATGCCTAAGGTAGTCATGTCTCTGGATGTAGAGTACCACTTTGGAGAATACCTTGCCTTATGTAATCTTGGCAAAAGATAAAGTGAACAGCTGAGGAAAGTGCCGTGGGTGCTTGGGTACCACGGTTACTTCGTACTAGTGCTGGTGGAAGGAACTTAGGAAAGAGAAAGGAAGGAAAGAAGCAGCAGTTAGAACGACTCTTGCTCCTTCCCCACGTCCCACGTTTCCACAGTACGTCCTTGCGCGGTGCCATGGACGCCCACGCCCAGGGCACCCAGGGCACGCCCACCCGCCCACTTCAGTGCGACGTCCACGCCCACACCCGCCCACGCCGCCTCCACCAAAAAAGAGAAGGTACCTGCCCACCTTACCTTACTAGGTGCTGTATGAGGTATTCCATACCAAATGGAAGGCACCAAAATACACTAAGCGGCAAGGTACCTCCTTCCTTACGTACCGACATCTGCGCCTACGCTCACGTCCCTCACGTCCCTTCCTGGAATCCTCGCACCCGTCCCGTCGCCCCCAGTTCGGTCCTTCCCTTCCCAAACCCACGACCGCTTCTCTTTTCGTCCGTCGCCGTTTCTCTTCCTCCCAGTCCCCCTCCCTCCCGCTTACCCATTCCTGCCGCAGTCATCCTCCTATCCTCCTCTTCTGCTGGAGATCCTCACATCGCAACTCCCAAACCCCTTGCCCATTGTTGGCTCAACTGATCTGCAATATTGCGACTGCGAATCATCCGCCCTCCTCGCTCGCCTACATCACTGTATCGCCTCCGATCCCGCCGCCTCGAACAACCCACCCCCGGCACCTTCGTTTCCCACCACCCTCGCAACTCATCTCGCCTTTGCCTATCCGCTCCTTGCGACCGGCCGAACCCCGCGTACAGAGCCGTTTATTTCGGATCGAGAGCCATTCCACTCAGCAACAATTGTCTTCCTGCCTACACCGTCAAAGACTTGGTGAGTCCTCCCCCGCCTGCTGACCGTTATGAAATCACCAGCGGCAAAAAATGACCATGTGTGTTTCTTTCTAACCTAACTTCCTCAGCAGAACTATCACCCCAACTCAGCTTCCACAGCACCCTGTGCCGAGCACACGACGACTTTCCGCTGCTATCTTCGCGCAGCCACTTGGTGTCACCGCATCCCTCATCAATCAATCTGTCCTACCGGCGAACTGTCGTTTCAACAGCAGCCGGAGACACCGTTTTCAACGGCGACGTTGCGTGATACGATCTGCGACACTCAGCGTTGTCGGCCACCAAGACCCTCCCACTTCCAAATCTCCTCCGAAGACCCCGCCTTCAAGGCAAACGCGATCGCCTCTCACTCCCGAATCGCTGAGAAGAAATCCCGATATCGAAATTCAATTAGCGCGAAACAAACAATAGGCCCTCAATTATCCAGGTTTCTCTAATCATCAACCACCCCTACGATTGACATTTCCCCACGGCGAATCCAATACCTTGCACTTCAAACCGCCGTTCCGGAGCATGCACCAGCCTTGTCTGCTGTCTACACTACCGACGGAAAACGCGGGAATCTAGCGTCAGAGGAAGCTTCAACCCATAGGCAGGGAGAGGACTCTCCTCCTCCTCCGGCCGCCCTTGCGGAGCACAGGCTACAGACCGGGTGTGCACTGGCAAAGCCCTGTTGAAGCTTTGGCCCTCTGCCCTCACACTGGGCGGAGAGCTTAGCCGGCAAGGCACGTCGAAAACCTGGCGTCGACACGACCACGTACGCGGCATCCCTCAAGGACCATGAGGCGGAATCGCTCCCCAACGTCACCCTCACCCTACCGCGCCCTCGCCCATACCGGCGCGGGCGCGGGCGGGGTGCCAGATTCCCTCTCACTCCTCAGGTCCTTCAACGTTGACACGAACCCTACCCGCCCCATGCGGCCATCTCCTCTCACCGCCTCCACCATCCGCGATATGCCGCTCGACTTGGTTGATCGCATCAGGTCATTTCCCCTGTTTGTGTCTGCGCCAGAAGAGTTCTTGGCCGCCATCGGAAACCATTTGAGACCACAAGTTCATGCTGCACAGGACCACATTCTCACAGAGGGCGATGATGCCAGAGCAATGTACTGGCTGGTGCGCGGAGTCGTGGCTGTCACCTCTAGAGACGGTGAAGCCATTTATGCAGAACTCAAGCCCGGTGCATTTTTCGGAGAAATCGGCGTGTTGATGGACGTCCCGCGAACTGCGACCATTGTGGCTCGGACAAAATGCCTTCTCGTGGTCCTTAAGAAGGAAGACCTCCAGGCCGAGTTACCGAAATTCCCGGATATGGAACGGGCGATTCGTCACGAAGCTCAGGAGCGATTAAACATTCTCAAGAAGAAGCGCCAAGAAGGCGGGCAACTCATCAAGCCTGCCTCGACACAAACTAATGGAGCAAGAGAACCGGTACCAGGAGAGGTGTCTACGGGTGAGGTAGGCACCATCAGAGAGGGCACCGTCGTTAACTCTAAGAAGCGGAAATCTCCCAGTCCTGGCGCCATCGAAGACCCTGCAGCAGGCAGTGCCCTCGGCAGTGGTTTCGTCAATGTGCGACGAACACTACGAGAGCTGCCTTTGTTCTCCACATTACCTCCTGACATCCTCCATCAGCTGGGACTCAGCGTCCAACCAAAGACATACCCTCCATTTACAGACATCATCCAACAAGGATCGGCCGGGAATGAGATCTTCTTCATTGTTCGAGGTGAAGCAGAGGTTGTTCATGAAGCACCAAATGAACCCCCAAAGAAGATGGCTCGTGCGACTTATCTCAGGCCAAGATTAAAGGCAGGTCAATACTTTGGAGAAGTGGCCAGTCTCGGGTTGTCCGAGGGTCGAACTGCGACAGTGCGGGCAATTACAACGGTCGAGTGCTTGATGATCCCCGGAGATGCATTAGACACACTTTGGAGCCGATGCCCACCCGATATCAAATCGCAGGTTGAGGAGACAGCTCGCAAGAGATATAAGAATGACGACGAAGACGTTGAAATGTCAGATGCAGACCCTATGGAACGAACCAGCAAGTCAGACCCTCCGACACCGACAACACCCAAAGCTCTACCGCACGTCACGTTCACGACGCCCTCAAAACCAACGTCGCCTACAAAGGACGATATGGAAACTATGGAACCCAAGGACCCTGATCCTTTCTTGAGCGTGGACATGGAGAATATGCGAAATAGGCGACGCAATTCCCTGGCCCCGCCTACCCCGCAATCCGACAACTCCTCGTCAATAGTGACAAACGGCTTCCGAACTCACCAGATTGAGTCGACACCTCTTCGCTTCTCTTTTCCGCCACAGTCGCCACCCGAGCAAGAAGCGCCTGTAAAGCGAGCCCGGACACTACCACGACGTCCACACCCGGCCCAGGCCCCAGCTCTTCCCGACGATTTGCTCGTGGAAGCATTTCGATACCTCAATGTTGCGGAGCTGATGAACGCGCGAATCATTTCATCCCATTGGCGCAAGCTGTTGACGACGCACCCGAAGGTCTGCCTGGATTTGGACTTGTCTGAGCACAATAGAAGAGTCACAGATCTGGCCATCCGAACAGTCATTGGTCCTTTCGTCGGCAACCGCCCGGAGACGATTGATATTAGCAACTGCTTCCACATAACCGACGATGGTTTCCGATGTCTTTGGGAGAGCTGTGGCCGCAACGTCAAACGATGGCGCATGCGATCTGTGTGGGATGTCTCTGCAAATCAGATTTTGGAGATGGCAGAGAACGCAAAGGGCCTGGAGGAGATTGACTGGAGCAATTGTCGCAAAGTCGGTGACAACTTACTGGCACGTGTAGTAGGCTGGGTAGTACCCGAGCCGCCACCACCCCAACCGCCCAGCAAGCAGGTGGTGATATCCAGCTCCTCGGCCAAGTCGAAGCCTCAGAAGGCTGTTACGCAACAGGCTCAACAGAGAGCTGCGAACATCCCCAAGCCGGGCACCATCATTGGCTGCCCCGCTCTCAAGCACCTCAACCTTTCGTATTGCAAGCACATCACTGACAGGTCGATGGCCCATCTTGCCGCGCATGCGTCTAATCGGTTGGAATCGCTGTCCCTGACACGATGCACCTCAATTACAGACGCCGGCTTCCAGTCTTGGGCTCCATACCGGTTCCTGAACCTGTCTCATTTGTGCCTCGCGGACTGCACTTACCTCTCCGACAACGCGGTCGTCGCCCTCGTGGGTGCTGCCAAGAACCTGACACACCTGGATCTTTCTTTTTGCTGCGCTCTGTCTGATACCGCCACGGAAGTCGTCGCCTTGGGATTGCCTCAGCTGCGCGAACTTCGCCTCTCGTTCTGCGGCAGTGCCGTCTCGGATGCCAGCTTGCAGTCGGTTGCACTGCACCTGAACGAGTTGGAGGGCATCTCGGTCCGCGGCTGCGTTAGAGTCACCGGCGGCGGCGTCGAGAATCTGCTTGAAGGATGCAGTCGACTACAGTGGGTGGACGTTAGTCAGTGCCGGAACTTGGAGAACTGGATCCGAAGCGGAGGTGTCATGCGGTGGGGATTCGATGAGCGTGGCGGCAATGGCCTGTCACCGGGACAGGTGCCTTTGCCGTTGCCTAGCCCGACGCCGACTGCCACAAACCACGGTGGGCGTGGGACAAGGCCGCTTAGCTTCCGGAGAAGAGCAAGACACCCCGTCCGATTCATTGTTGAAAAGGGGGCATTCGGACTTCGATGATGATGGAGAGGGGGTTTAATTTGGGGATCTTGACGCTGTCATGAGAGAAGATGTTTTGTACGATTGTGGCCCGGCGCGGAAATGTTTGAATCATAGAACAAGCCTATTTCAGGGAGGCGCAACTCGTTAGGAGAAGCAGACAGCATTACAGGGCATCATGTTTGGATTCTCAGACGACTTTTGGCGGGATGGGCTGAGGATAGACTGGACTTGATGATACCCTAATTCATTTCGTTACTGTGTCATAGGCACGCGATGTGAAATACGCGCGGCCGTTCGTTTCCACGTCGTTGTGATGATGACTGTCGATTAACCGTTGCATACTATGCCAGAGGTCCCATCATTCACACCATCCCAAAATTTCTTGTTACGCTCATCCCAAGCTTTCCGTCGCTCCTCGGGCGATAGCTGCTTGGGGAACCCTACCCGGAACAAAAACGCGACCCTGGTGAGCGCTGCCATCAGCGTGAAAATCACGAGGATCCAGTCCACGCCGCGCCACTCTCGCACCGGGTTCACGAGGTTCCCCTGGAGACTATACGATATCCAGGCGCCGTAGAGCAGGGACGCGTCGACGATTAGGAGGGCGAATTGGTAAGCGCTCTAGATTGTGAGCTGGAGTCTGGGCGGGACGGCGTGGCATTCGGGGGAGGTGAGGAAGTAGATTATGCTGGAGACGAGGACGTGTGCGATGAGGTAGGCGAGGAGCTGGAGGGTGTGGGCGCCGGAGTAGAGGTCTGAGATTGGGTCGGAGTAGGCTGGGGAGGTGAGGGCTGTGAGCGGGGTGGAGGTGATGAAGGGTTGGAGGGGGATTATGTTGAGGATGCTGGGGAGGGTTAGGTAGGGTTTGGGGATTAGGGAGTGGTGTTGCGGGGATGAGGTTGAGTTGGAGGGGAGATTGAGTGTGTAAGAGTTTATGGCGAGTTTTTCCTTTTTGGCTTTGGCCATTATATTTTGGGGTAAGAGCTGAGAAGTTTGGTGTGTAGTCTTTTGGCTTGAGGGATGAGTTAAAGGGCGGTGGGTTTGGTGATTTTTGGTGGTTGGATGCTGCGATGTTGGTGTTGGTGTTGAGAAACGCGGGATGCGATACGCGAGGGGACGACGAGACTTAGTTCTACTTTTTTGACAAAGCGCGTTTTCCCTAGGACGACGACGCATTACATCTAAGTCCTTCGTACATTGTCAGGGGGAGATAAGGGGTGCTACTACGGTTTCTCATTTCACAAAATACATATCTTGGCAAAGTATGATGAACTGTCTCGAATTGAAAGCTCATAGTACCTAGCCAGGAATTAGTGAGAATGTCACTGAGGCGGGGACCCAGTCATGAGTCGCGGGGCATTCTTTCCTTCCTTCCATTCCTTCTTCTTCGTTGTTTCCTAATTGGGGGAGAGGGGCACGGGCCGGGTGCTTGGACCAAGGGGCGACTGGCGGGATGGGAGGAGGTAGGGGCCGTTTCGTGGCCCGGGCTTTGATGGGCTTGGCCTGCCTTTTTTTTTTTGTAGCTTAAGCTCGTGGGGCTGCGGCGGGCAGGAGCTTGGGCCGTTTGGTGACCTTTTAGGAGGAGGGGAAGGAGCTTTGGAGAGAGCTGGTGCCTTATGTCAGCTTGGGGGTTGAATTTCGGTGATTGCTGTTTTTTGTCCTTTAATGACGACGTTCTTTATTAACCTATACCTTTACATGTGGTCTTTGACATGGAAAACTTCAATCTTGATACTAATATGGAAATCATTCAGTGGCATTGCTGACTACTTTTGCTGAAGTGGAGCTTACACTCTGCCCAACAGCCCATGACGTTGGTAGGCCTTATGATCCACAGACTTCTCTCGCTGACAAGCAATGGCTTCCTTACGTATAGCAACATAGCATCCTCTATCTGCGCCATCAATTCAGTCGATTGAGACATCTATCGATCGCTGTGGCTAATATCGATGCAGAAATTGATACGACATGAATCGGAGCGTCTTTCAGTCGACCCTCAATCGTCTCTCCGAGTCGTGCAGGGGCATCAAGCAGGGCTGCGGCGCTGACATACCTCTTACGGAATAGCCCAATCATCGCTTGAGAGCACATTGATTGCTGATAGCCTGATACGGACTACCCCTCAACCTCTTCTTGCGAGAAGTTGTCGATGAACCTCTGCGGTCTCACGCTGCGATAAGGTGACCAAGTCACTGAGTCCGCCATTCAAAATGCGTCTCCTCGAGACAGAAACGTTGACGCTTCACGAATTCGTCGAGGGCCAAGTTCCCGAATACGCAATATTGTCGCATACGTGGGGTGAGGAGGAAGTTCTCTTCAGGGATCTCGAAAATGGTCCATCTGACAAAGCCGGATGGATCAAAATTCAGTCTGCATGTCGCGTGGCCTACGAGCGGGGCTATGATTGGCTCTGGATCGATACATGCTGCATTGATAAGGCCAGCAGCAGTGAGCTGTCTGAGGCTATCAACTCCATGTTCAGGTGGTACAAAGAGGCCGCCATCTGCCTTGCGTATCTCTCCGATGTAGTGTACAGTGAGCCTGGGACCGACGAGTGTGAGACAACTTTGGCAGGGAGTCGATGGTTCACCCGCGGCTGGACGCTCCAGGAGCTCCTTGCTCCGTCATCTCTCGACTTCTATGATCGCGACTGGACACTTGTAGGTCCAAGAACCCTCTTCCGCGGCGTCATTGAAAAGAAGACGGGGATTGAAAGTATTTACTTGTCGGGAGAGAGGGGTTTGGCTAGCGCGAGTGTAGCCGAGCGGATGAGCTGGGCATCAGAAAGGACAACAACCCGAATTGAGGACGTTGCATACTGTCTGCTGGGAATCTTTGATGTCAACATGCCCCTCATCTACGGAGAAGGTATCAAGGCTTTCCAGAGGCTGCAAGAGGCAATCATTCGCGACAACGACGACCAGTCCATCTTCGCGTGGGGGAACCCGCATGAGGGGAATGTGGTCAGAATTCCGAGCCCCTTAGACGGCTGGTCACTCCTCGCGTCAAGCCCGAAAGATTTTACGCACTCCGGCGACGTTATTCCCATCTTCCATATCACTACCAGTGCCCGAGTGCGCATCGAAAATTCAGGCATCACCTTTATGACGCCACTGCTCGCAGAGACACCTTCAAAGTGGGTGAACGGCCCCTCCTCTACTGCATTCTTGGCGCCTCTGCTCTGCCGCCGCCGCACCGACATTTTCAATACTATCGCACTTTCTTTACACAGTACCAAAAGGCCCTCACCTAATCTTGATCATCCAGACGGGATGTCGTACTATAGGGTCTCAAACCAGCTCTTCAAATATCCAATGACCGCCTGGGTAAATGAGAGACTTTGTTCAGCATTCATCTACTTGAAAGCCTCGCGCAGGTTTCGAGATATCGGAGATGAGCGCGGTTATGCACCGAATTGGGGGTGTGCCATCCGGACGCTGCCCCAGGGTTTTACTCTTGGTACCCCATACTCGTCAACGTGGGGTCAACACAACGATGAAATGCAGTCCGACGTTGTACCAATAACAGAACGCCTGGTCGGATCATATGGTCTTGCGTCTCCAATTGTGATTCCACTGCATCATTATGGTTTCGAAGCATCACTTGCTCTTGTTTTACAATACCAGTACATGTCAACCGCGACCGGGTATAGCGGCTCCGTCATCTTCGATAAAGCGCCGTCGTGGATGGTGAACCGAGTGGTGAGTATACCGCTCGGATCTACAATTGAGGAAATTGCGGAAACGGTACGGATTGAATCTGAGGCCTGGCCAGCGGAGTACGTGCGTCGGATCTCGGGCACGAACAGGAGGGTAAAGCCGGCGAGTTCCATAGACCTGTTCGATCGGAGTTCGTTGAAGACGTTTACCAGGTTCCACGTGGGAGTTTCAACTGAGCTAGTGCATGGAAATCTTCAGATCGTCGATGTTGAGGATTCCAGGGGGAGTAACGTCTCTCTCGAGGTGGACCACAATGGAATTTACACTCCCGTGAAGAGTACAACATAGTTCCATTGCTGAGTAAGATAGAAATTGATCTCAGGGACGGTTCAAGAGGCATCGTTCGCAAAGACCAGTAATGCCGACGTCGCCGAGATACAAGCTATCTGGGTTCTGCGGATGGTTCTCAGCTACTAGCTGCGTCCGTAGTATTCAAATATCCGCCGAAGCCAAAACCGAAAGGCTCTCTGATCATATGGTAGAAGGAATCCATTAGTTATCGCATTGTTATTTGAATAGCTAGTCGCACTATCGTATCTGATCAGATCGAGCAAAATACTCGTCCGAGTACCTGCCATCCAGGCCTCTTCCACCATGTTCCTCCACATCAGCTTCCCGAACGTCGGCCAAGTACTCGTCAAACTTGTTCGTGATTGCAATGGTTCGTTGCAGATGCGAAAATACCATCTTCTTCCCCATAAACTTAGCGAGCTGGCGTGCGGTGGTGATCGTATTCCGGATCTGTCGTCCGTTCATGGGGTGCTTGGTCAGCTCGTCTATGTGTAGCGAAATATCGTCAAAGTCAATGCTGTCCTCCTCTCCAATACTCTTGAGCCGCTCGAAGAAGTTCTTCCAGATTTGCTTGCGTTGGTAGGCCTCCAACCTTTGGTATCGGAGCGCCAGCTGAATTCGAGACTTGAACGCCTCGTCGAAGGTCCCAACGCGATTTGTCGTAAGAATCAAGATCCCATCGTAGTATTCTAGAGCGCGCAAGAACACGGAGACAAGGGCGTTTCGCTGGAGGTCTTGCAGAGTACGCTGCTCGAGGAAGACTTCGGCTTCATCGAGGAGCACGACACAGTCCCAGATCTTGCCAAGATGGAAGACGGACTCGAGATACTTCTCAACTTCAGCAGGATTCGTGCCTATGTCGCCGCAGGTTACCGAGTACAAAGGCTTCTTAGCTATTTCGGCGACAGATTCGGCTGTAAATGTTTTCCCGGTGCCCGGAGAGCCATGAAGCAGCATAATGAGGCCGTTTCCTTTGTTATCTATAACGTCTGTGCCTCGCTTGGCATCGATTTGGTTGGTAACAAGTGCAAGAATGAGCATCTTCATGTCTTCATCAGCCACCAGACTGTTGAAGGCTTGATCGTTCCAGGCCACGTCCCGAATCCGGTCGACCTCCACATCAACTATTTGAAAGATCAGTCAAGTGTTTTCACATGCAAAGCCACAGAAAGTTTCACCCCATTTCTTGCGTCTTAGATCAAAGCCAGGGACAAGGTTTGGGAAGAGGTAGATCTCAGGAAGGCGCGGTTCACTGCCATCTGTTGGCAGGCCTGGCTCTGGTACGAGCTTGTCCTTATTTGTGTACTGATTGTGTGGATGAAAGCTTGTATATGTCTCGAAGTCAATCATACATCTTTCGCCCTAAGAAATATTAGTGTGAGTAGTCAAAAGGCTTGCTTGGAAGATAGGAGAGTATAACTTCAGAGGTCATCCGAGAATACCAACTTACACTGTGGTTTAGTCCTGTACCTTGGCAGAAAACGAGCCTTTTCTCGCGACATTTCCAGAACGTTCGGCCACGACGCATTAGCCTCTCCTGCAATGCCCGTGAGGTATACTCAAGTGGCATGACAGGTAAGCTCGAGATATCAATCTCCCCGTTCTCTGTCTCCGTCTCGAACTCGATCTTGAGCTCTTTTACCACCCTAACGAATTCTCCACGATAGGAGATTGTACGCGATGCTATAGTCCATTGCGACATATAATTTTCTGAGGCATCTTGTCGAGCTTTCGATTTTGGTAGAGTCAAGATGTCACTAGGTTCATTGACGTAGGCATAAGGGCGAGACAATGCAATGTGGCCTTGGGGGACGCCATCCGTACACGAGACCAGGACCTGCCCAGGCCGAAAAAGATATTCTATGGAGGTGTTCGACACATAGCCTCTGCTGAGTTGTTCATCGATGTTGTCGTACAACGCTGCGTAAGCCTCTTCGATGTGACTTACGAGCGCATTAACCAATTCGGCTTGGCGTCGCGGCAGGGTTTCGATCTCACTTGACCTGCGATGGCGGTACCACCATGTAAATGGCGCTGATAATCTCTTATGGATGTTGACTCGAGGAAATTCTTGAAGAGATGTCGAATGGAGCGCGAAAAAGGCTTTCAATGCCTCCACCATTTCCTCCGAAGTAAGTAGTATGTCCTGGTAGGCCGGTTCCGGGTCTGGTAATGGCCTTGAAGACTTCCTTGCTTCTTCCACTGCATCTCTCTGGTGTCCTTCTGAGTAACACTTGTAGACGACAAATGAGATGTCTTCTTCCCTCTCGATGTATCTTTCAGGGTTCGTTAATAGAAATCGGGCACTGAGGCGAATGTCGTTTTCTTTCACCGTCCATTCTGGTTCCGAGAGGTATGTACTTCCGTCCGTGTCTTCTTTCTCAAGGTAGTGGAAGATACACACCCTGACAGCTTCTTGCGGCGTCGGAATTCGGCTGAGCTCTTCATTCGCTGCTTCTAGCAGCTGAATTCGCTGCTGCATCTTTTGGATGACATCGAAATAAAGTGAGGATGTCTCTTCGGCGCTTAGAAGTTCTGAAATTCCTCCGTGAGGGACTTCATCTGTCTCGGAGATTGCGGTTTGAATGTATTCTGAGGTGTTTGGGGTAGCAACACACTCATTAAGACCCGAGGAAAGGCTTGGTTGTGAATAAGCTTCACCGGCATTGACCAGAGTCCCAGACACGTCTGCTGGGCTGTAAGAATAGCCATGGCTCTGTTTCGTTTTTGGCGTCCCCTGGATTGCTTCAAAGTCCCAAAGAGCTCTTTCAGGCTGCTTTTGTCTTTGAATTGTAGACGTTGAGCTGTGGCTGCGAAAATTCTGTTGTGATGCTAAGGTCGCGACGGGTAACCTGGGCCCTGGCGCTGGAGATGCCGTCAGGTGTAAACTTGAGTGTGGGCGTTCAGCATCAGATAGCACTGATGACGCGGTTGGAACTGGTTGCGCGGTGAAGGGCTGGATGTGCCGAGAAGCACCTGTTCTTGGTGCTAATGGTGCGAATTTGTTTTGTAGCCCTTTGCCTGTTTCATCTTCCGATATCGTGTAATGTGTCTGAGTTGTCTCTCGAGATGCCGGGTTATTAATTTGGGTATCTGAAAGCGTAGCTACAGCTGGCATATCAATTTCATCATTAGCTGGATCATATTGGCCTCCCATTGCATCTTCTCGTTGAGCTCTCATTCTCCGCTTTTCGTTGTGTTGCTCTAACAAGTTCAATTGCGTCTGATAGTCCAGCAGTGAATGCATTCTGTTTGATGTACGGGTTCCTGCATTGTAATATTCTTGCAGGCCTTGGGTTGAGATATCCGAAGATGCATGAGTCACCGTGGGCTGATGTATCGCATCATTTGCATGTCGTTGCTGGTTAAGTCTAGGATGTGGACCAGACTGTCGAGGCTGTGGGTTTCTTGCCATTCGATGATGAACATTGTCCGTTGCCATGTTGAAAGAAGCACGAGTAGTTGAGCCTGCTTTGAGTGACGCCACTTGATCCTCGGTCAATAATCCTTCGAAATGTATGTTCATGCGCTCAACTGAGTCGGACTGTTGGCGGCGGACTCGAGACACCGTACGATATGATGCGTGGTAGACGCGTACCTGCAACGGTTCCTGGTGCTGACCGTAAAGGGTGTTGCTAGCTTCCTTGGTTAAACACTGTGAAGCGGTGAAATGAGGGGGAATTTGAACAACAACTTGAAATGGCAGGAAAGAGGGGGTTGCTTTTCCTGAGGCGCAGTCAGCGTCACACAGCATGCAGCTCGCCAGGAACGAATGTGATTGACTGGAGCCCCATGCCCTGCTGAGGTGATGGTTCGAGCATCATTGCCTGACTGGTCAGCGATTGTTGAACCCTTATGTTCATGATTTATGAATTGGATAAAATTCCAGCCTGATCTGATCGGGCTCCAAACCCAGCGGCAAGCATCGTTCAAACGCTGAACAACAGATCGAGGGGACCTCCGCACGATAACGTCATCTCGAGATAAGTGTCTGCTCAATCAACTAAAGTCGACGACGGTGCGCAACCACAACCCGCGTGTCATCCGCTGTGTTCCGTAAATCAAGTCTGATGCGGACGAAAAGCTGGATAGTGTAAGTTAATAGTGCAAAGGCTGTGGTACAGATGGATACGAATACAGCAATATCATCATGGTATCAGGGGGAGAAGCAGGGTCAGTTTTCAACGACCAGCGAAGACTTTGAGGTGTCTTAACACGATTGCGACAGATAACGGATGTATTGCGGAAGAAGCTTTTAGGGCTGTCCAGAAATACTTCCAGCAGAGTCGCATCTTGACGTGCGAGGAGAAGACTCTGGTTACCGGGAGTCAATCTATGGAGGATGCTCAAAGCTTAGTTACCGCAACGCTCGAAAAATATAAAGCGACAAAGGCATCGAGCAAAGTCAGGGGATGGCTTGAAAGAACTTCCGAGATCATCTGTCACTACGGAACCATCCTCGACGTCTTTGTTCAACACCATCCAGAGTATGTGTCTCTGGTATGGGGCGCTATAAAATTGATATTTGGTGTGAGTCAACCAGTTCAAAATAGAAACACATGAGAAAGGAGCTAACGAAGCGGCGGAGGAAGAGTGTGGTCAACCATGCGGAGACTCTGAAAATCGTGGCCAAGTCCACCTGTGAGGTTGGCATGCGACTTTCGCGAGTTAAAATCGTTTCCACATTATACCCAACGGCAAACATGCGAGTGGCTGTTGAGAATCTGTATTCTTGCATCTTGGAGTTTCTGCTAATTGCGCACTCGTGGTGTAAAGAGTCTAAGCTTCGCCATTTCGTCCACAGTTTCACGCGGCCGCACAAACTTCAGTACGATGATTTGCTACAGAGAATCAGTGTTGCTTCTGACAACATTACTGAGCTGACGGCTGTAGGCTCGCAAACTGAGCTCCGTGTTATGCACACAGCCCATTCTGGAAAGCTGAACGGCATTCTATCCGCCATGGAGGATGCTGAAAAGTCCCATCAACAACAACTTGATGGTCTAACACAACTTGTTTCTGGATTGAAAGTCTCAAATGAGAGAAATGAAAAGAAACTTGACCTCATAGTGTCTCTCTTGGAAGCCTCGGGTTTGACAATGAACGATCTCATCACCAAGGTAGAAAGTAGGTGGTCCTTAGCTCCTCAAAGCGATATGGATTCTGGGTGCTTACAACCAGTGTGCAGCCTTTCAATCTATCCAAACCAGCGCCCAATTAGACACGAATCTACGAAAATCAGATCTCCATCTGTCACACGTCTTGTCCACTTTTTCGGCGACATTTGAGGATCCGGAAAAGTGTTACAAGCATCACCTCATGTGCCGAAACCGCAGAGTCTCTGGCCGAGGTACAAACACCTCAACAAATCAGTTTTGGTTATCCCCCAGACTCACGAAGTGGTCATCAAGTCATCACTCTTCCCTGATTATCATCAATGGCCCCTTTAACGTGCGTTCTGCTATGGTAGACTTCGGAATTGACGTCATCCAGACTTTGGAGTCAGCTGGGGTGCCGACTTTGTGGGCATTGCCCAGCTTAGACAAATCAAAGCATGCTTCCATGTCAACGGCAGCCGACCTGATAAAGTATCTCACGTATCAGGCGTTGCGGTTGAGCGGTTCTTTAAAGACGGAAAAGGAGTTGTCGTCTCGATACTCACAATTCCATACTACGCTGAAGCCAAAAGATTGGCTGAAGCTCTTTGGGCAAGCAGTAAGGAGCTTAGGTACAAACACTTACATTATCGTGGACCTAGCGACAGTCCTTTCATCGCTCGATCAAGCAGACGGTTTCAATTTGATCGACGAGCTCTGCATCATGCTTGATGACGCGTCTATAGAGGGTCTGAAGGTGAAGATCGTTCTACTTCTGTACGAGGCTGAGTGGCTCAGAATGGCAGCGAAAACCGACTCTGGGGAGACTGTCTTGATCAAATCGATGAAAGCAAAGAGGGCACAAGCAAAAGGACGAAAGCAGACTGTGGCGAAACGTCTTGTCGGTCGCTCTAAGCTAGGTTTGAAATAGAGTCGGAGAGGGGATCATTACATCGATTTCCATGAAGCTCTATCTGTTGATCGCTTGAAGAAAAACAAGAACAATTGGTTGCGGATCGCAGACCCAATGATCCAAGCAGAGACAAGTATCGCTACAAGAGCAGGGCAGCCGCTTTGAATGTGCCAATAGTGTGTCAAGGGCGAATAGGCAGAATTTCATTGACCATTGCAGCCAGCCTGCGTTCTCACAATTCTCACTCCGTAACATAGTGTGTTCCACCATTTTGCACCGATGATCAACACATGAAGCTCCATGTCGGTACATGTAGGCAAGGCTGCTTGCGGGAGCCAAGATTTGGCGGTGGCGCTGACAACTACCGTGATGAATCATTTATGGCAATAGAATTGACGTGCTCTTCCTCAAAGATAACTTTCATCTGACAACTCACGCAGAACACAGCCCATCATGAACACTGGCCGGATGACTTGTGGCCGATCCCCAATTCATCCCAGCCATCTGCTTTCCAATCGCAGTCGAGCCGTCTGCGCGGATATACGAGCCTGCAATAAGTCAGTCTCTGTCATCAAGGTATGCGACACAACCAGTCACAGAGAGTAGCGCAAGGATACGTACTGCTCGCATGATAATGCCACCAATCCTGCGAACGAAAGGCATTGTTCGTCAACTGGGAAAGCACATCATTCCAACCTGTGTTCCTATCGTGGTAGATGGCATGTTTCGACCAAGCGACGTAGACCTTGGGATGGTCAAGGTTCTTTCTGCCGTTGTCTCCACCGCGAGGGAGCGTTGCGTCGACGGTATCGAAGGTGTTCTGGATGTCGCCCCAATTCTTTCGATCGTAGCCTGAGTGTTGGGAGAGTAAGAGCTGCGAGGGCTGCCAGTTGCCTGCAGAGTTTCTTGCCCAGATGACGATTACCCTCTCCCAGTCGCTAATTGTCGAGATCATTTAGTTACATTCAGGTATCGATAATGGAAAATTTGAGTACGTACTACTTGTGTCCAAAGACACCAGATGGCGTGAACCCATCTTTCTCATAAAACAGATTATACACCACCCGCACCTCGTTGTCATTACACTTGCTGTAGCTGTAGTAGACTGGAAAATCTGGCGCCGGGTTCCCGATTCCGAAGCCCGGCTTTCGGCAATTACACCCGGCGTCGGGCCATTCGCAGAGCTCCGCGCCGGGTGTTTGCTGTCCGTTGACGACTGCATGTGTTGGAATACACGGGGGCCGGTTCATCGCCTGTCCGAAGAACCACATCGGTTGAGCGGCCATGGCGAGTCCGACACCGCCTTCATTTAGGAGAGTTGTCATTTGGGTGTCTGAGATGGAGGTTACGGCCATAGCTGCGCCGATCATAGCGGCGCAGAGCGCGAGTGTGCTTGTGAGGGAGAACATCTTGGTCGATGTTCGGGATGCTATCATCTCTCCATGCGATGGTTTCGCAGGCTAATGGGGAGTGGACAAGAAGGCATTCTTATGCAGAATGCAAGTTATTTTCCAAGAAGACCATGTGATGGAGCTCCGGTTTTTAGAACTATTTTAAGTCTTGAATTGCCGGACTTTGAGAGAGCTGTATGTATTACGGCCCGTTCCTCGAGTTGGCATCATCTCGAGGTCCCTGGAGATCATGCTACGATATCGACCCTTGATAGGCTAATAGCTACATAGCGTTCCTGCAAGGCATTTCGCATGCCACCACCAGGATGATAACGTTTGGTCAATAATCTATACGAGATGAACTAACCGTCTGCGTGGCAATCCTTCGGCCGGGGATGGGGGCGATAGACATGGTTCATTGGCTCACTTGACTGCTGCCTGCGGCTGGAATTGGCACCTTCCAAACCAAGCGGGCGAGGCAAGCTGCCACATGGAAAGCATAGGCCGAAGTTTTATATCTCCAGGGTGGAACTGAGTAGGCCATTCGCCTATCTTTGTCTGAGTGTACCGACAGTTGTAATTAGGGTGTGGACATCAATAGACCCTTGAGGCGAGGGACGGCAATACATGAGACCGAGTGCTTGTCTTTCCCCCGTTGAGGAACCTTCACCTATAGAGTTGACTGATATTATAATAGAGTACGTAGAAGATCTTTCGGCTCATCTCCCTCATCGCGCAACGCATGGAGCTAGCTGTGTTGGGTTCCTCGTGCTGTATCTTGAACGTGGAAACAAACGTCTGCTAGATTTGTGGTTCTGGCCCCTGAATCACCTGCAAACCATATTGCAGGGAGATTGATACCCCTTCCTTTGTCATGTTGAGTTGCGACACGAAAGAGAGGATTCGTACTTGAGCTTGCTGTATTAATCTAGTTGCTCGTTTCTCCCGAGCTCAATAAATGGAGTGTCCTTCACGTTATTACTCATTGCCAATGGTGTAGAAGTTCCGAGCCAAAGCCTTCTTAACATTAAGAACAACAAAGTCCCAAAAGACAAACGAAAGTATGTCGCCAAGTATCCATACAAGGTATCAACTTGAAGCTCGAGTTGCGTCCTCTCATTGCGTACCATCGTTCAGCCAGTGGTAATGAACATGGACATCACCATCCTTGGCAGCATGTACATCATCCTTGGCCGAGTCCTTGGCTGAGGGGCCAACCTCCGAATTACCCTGCGTGAGTCCCTTCTGCCAGGACACAAAGTCGTAGTAACCATGCTTCAACGGGTACCCGAGCGGATACTGCTTGTCCGGTCGCGTGACGAATACTGCGCCAATAGAAGTCTTGACAATCCAGTCAATCATGGCTAAGGCGTGGTACACGTTGCTCGTCGCCATGTCTCTAAGGCGGTCACCATGTGTCTGTTTCCGCATCTTCTGTTCGTCACTTCTCTTCTTCAAGTCGACATGGTCGTCGTTGATGTCGATGAACATGCGCTCCCACATGCCAATCTGCTCCTCTTTAAGCACCTTACCCTCTGGGTGGGTCCATGTGTAAGTGTTTTTCGGAGATTTCAACTGCCATAGCTCATCTTCCGAGGGCTGCTCAGTATTGACGAGCTGGCCTTCCGCAGCGCGAGTTTCCGGATACTGCTGATGGACAGAGGTGACGGATCCGCCAACGGTCTTATACTTGTCCACAATCTTCGGGTCCCGACCTGGGCGAGTCTTAGTTGGGGACACGCCTCTATCAAGCTTGAGTTCCCAGTCGCGCCCCGTAAGAGCATTACAGCGCCACTCAGCTTTATCATCTAGGCCGAGACCGTTGTACAGGTACCGGACCCTGACGCAGGGGTGAACAAGCTCTTCCGTGTGTGTCAGAAGCTTCTTCCCGTCGTCGTCTCGGTAGAAATGAGGTGTTCGCGCCGAACTCTCTGCGAATTGACCGTGGTACGCAAGATACGGCGCTGAAATTGTGTTCCAAAGTCGGTCGAGACCCGTCGTGACCAAGGATGTTGGGCTGGTAATCTCTCCGAGGCCCCAGGGCCGAATGGTATCTCCGTGGGAGATTGTACTGAAGATGCGCTGCATCTCGCACGTGCTGAACTCCACGCCGACGGAAGTCAACTGATCCGCCATCCCTAGGGACACCGAGTAAGTATAGGTTCTCCAAGTGAGTCGTAGGAGATGTCTGCCCTAGCGGAGAGTGCAGCACAAGGGGTGGGTAACATACATCCAAGGGCAATCTTAGAGATTTGCTGGGAATCGGAGCCTCCGCCGACATTGCTGTGGCATCCTGGAAACCAGACCTGGCGAAGTTGAGTGTTCGTGTTCGATCTCTTGCATCTCCAAAGCGTGGGAGAGAAAGGGCTCCTGAATTCGTCTAGGGCAAGGGCGTGGAACGCATGATCGATATTGGGGTGGACGTTGTAGCTTGCAAATCGGAGCTGGCAGTCAAGAGTCGTTTAGCCTCTGCATATAGATGACAACCCCAGCCTCGGGACCCTCGAGGGTGAATTTTACCTCTGCAGCACTGCGACTGGCGCCTTGCCAATTGCACCACGGCATCTTGGGGATTCCAAGACTACCTACCGTTTCCCAAACACCTATCAAACGGTGTAATTAGCTACCGCAGACTTGAGTTGAACTGATCATCAGGAGTGAAGTTGAACTGACCGACTGCTTTAATCTTCCCCTCCACAGCTCGGTGCGAGATTACCTCGTTGCCATCGTCTACCATGCGAGTCAAGCAAAGTTCGTACTGATATGTCAGTCAACAAGTCAAGGACTTCAGAATAGCGAGACGTCACTTACATCGCTCAGCTGCTGGCGATAAGCCTCCGCCATGAGGCGGAACTTCATGCTCCCATCTGTCCGCTTGAATTGAGTCATCTTCGTAAACAACTCTTCTTTGTCCTTAAAGAGCCGCTTCTCCAAGGCTTCGTGGCTTGTGGCCTGGTCATAACGTTCGAGTAGTTTCACCAGATCCCTTTCCACATCCCAAAGCTCTTCCTCGGTTAACTCTCCGACTTTGTCGGGGTCCAACTTATCTTCGAGCGGCTGAATCTCTGCCATGTACTCTTTCTCTATCTTCATCTTCAGCTGGTCGTGGTTGAACCCCAGTAGATGCTGCTTGGGGTCAAACATGCGAGGATCCGTCCAGTCGTTGAAGGCCTTGTAATCATTGTAGATCTGGCCGAGGCTGCTGAGTCCAGAGCGGTTGAGAAACCCAAGCGTGCAGACCATGCCTGCGAGCGACCGAGCCGTGAAGGCACCTCGTGAGAAGCCGACGATGATGATCTCATCCCCCGGGTTGTAGTTATCGCAGATGAAGCGGTAGCAATCCACAATGTCCTGGTAAAGATTAACATTGATCATGTGTCACCGCCACCAGTCTATTCGAGCCACTTACCTGTTTAACACCCAGGCCGAACAGTCCTCCCACAAAGCTGGCCCATTTGTCTTCTTCTGTTCCGGGACCGCGATGGTAGTAAACTACTTGAGGCATGCCGCTACAGCACTTGTGTGCGACTGCAGAGGAGAGGCGGCTCACGTTGGTGGGTACGCCGCCATTGTTGCTTAAGGAGGCATCTCAGTATACGCTTGCGTGTAGGATCGAGTCTCTTTATTGCCACACTTACGAGTTATTCCACGTGCCATCACAACAGATCACCAGTCTTTTCCTGTTCGCAAAGTTGCCATCCTCTGGGATGGTTCTGTGTGCACACTTGACGTATTCCGTCGACATTCTGATTGGTTTCTTGTTCTTGTAGGAGCAGACTCGACGTTGACGAAGTGCAGACCACAAGCAGGGGGAAAGAAAGGTTCACCCACCGGGCCATTATATCAATGGGAATGTCCAGCTCACAATTACTAGGGCTGAAATGGAACAAAATGGTAGATGCTAACATGTGAAATATGCCCATATCTTACGGAACCGCTTCCCCAGAAGTGTGCTTGAAGCACCGGAAACGGCACGTTGTCTTAGACCCCGCGATCCATCTTTGCTACAGCTGAAAGTATCTAGGAACGCAGCACGATGAGAACGGATTTAATCAGCAGCAACATAACAGACCAGTCGTTTTGCAGCCTATCACATCTGACTGGGGCTTCGGGCCAGCCCAAGCCACGTGTTTACCCGTTCGCGAAGACGCGGCTCGTGAGACAGCACCAAACTAGATTCAGTTGGTGAAGGGGTTCCGCAGGTTCAAGATCACGAACGACAGTTATTGTGCGCGGACGTATGCGTGGAATGAGATATCGCAGTTGTAAAATTGCCGGAGTTCCTCGGTCTTTATAGGTTCGTGGCTGAGACTTCCAGCAATTTCGCCTGAGTACCGGTATACATCAATTGAGCCCCAAATGGTCTCTGATCTTCAGCGCGCGACCCAAACAGCAGTTCATCAATTCACCGAGCTAAGCGGACATGAGTCTGCGGGAATCTCAGGATGCGCTTTTTGTGTTCGAGTGAGAATGTCGTTTCCTTCCTCTCACACTTGACAATTCCATAAAAGACGTCTCAATAGTCATACAGGCGACGTCTGAGATCCTGTGGTTGGCTTTGCAGATCCCAATTCCACCCGACACCAGATAAAGCGAGGGACAGGGCATTGTCTTAGGCGAGTCCTCCCAACCTCCCGCATCTCCCTCCTGCTCCGGTTCTCGGTCATCGTATGTGACTTGTTTGGCTACACCTGCATGATTGCATCAAGCACGGCCGATCGTCGCACTTCACCAGCGAGCCGTTGATTCGCGAAAACCACCAATATGCACTCCACCAGATAGCGACGCTGGGGCGGCACGGCGGCACATGCATGGTTTGGTGAGATTTTCGTGTTGGAGTGGTGAGGAGAAGCTTCCCCGCGGATGCGGGGGATGGGGAAACCCACCTCGGCCGATGAGATAAAAAAAAAACTGCCAATTCTTCCTGTGTGATGAAAGTAAGATCTCATCTTCTCTGTTGGTACCTTGCCTAGATTTAATGTTGACAGTTCAAGGCTGAAGAGATAGCGGCACCTTTGTGGTCAAAAAGTCTGTCTACACTCACATTCAGCGCGAACGTTGCTTGCTACCGCGACTCTGCTCGGCATTGACGATGGCTTCACATCCTGAGGAAAAGGGCTCGTTCGGTCCAGGCCGAGAGGACGTCGAGTCTCCCGCCGTGAAAGAGGTAATTGCGCCGTGAAGAAGACGATCACAGGGAATACTAAGACCAACCCAATCATCACAGGAACCCTCACCATCCTCTCCATCCTCAGCCGACGCCGAAGAAGAGAAAGCGCTCCTCTGGAAACAAGACAAGCGCATTATCCCGCTCTCCGCAAGCATCTACTTCCTCTGCTTCCTCGACCGCTCCAACATTGGCAACGCAAAGATCCTAAACTCGTCCACGGGCCACGACATGCAGACCGAGACTCACATGTCAAACCGCGACTTCACAATCGCCCTCATGATCTTCCTCATCGCCTACGCGATCTTCGAGGTCCCCTCCAACATACTTCTCAAGAAGCTCCGGCCCTCGCGCTGGCTCGCCTTTCTCATGTTCTCTTGGGGCTCCGTCACCATTGGCCTCGGCGGCGCAAATAGCTTCGCGACGGTGACGGGCGTGCGGTTCCTCCTCGGCGTTTTTGAAGCCGGGCTGTTCCCGGGACTGGTGTACTATCTCACCTTTTGGTACAAGCACGACGAGAGGAGCGTGAGGGTCGCCATGATCCTCGCGAGCGCGACATTGGCTGGTGCGTTTGGTGGGGCGATTGCGTATGGGATCGGGCATATGAACCAGGTGCACGGCATGTCGGGGTGGCGGTGGCTCTTCATCCTCGAGGGCATCCCTTCGTGTCTGTCTGCCTTTTTTGTCTGGTTCTTCTTACCTGATTATCCCGAAAGTGCCAGCTGGCTTTCGGAGCGAGAGAAGGATCTCGCGCTGCGGAGACTCTACCATGAGGGCAGCAAGAGCAGCCACAAGACTATGTCTTGGGAAGAAGCCAAGGCTACGCTGACGGACTGGAGGTTGTATGGACACTACCTGGTATACTTTGCCATGTCGACGCCGTTCTCATCGCTGTCGCTGTTCACACCGTCCATCACCTCAGGACTCGGGTTCGTCGATCTACAAGCGCAGCTAATGACGGTTCCCCCATACGCTGCAGCATACGGTACGTTCAGACAGAACTCCCCGGATGGGGCTCACCACATATCCCACAGAGACTAACGTGCAGGAAACAGTCGTCCAAATCCTCGTAGCCTGGTCCGCAGACCACTTCAACGCCCGCGGCGTCCACTCCGCAGCCTTAGCCCTCATCGGCGGCGTCGCCTTCGCCGTCTCGGCCGTTCTCCCGCCCGACGCCTACAACGCGCGCTACGGCTGCCTCATCATCGGCGCCTCGGGCGCTTTTGCGTGCATCCCGCCGCTGCTGGGCTGGCTAACGTCCAACATCTTCAGCACGGCGGCGACGGGGCTCGCCATCGCGCTCAATGTCAGCATCGGCGCCGGGCTCGGACAGATCCCGGGCGTATGGGTCTACAAGGCCGAGGAGAAGGCCCGAGGGTACCCGACGGGCCACTGGGCTAACGCGGCGCTGCTTTTTGTTGTCGTGGTTGGGTGTGCGGCGCTGAGGGTGTATTATGGGGTTAAGAACCGGGGAATTGTACGGCGGGCGGCGGAGGAGGGGACGGAGCCGAGGTTGTACAAGTTGTGATGGTCTTTTGGCGAGCATTGCATCGTCACTCTGTCTTGTTAGACTGCTGTCTCCTCGTCCGTAGAGTCCCAGTAAACAAAGTTTGCGTCAATGAGTCGCAAGGTTTCAGGACTGGGCGAACGCGTTTAGTTGTGTAGGCATGAATCCCACCGGTAACCTAAGCTGGAAATACGCGTCTTGCCAACCCCAATTACTCTTACATGTTCGCATGGCGATCTCGCGAAACTTCGTCGAAAAAAGTTGAGGCTGTCGCGAGAGCTGTAGTGGCACCGAAGCCCGCTCTCCAGCATTCCCGCTTCATTGCGGGTTCACGACAACTTCGGCGTTGTGGCAGAGTGGTCTAATGCGCAAGACTAGAAATCTTGTTCCTTCGGGAGCGTCTGTTCGAATCAGGCCAACGTCGATCTTTTGCTTGTTGTACCATTTGTCTATCCATATCCGCATTTCTGTGGTTGTGGTTGATTTTTTGTTGTTTTCAGATTCAACTGTTGTATCTTGGAAAGTCATTGAGTTGAACTCTAAATACTGGCTGGGGGTTACCCCAAAACTTTCTGCTTCATAACCGATCCCTGTCCCCCATCTAAGGTGGCTGCTTTGAAGGTTGTCACAATCTTAGCATTCCGATCGTTCCTTGTTGGCAAATAGCTACAAAGTGAGCCATTCTCTGAAGTCCATATTCATCGACAAATTGCTAGCGGCAAGTCAATTATCCACGGCTTGACTTGGTGGGGTTCAACGAGAGTCTTTTCACAACTATTACTCTCACGTGTAGCGCTGGACAGAGTGTTCACAAAGTGCGGATAAGACGGCAACTAGTTTCACACTCACTGAGGTCCCCGAGAACCGAACTAACACAGCTCTTGAACAAACAAAAACAATTTCTTTAGTCTACTTGATTACGCGTCAAACGTCTACGGCGCAGCGGGGGCAGCTCCCGAAGAACCCTGCCAGCTCTTGCCCAATAACCCACCACTGCCGCCCTTCTTCTTCTTCTCCTCCTCTTCCATCTTCAACACCAGCTCCCCAAACAACCCATTCGCCCACCCGAACCACGCGCGCGTCCAGTCATTTTCGTTCCAGCTGTTGACGCTCTCGTGCAGAACGCCCGACCCGGCTGTCGAATCCAGCACCATCCGCAACTGCTCCTCGACATCTTTCTCCACGTCCTTGCTGCCGGAAATGGGATCGTACGCGGTAATGGCAGCAATGACGGCCGCCATGGGCCACGCCTTGCCCGGTCCGACGTGTGGCCCGCCAACGGCAGAGATAGCGGGGCCCTTCATGTAGTACGAGTTTGCGTCGCTGAGGACGTACTTGCGCGTGTTGCGGTACACCTCGGTGTAATCATGCAGCTTTTCGCCCTTGGGCGGATCGGGATACTTGAAGTTGGAGTGCGTGAAGTTCCAGAGCGGCATGGCCAGAAGAGACGGCACGTTGGCGTCGTCCATCAGGTTCGCGCCACCGTAGCCGTCCACCTCGTACGCAAAAATGTCACCGAACCCAGGCCGGTGCACAATAGCATCCTTTTCGATACCCTGCCGGATCCCAAACGCCTGCGCGCGCATCTCAAGTGTGAGGTTCTTGGCCTTTTCGCCGTCCAGCTTGGCCATGATCTCAGACGCCGACTCGAGGTATTTTGCCCACATCATGTTAGCCGGCACCAGGAACTGGAAGATGCAGGCGTCGTCCGAAGGGCGGAACGCAGTGCGAATCATGCCGTTCTCCTTGATTGGGTTTCCCAGACCGTCGTTAGTCAGGGTCTCGCTGCCGCGGTTCGTCCAGCCCGTAAACGTCCACGCCGACTTTTCCACTTTACCCTCGGGCGAGTAGGTGCCCAGCCGCATCGCGCCCGCGGCGTTGACGGCGGCCTCTACGGCGTCGACCCAGTGGTACTTGTTGAAGTGCTGCCAGTCGCCCGTCTTTTCCGCGTACGAAACGGACATTTTCAGGAACGAGGCCAATGAGTCGAGCTCCCACTTGCAGTCAAAAACCTTCTCCGGGTCGTACGCCGGCATCGGGTGGTTATGCACGTACGCGCCGTTGTGCGTTGGCGGGATCCCACTCTCGGGCGGCGGCTGGAAGCTGTGGCAGTACGGTGAAATGATGATGTAGCGCGAGTGAGCGTTGATGAGGCCGCGCCAGAGGCTGGCAAGGGAGTTTGGATCTCGCGAGGCCTCGAGGAGGGGCAGGTAAGGACTAATCTGCTCGGCTGAGTCGCGCAGCCAGAGGGCGTCAATGTCGCCGGTGATGACATAGGTGAGCTCCTGATCCGTCGCCTTCGACACGCCCGTGGCCTTGTCCGTCTCGTTGGCGTACCCCCGCCACTTGACCATGCTGTCGAGCGTCATGGGGTACGCGTTCTCAAAGAGGCGGTACAGGTCCGGGTCCTTGATGACGCCCTTCATGCGGGTGATGAGGTTGTCCATGGCGGGGAGGCGGAACGTGCGACATTCCGGCCGGGGCCTGTTGAGCGGGAACTTGCGCTTGCCCTCGGACAACGGGCCGGGCTTCGAGCGCATCCAGTTCTCAAAAGATTCGCAGTCCGCTGCGGGCGGCGGCGTCGGCGGCATCGGCGACGACGCGGGAGCGCTGGGTATCGGGTCCCCGGGTCGGCCGGTGTCCGTTGGCGGCTGTTTGGCCAGCTCCTCGTCCTTATTGCGGTACGAGTCCTGGCCCTCAGCGTCGGCCTTGAGCTTGTCTGCCGCGGTATCGGGTTCGCCGTGTGCTACCGGGAGTTCCTTGTCCTTATCCTGGTTTCCGAGGGGTTGCTTGCCGGCATCACCGCCGGTGGTGGTGGTGGTTTTGCCATTGCTCACGCCGGCTGCTGCTGATCGCGCTGAGTCTAGGTAGCTACCGCCGCCTGCGAGCCCAGAGTTATTGAGAAAGAGCACAAAGATGATGATGAGAAGGGCGATGAATACGACGCGCGCGCGACGTGTCTGTATGCCGCCGCTGAGGACGGTGAAGGCTGGCATGGCTGGCTTGTGTCTGTGGCGTCACCCCCTTGGGCGCGTCGTCCGTTCCAGTGAGATTGTCTTCAATGAGTGTTCCGTGAGATGAGTCCCCAGAATTGGTGTGTCTGTCTTTCTCCCTTCCAATGCCGATGATGAGAGTGTGGCGTTCTTAAGTGTTCACTCAGCTCATCCGGCCGATGACAACATGCAAAAATTGAGACTCTCACTTCAACTAGCCATTGTGTGCTATGTCTCGAAAAAGGCGGAGAACTCAAGAGGAGTTGACGACTTGACGTGCTTCAGGCGACGGTGTCGATTCCCTCTCGAAAAGGTTTAAAAAATAAGGGGGTCACCCTCGCTCGGCATCCCACTATATTTGGATTTTAGTTCCAGGGCGCCGTCTCGGTCGGTTCCAAGCAATTTCGGGTCGCTCGTCTTGCAGGATGATCCTTGACTAGTTCGGTTCTCAACTCTGATCAAACTTCTTGCGGGGGGCTGTCTCAGAGGAGGGGGCATATTAAGGGACCACAAGGGACCTTGCGAAGGATGACAAGAGCCTTTTCATTGATTATCTTACCTTATTGAATGGCCCCATCCCCGACAGGTACGAACAATACGAATAATCCGTCTGCTTTGATCCTGCTCATGAGATTGGCCGCCATAGGTAGTGAGGTATGGCTTACAACCTAGTTCATCTTCGGGTCAACCTGCGCAACCACATTTCTTCATCTGAACGCGGGGAAATAACTAATCCAATCACGGACACCTGGCTCCGAACTGTGAACGAACCACGCGACCCTCGGGTTGCACCGCACTCTCGAATCGTTGCAGCGTTGTGTGGCTGACCACCACGTGAACAGTGGCTTCATGCAAAAACATGCAACAACATGTAGAGGAGCAAAAAATTTGTCGCGACATCTCGACGTTGGCCTGATTCGAACAGACGCTCCCGAAGGAACAAGATTTCTAGTCTTGCGCATTAGACCACTCTGCCACAACGCCAGATAATATTCCCGAGAAAGTTGCCGAGATATATAGGGCTCGAGGCCCACATCTCCTGATGGAGCCCTCGATCCACAACATCATCTCTGGCACATTAGTTGACTGATTTGACACGATGCCAGACTTGACCAAATCGTAAGTTTCGTTGAAATCTAGACAATTACTCTAACATCTCTATCTTACAAGCTACACAACTTACATATATCTTCCCTCCGGCATGTGTCCCAGCGACCCCATCCCTCCCATCCCATTCACTCCCGTCCCCCAGTCCTGATCCCCGGGAACAACATCACTCCAGAGCGCCGGGTCCTGAGGCATGGAATCATAATACGTGTGCGGATCCCATACCATACTCGCATCCCACTCAGGCATCTGCAACGACGCAAGGAAGTTCTCCTGCATCTCAATCTCCCCTAGCCCGAGCTGCTCCCCTCCCGCGCCCTGGATCTCCAGCTCTCGCTCCTCCGCCTGCGAGGCGATGACCTTGGACCACCTCTGCTGTCTCAGCATCGCAATTTTGACCTTTGTCGCACCCAGGCTCCAGATGTTTCCACGCCACTCGCCCTCGTCGACGGACATTTCGGAGTACAACGCGTCAATGGTCTGGAGCTGGGCAACAATCCGGTTGAGGTACCCCTCCACGTCGAGCATCAGGTCAGGCTGCGTGGAAAGCTGTGCCTTAAGCGCAGCCAAGACCTGAGGCAGATCCTTGTCGGGCAACGTCGTCTGCCACGGCGAAGACCCCTTCGTCTCAGCGGACGGAGTCGACGTCGATGCGGGAGTATTGGGGCTTATGGCGGCTTCCATGGCCGCAAGCGCGACGTTGGGGTTATCCTCTGACGGGTCGGCGGGGTCAGCCTGCGGCTCGGGCGGTGTCTTGCCTCTTGTTGTAAGCCAGGACCAGCGGCTCATCATCATAACGGCGTAGACCATGTGCGAGGCTATCGAGATGGGGATACAGTAGAAGAACTCTTGGGGTACGGAGAGCCAGGTTTCGAACCAGCCTTTGAGAGCCGCATTGGATTGGTAGAAGGCGTCGAGGGCGGATGTTGAACCTGCGCTGATAGAGTCGAGGGATTTGGAGAGGGAGGCGAGGAGTTCGGCGTCGATTCTGGGGGGTTCGTGAATACGGAGACGCAGGGTTGCCATTCGTACTTGGAGGTAGGCTACGGTCTGTAAGTTGTTGCTCCGACTTGTAGTGAGTTGTAGACTGTACTGACCGTTGTTTTTCAAAGTTGGAGGCATGCTGGTTTGGAGTTTGTTCCACTCCGCTCTGAACCCAGAGACGTAGGCTGAGAGAGGCGCCCGTGTACTCGCGTCCCCTTCTTCGTCTAGATAGTCTTTGGACCTTAGGTCTGAGATCCTCTCGCAGAGCCTTTGTATCCGAACAATGTAGCCAAGATGAATATCCGACTCATACTCCACGTCATCTTCGAGTTCTCGCAAACATTGCTGCATGTATCCCGAATATCTCATAGAATCGATCTGGTGAATATCCATCGAGATGCTGTGGATGAAAAGTCAGCTTGACAACCCCTTCTCCCCCAGAGATTTATGATACTCACCATGAGCTCAGATACCACACCGCCAACAACAACCTCCGTTCCTCATTTGTGCGTTCCCGCAACTCCCAAGGCCTCATAACCAACAACCTCGTCCGCTCCGGCAAACAAGGGCTTCTTTTCAGCCCCAGCTCCCCAACAAGACACGTCGCCAGCGAGACAAGCTGGTTTAGCTGAGCGTGAGCGATGCAATGCTGATGAAACCAGCCCAGCATAACCACCAATCCAAGCAGCAAATCAAATGACCTCTCCGATCTCAGAAGCATATGATCAGCAACGTGATTCAAGAGACGATACATCTGCCCCCGCATTGACTTCATGCTCCGATACGACGAGACCATGCGGATAGCAGCCATCAAAAATGGCCTTGTCGCACCGAGCGTGGTGGCGGAGACGTCATCCGGCACCAGCACGAACGGGAAGCACGGCGCCAGCTTGGTGCGGTAGATCTTGAGAAGGTTCTCATCCGTGTCGGGAGGGGGCGGGGCTTCTCCCGGCTCGGGCTTGCATATGCATGTCGGGGGCACGAATGAGTTGTAGGTCTCGGGGATGTTGATGGGTCTGATGTCGGAGAGGTCTTCGACATCCCAAGGGGAGACGCGGCTTTGGGAGTAGAAGTCCGCCGGTATTGGTTGTCCTGAGAGTAGGGAGACTGGCGGATTGGAGATTGGGTATGAGTGTCTCGATGGGCCTGTCAACACTGGCTGGCCGGTTGATGGGCCACTCGGGAGGGTGGACACGTTTCCTGATACTCTTAGGGTGTTGACCAGGCGGTTGAGACGCTCTTCAAGCTGGGTTGTTTTCCTGCGATATCTTGTTTTAGTGATTCGTCCGAATGAGTGATGAAGAGGATCTTCGGTATCCCACAGCCCCATTTCTATAGGCTTAGTGCTGCTTGTCATACAGGACAGCAACCACCCAGCATCCTTGACTGAACACGGGTCCGAGATTGATGGATGTGACTTACGATGGCCTGCTCTGCCTCTTCTTCCTTGGCCTGTGTATCTGAACCGAACAATGCTTGAAGAGCCGCTCACATCTATCACGCAACAATACAACCGTTAGTCAAAGATGACAACAAGCGCCGCCTAGGGTCCTTCTCCCACTCCCGCCATTGGGCCATCAAAGACATGGCGGGTTGCAATGGAGCGACGGTAGCCACCACACCACACGCCATTCCCGTGGAACAAACAATGTCTAGATCCGCCCCCGGGCCCGGAGACTTAAGTAATCCCCGGCTCTCCTATGCAGGTGTTACGAACCCGGGAGATCATGGACGGAATGACTGCATAAAGAATGCTGTGCCTCGCAAACGTACCTATCACACTTTGACCCGGGCGTCGTATTGGATCGAAGACACTTTGCTTTTGCGGTCGCACACGGCGCGCAGGCGGCTCCCCATTTGGCTATGGAAGGGACGCGGGTAGTCTCCGGCGAAGGACTTTTCGTCGATCTAGTGGGAGACGACGCGGTAGACATGGTGCGGGAAGACTGTGAACCGGACCCGGAGCCGAGAAAGGCCTTTGGAAAACTCCTATAGAGAACGGCGGATATTGAAGATCCTCTGACTTCTCCGCCGGCACGATGCTGTTCTCCCCGATTAGAGATTCTGTCTTGTGCGCAAGTGGTACGGCTGTGGGAAGTAGGGGAACGATGGAGACCAATTCTCGGAGGTTTATTTAATAAGAGGAAATCAAGTCCGTTGAAATGTGACTGGAAGAGTGTTGGGTATTCGCGTTCCGTCAAGGCTCAGCAAGTCTTGGATTGATCATTGGGGGGAGGCTTGTTCGCCATGTCCTTGCCCTTCGTCTGATGCCGTGTGTGCGATGGACTGGTGGTTGTCCAAGTCAGCGACCGGAGTTTTCAGAGATCTTGGCAAAAGTCCGATCCCTGCACCGGTAGGGCTGTGCAGTGGGAGGGATTTACGCCCGAAAAGCGTGCCGGAAGCGGTAATATGGCGGTCCTAGTGTCGACCTATCTGTATGCAAGTGTATGCAACTAAGTTAGCCGTAGCGTCGATCGGAGTTTTTGTTAAAGTCCGGTTCTGACCTCCAAGCTGTTACTTTTTCCCGATATCTGCTTCGCCCGTAAAGTCTTGAGTAAGGTGGGGGCCAGTTGTCCAAAACCAACTGTAATAATACGTCCGTGTACTGCGCCTGTTTTTGTTCTTGATGATGAGTGCTGACTGTAAACGGGTCGACTTTGTGCCGGTAAGCAATGAGCTTATGAGTCGATTCACATGTGCGTTCTCGCACTTCGAGAAATCAGCAACACACTAGAATCAAGAAACGGGGTACTACTAACCTTGGTCACTGATGCCCTTGCACTTAAGGCGGGATCATAAGGTATCGACACTCTGAGCTGTGTGCATTCCGTCCGAATGATAGTGAAACTATTCGGATGGTGGAAATACCACGTCGTCCCTCACTCGTCGCAGTGCATCGTCAGCTTTTGTGGCCAGCAGGCAAGTTGGTAAGAATCTACGATTTGCAGCTACAAGACGGTTTATTAGACAATCTAATAAACACGGCACTTAATCTCTCTCCTCCAGCGATGAAGTCATTAAAGACCTTTAGCCTTTAAAGAAGAGGTTGTCTAGAGTTTCATTCGCATTCATTGAAATCCGTGAGAGCGAGGAAGACCGAGGGGGCCGAGGATCATGAACGGCATCCAGACTTCTAATTGACGGCTTCAGATTGACTCGGCCGAGCTCAAGGCATTTGACCGAGCCGATTGTGCCGATGTAATTTGGTATGCACAAATCTACCTACCGTGGATGTGGAAGACTGGAGTCACCCCTGTCGGTTGGTTGAGCTACAAGCCTGCAGTCGTTAGAATGGCACTGTATCGGCTTAGCAAGCGAGCATAATCACCAAGCTGTATGCTCCCTTCTACGTAACTTGATCAAGCTGCCACGGGTGAGAAAAAGGTGGTGTCTTTAAGACTCACATCCGTAATTCCCCTGAAGTATAAAGCTGGCTATGGTGAGGGGATTTCACACTTCACGATCGCTTGGAATCAGCGAGAGGTGGCACCCAGTATGAAAAGGTATCCTGGTAGCGGAAAAGGGAGGCGTGGTGGTTGTCAAGAAGGCTGGCCCCTTGCTGAAGTTCTTTGCTGTCATGGCAAGTTTCGTTGACGACATCCCTCGCAAGACCAAAGAGACTAAAGCGCGGGTAGAATGACAGTGGCGCCACAAAAGGGCATACTGGACACAAATACTGAAACAGTAGCTCGATTTATGAAGCCAACCCTAATGTCCCCGTAAAGTAAGGTATGCCGTATACGCGGATGCGGCTCATGGGCCTCCTCCGGGCCAGCGGCACGGCACACCTGATAGATCCGCGCTTTGTTCAGACTGTAATGCAACAATAACAAATCCACTTCGTCAAAGGTACTCAAAGTTTAGTTATCAGAAAAGCTAGATTGACATACACAGTCAATACTATCTCTCTATGCCGGCTCTAAAAGAAATTTGCCCTGTCTATCCATCCCATCATCAACCCTGCTTCCCAGTAACCTCCCTCTCCTCGTCCCGATCCCGTCCAAGCCCCCTCCCCCTCGTCCTCAACGCAGCAAGCCGCCTTCTCACACTCTGCAACTTCTTCTTCTCATTCGCGGTCGTGCTAGCGACAGGCTGCGAGAGAGACGACCTCCTCAGCCTGCTCAGCTGCGTCGACGCGCCGAGCGACGAGGGCGGCGACTTGCTCTGGTTCGCGGCCGTCAGCTTCTCCAGCTTGCGGGCCTCGAAGAAGTTGGAAACGCGCCGGTAGAGGTGCTTTGCTTTGCCTGTGGTGATGAATTCGTAGATTTGGAGGGAGAGGGCGATGAGGAGGAGGGTGGCGACTAGACTTAGGACTGGGGTTGTGTTGGTTAGAAATTGAGCGAAGGGGTCGGTTGTGGCCAAGGGGGACTTACCACATGTAAGGATGAGGGTTCCGGGACTGATGGGCGATGGTACGCCCTCGATAGAGATGTCAAAGATGCCTGTTCCAAAGAGTTAGTCTCTGTCAACCTTTTCTGCAAAGAACCTCCAGGAGGCGTCCTCCAGGCTACGCACCTGTTGCCCATGACAAAGGAGCCTGTAGAAGTCAGCATTGCTATCCCTTGCTGTACACAGGTAAGGTTGGACATCAACTTACAAAGACAACCGTCGCTCCGGTAAAGATGAAGAGAATTTTCGACTGCTCGCTCGCAGACAGCGCCTCCTCAATATTTGCCTCTCTCTGTCTCAAATCCAACAACGTCGTAATCTACCACCACGTCAGCTACACACCCCAAAAGTGAACACTACCCAGTCATCCAGATAACCTCGACACGGAATCTAGTACTGACCGAATCCCGAACCCGATTCGCATCCTCCTCCAACCTCTTGAAGAAATCCAACGTCGGGTGCTTATACGGCTTGACGACACCACCACCCTGCTTCTCCCCGACTCCGACTCCGCCGCATAAACTCCCAACTCGCTCCGCCTCCGCCTCGCGGAACCCGTCGAATACCCGCTCCTGCGACCGAAGAACCCGCTTGATCATGTTGATCTCCTCCCGCACGTCGTCAATCTCCTGCAAAAGCTCGATCTCGGCGCGAAGGTCGTCGAGGACCGTTTTGGAGGTTCCCATTTTGCTGATGGAAGCTTTGAAGTTGGCGTAGCGCTTCATTGCTTCGTTGGACTGGTGTTGGGTATCGATATTAGTTCCGTGAAGGCATTGTCATAAGTCCGTCCCTAGGACTTCTCCCACCACCCGAGGTAGATAGAATCAACTTACAACGTGAGCAATCGATGCTGCAAAGATGTTGCAGTAGCTCCGCGGCCCTTCAAACTGGAAGTGGAACTCTTCCTCGCTGTATTCAACCGCGCTCTCAAGGATACTCTCCACGACGCGCATGATGTCCGTGTTCTCAGACCGCATGTCCCTGGTTCCCAGCACGCGGTGCTTGATCTGGTTCAACAGCGTCTTGGCGTTCTTGTTATCCCACCGATCAGGGAACGCGGTGATGATGGTGTCTGTAAAATATTGTCAGCTCCCTTTCTCCCGGTTCCTTTATCCGACCCTTTCCCCCAAGGAAAGGTCACGAGACAAGGAAGAAAGAGAAGGGACTTACGCTCATCAATCTTCCAAATCCAAAGCTGCGCAACAATCAAAATTTGCTTTCTCCTCTCCGTATCCATCCTCCTCTTCTCCCTTGAAATCTTGGCCTGCACACTACTCGCCTGATCCTGCCTCCCCGCCATCCTCCCCAGCTCCGCCTTGGTCCCGTCCGTCTTCTTCTGCTTGGAACTGCTCTGTCTCGAATACGCCCTCTGCGCATGCCGATCAAACGGGTTCTGTTGATGCTGCGTCTTTTGCTGCTGGTGCTGCACTCTCGTCGACGCGATCCCGTCTTCTGTGAGAGGTTGCTTCCCCAGCACGTCCTCCGCAATCGTGTCACCTGCAGTCGACGAGCCAGCTGCTGTGGTTCCCGTTGTCGTTGTGCCTGCTGCGGACGCGGCAGTGGCAGCTAGTCGCCCTTCCACGCGCCGGAGATAGCGGAATAACACCTGGCTTTCGTTCCGAAGGGCGAGGTCGCTCGCGCTGAGACTCTCGTGGTACGATTGATCCAGCGATCTCGGGACATGCAGCTCAGATTTCGTAAACGTTGCGCGCATCTTGGCCATGGCGTCAAAGTGCGCTAGGTGGGGGAAGAGGTAATGCTGCAGATTCGTCGGCATCGCGCTGAGGGGGTGCGGCCTCTGAACTGGCGGTGCTCTCCTGTCGTTCCCTGCGGCCGCTGCCGGTACAGCTACCGCGCCGCCGCCGCCGACCAGTTCCATCGGACGGAAGACCTTGGCTTCATCGCCAATGTGTACATCCTGAAGACTCCTCTTCGTGCCCTCGTCAATATCGACGTCGATGACGGGGAGCACCAGAGAGAACATTTGCGATCTCGACGGCTCTGTTGCTGCCGACCCGGCCGGCGGCGTCCCCGTCACCTCCGGTCCAAGACTCACCTCCGGCATCCCAGTCCCACCACTACCATCTGTTGCCGCCCCGGCAGCAGCAGCAGCAGTAGCAGCCTCCATCCGAAAATGCGGCTTCCGATACGGCGCACTAATCCGAATCTCCTGAAACGTCTCCTCGATGAACGCAATCATCCGGTTGCACTCCGCATCCGGCCGCCCATCCACGGCGCAAATCCGCTGCACGAGGTCCATCACCCACGCGACGTTGTTCGCAGGGAGATGGAACCACCGCTTGATAGGTCTTTGGTCTTCCTTGTGGCTGTTTGTGGTTCGTGTAGCACCGCTACTACTACCACCACCGGTCGTATGCGAACTCTTGCGGCGCTGCTGGCTGGCGTGCTTCCTCATCTCCTTCATGTTCAACCCACCAGGGCTTCCAGGCGGTTGAAGGAGAGGAGAATGCGGCGGCGAGTGAGATGCTGTCTGCAGCGGTGACAGTTTCGGACTACCCGCGGGACTCTGTGCGCTCGAATGCGCCCTCGATCGCGCGGGGCTTCGCGTAGGTGATCCGATCGGGCTCCGGACCGGCGTCTCGGCCGACTGTGGAGACAGTGCCGGCAACGCCACCGGCATCGGCAGTGTCATCGGAGGCGGAGGCGGCCTCGGACACAACTTGACCTCCGTCTCAGAATCATACAACAGATCCCATACACTCAAACTCTCAAAACTGCACTCCGAGGAAGGACACCAGAATAACCCCTTGAAGTGCTTACAAGCCTCAATCTCCGCCTCCTGATTCGGTCTCGACGGCGGACGTGTCTTCTTCACCCTCCCACCTCCACCATCACCCATACCTCGCATCCCAACACCGGCCGTAGCAAAAATACCAAAGACATCGAGTCCGACATTCTGCTTCGGCACGACCTGCGGCGAATTGAATAGATCCGCAATCGAGTTCCGGTTCAGCAACTTGGCCAAACTCTGCGGCGTCTCCCCCGTCGACGAAATGACAGTCGGATCCGCCCCAGCCTCCAACAAGTCCCTCACAAGCCTCTTATTCTCATTCTTCACGGCGTGGTGCAGTGGCGTACAGTCCTCCGTATCCCGTACATCCACATCCGCGTCCGCAGCGAGCAGCGAGGCGACGACGGCTTCGTGCTCGAACATCACCCCCGCGTGGAGGGGGGTCTGGTCGTCTTTATCCTGTAAATCAACATCCGCGCCCGCGGCGATGAGAATCCTGACGACCCCGTCGTGGCCTTCGGATGCGGCTTGGTGGAGGGGCGTGCAGTACTCGTTGCTCATGGTATCCACGTCCGCACCCTGTTCCACCAACATCCTCACAATCGCCTCCCGTCCATGGCGCGCAGCAACGCTCAACGGGGTGAAATCATTCGCGTTCTGCGCCTCAATCGAGACTGACCCCGTCCCCAACAACATCATCACCACACCCTCGTGCCCTCCCCTAGCAGCATCATGAAGCGGCGTATCCCCAACAGCATCCCTCGTCCCCGGGTTCGCCCCAGCCTCAAGCAGCACTCTAATCACTTCCTCATTCCCGCGCCGTGCAGCGATATGCAAACTCGTCCCCAAATCGCGATTCGGCGCATCAACAACCGCCCCATTCTCAATCAACAGCGTCACAATCCTCGCATACCCGCCCCGACTCGCCTCATGAAGAGGTGTCTCCAGAAAACTCTCCTCGGCTCTCATGTCCGCTCCCGCCTCACACACCAACGTCGCGACACACCCTTCATGTCCGTTACGCGCGGCAAGATGTAAAGGCGTACAGCGATCTACATCGCGGACGTCGACGTCGGAGTCAGGATTGGCTTCGAGAATGGCGACAAGGAGGGCGGTGCGGCCTAGGCGGGCGGCGTGGTGGAGGGCTGTTCGTTGGTCGTCGTCGCGGGCGCGGAGTACAGAGGGGAGGGAGGCGATGAGTTGGCGGACGTGGATCTCTGTTGCTGCTGGGTCGGTGGTGTCTTTTGCGATGACTTCGATGAGCTGGACGTATGCTGTGTGTGGTGTCAGTCTTGGGTTGAGATTATGAGGGTGAGATGAGATGAGTGGCTTGAGACATACCTTCTTTCATGGGTGAGTCCATGGTTGTGTGTGGTGAGACTCCACGAGTAGTTGGTGCAGAAAAGTGATGGTATCAGTGAGAAAGAAACAAATCAATCCTACAAGATTGCTATAAACTTATGAGAGGTATCAAATAGTGCACTTCTATAAGGGATGAACCAAGGCACTGACCGACTCATGTCTTTTCGAATGACAATTCTCGTCAACGGGTGACACTTACACGGGTCGACTTTTACGGGCCTCACTTGGCACACCACTACAACCCCAAGCCATCGCAAACCTCATTCCGGCATGACATGTCTCACAAATTTCATAGGTTCACTTACTCCTCTGGCCTCACAAACTACAGTATCTTATTACCGTAGGGCAGGGCAAGTCATTCATCACAGTCCAAGACACCCGAGGGCACTCACGTGGAATATCTCTGTTGTTGGGGTCACATTGCAACCACTACAAATGACCTAGTGAGCTCCTTTTAACGTTTCGTCGTCCAACCATTACGCGTGACCTTTTTTCTTTCCCTCCGCACCCGTTCCCCACACTAGCACCTCACCTCGACGCCACTCCGATTTCTCACCGGCCGACGCGGATGACTCCCGCCGCTACGAGCTTCTGCACCTTGGATCTGATCTCGGGGTTCTTCATGTGCTCGTTCAAAGCAGCGGGATCCGACTGGGCCTGCTGGAGGATAGACTGCATAATGGGGTCGTTCATGATGCTCATGATCTAGTGCACAAAGTTAGCCAAAACTAGTCGCGGGTGGGAAGAACCGGTCGCTTCGTGCCGGTCGCATGCGTGTGTGCTTACCTCGGGATCCTTGGCCAAACGCTCCCGCGTCTGGTCTTCCGTCTCGTTCTCCCGCGCAGAGTACATGGCGTTGAGGGCCTTTTGCTGCGTCTGCTCAATCTCCCGCGCGTTGGCGCCCTTGTGGTGCTCCAGGTCAACCTTGGACGCCTCGCTGCAGGCATCCACGGCCTTGGAGTACTCGCGCATGCCGTGGAAGGCCTGCGCCTTGCGGATGTAGCCGCGGATGAAGGTCGGGTCCTTCTTGATGGCCGTGTTGCAATCCTCGACGGCGCTGGGGAACTCGAGCAGCTTGATAAAGGCCGCCGCGCGGTTGCTGTATCCTCTGGGGTCGTTGGGGGCGCGCTTCGTCATCTCAGTGTACGACGCCACAGCGCCAGGCCAATCGCTCTCCTTGAACTTCTTGTTACCCTCCTCACGCGCCTCCTCTGCCTTGGCAGGGTCGATGTAGGCACTGCGAGCAGTTTCGATCTTGTTGCGCTCTGCCGCGCGGAGCTTGGCGTTCACATCGGGGGTGCGGTGCTCAGTCAGGGACTTCTTGTAGTTCTCGATGGCGAGGTCGAGGTTGCCCTGCTTCTCATAGGCGGTACCGATACGGGCGTAGCTCTTGGCGATCAGCTTAAAGTCGGCATAGATCTCGCGGCCCTCCTCGACGGCCTTTGAGCAAGTCTCGATGGCCTTGTCAAAGTCTCCCTTCTCAAAGTACGCGGCACCCAAGTTGTTGAGGTAGGTGATGTCCTTGTGCAGCTCCCACGCCTTGGAGTAGTGTGCAATAGCCTCGTCAAAGTTGCGCTTCTTGTAGTTCTCGGTACCGAGGGCCTTCTCCTTGTCAGCGGCCTCCTTGGCCTTCTTCTTCTCGATAGCCTCCTCGTCCTCTTCTTCGGGTTCGGGCTCAGGCTCGGGAGTGGGGGCCTTCTTGGGCGCGGCAGGCTTCGACTGAGGAGGGGGAGGAGCATCGCGCATCTCGGCGTCCTCGGGCATGTTGTCGGGCATACCCATCTGCATGTCGACGCCCATTAGGACACCAAGGACCTGCAGCATGCGAGGGTCGCTGAACAGATCGGGCGAGGCAGAGGGGTTCGCCTTCATCTGCTGGAGCTTGGCCATGAAGGCGGGGTCGGCGAGGAATCCAGCGGTCTTGGGGTTTGCAGCGAGCTTCTGGACGAGTTGGGGGTCGTTGAACATGTTGCCGAGGCCACCCATCGGGTCGCCAGCGTCTGTCATCAGCAAGTCAGCGTGCATCTTTTTGTTTCTGTGTTCTAGTCTTTCACGTACCACCACCAGCCTCGGACTTCATCGCCTTCTGGACGGCAGCGAGATCCTTCTTCAGACCGGCATTGTTAGGGTCGACCTTGAGACCCTCCTCGTACGCATCGTTGGCGGCGAGAAGGTCACCAAGACCGTACTGCGCCGTTCCCAGGCGTCCCCATCCCTTGGGCCAGTCGGGCTTGATCTCGGTGGTCTTCTTGGCATCGTTCAGGGCGTTTTGCCAGTCCTTCTTGGAGGCGTAGGCTGCGGAGCGGTTGCTGTAGAGGATGTGGTTGTCGGGCTGGATCTCAATGGCCTCGGTGAACTTGGCGCTGGGAATCTGTCAGTTGTGTGGCTATTGGGTGGAAGCAGAGACAAACTTACACAGCCTCGTCAAAGTTCTTCTCGGCAATGGCCTTGTTGCCGAGAGCCTTGAGCTCGTCTGCGGAAGCCATAGCGATGTGTGTATGTGTGTGTGTCTGAGGAAATGTGAGGATGGCTTTTTGGATGGTTCAACTCGAAATCAGCTTTCAAATGCAATCGCAACGTAGACGGGTTGTCAGGGTATCTGGTAGATTTTTGGTGTGGGAATTAGGGAGAAAGAGAACTTGGAATTCTCGTCGTGGGGTGAGGCAGTCAAAGGCAGCAAAGGCGGGAAAGAAAACAGCCCAAGCTCGCCCTTCTAGCTCTTTCGATGGTTGGAGCGGCGCCGTGTGCTGATTGGACGGGCGGGGCCGTTGGCTGGCTCGTGCAGATGGAGGGGTTCAAGGCTGAGTTCGCCCTGCCACACCGAACCCCTCACCCCATTACCTCTACCTGCCCGTCCTCACCTCGGTGTATCCTCTACACCTGTCGCCGGACCGGGGAGTTCGGTGAGCAGGGTGAGTACACCAATTTGAGATGCCACATTGGACAACAGCATTGCGTCGCCTGTAGGAAGAACTGAGTCCCGGAATCATGGTCAGAAAATCATTAATACAATTGACTCGACGAAGAACAAGAGAGGACGTTTACATCAATTCAACAGCAAACGAATGTATTCTCTTAGCTATGCACACAGAGTCCGGTCCCATGTACAATCTAGAGTTCCCTCAAACAAACAACGCCAATCCCCATGCCACACATCAAAACCACGACAGAAAAACATTACTCCTCCCTCTTGGCCAAAGCAACAATACTAAACTCCAAATTCCCATCCGCAAACCCAATAAACCTCTTCACGCCCCTCTCCAACGCCCCCTCACTCAACATATCCTCATCCTCTCCCAAAACCCCCCGATCAACAGGCCCATCCGACCCGCCCTCCAACTCCCACAAATGCCCATCCTTCCCTTTAACAAACGCAATGAAATGATACCCAGGCTTCTCCTCCGCAGGCGGCGCCGCCGTATCCCCCCTCCTTGCAGCCTTCATGTGCGCCTCCTCGAGCGGTTGACTATTATACAACACATCAGCCCGTTTCTCCCACTTCAACGGCTCCGCCTCCTTCAACAACCCGTCAATCAAAGAACCCTCCTGCACAAACTCCCTTGCAGGCCCGTTCCCCACAGCGTGAATGAGAGCATACAACCCACATGCATTCCCAATCGTCTGCCTAAACCAAATCACAGGCTCCTCCGGCCCGCAACCAGCATACGTCACCCCGTCTTCCTTGGCAAGCTTCGTGCCGTCGGCGGCGCGGACGGCGTAGTACATTGGCGCCGGGGAGATGAAGATTAAGGCGAGTGCAGGGCGGGGCACGAGGGAGAGGAGGGAGGGCTCGTCGAGGCTGTAGACGTCGAAGAAGCCTAGCTCGGGGGATATGCCGAGGTCGTGAATGAGGGAGGTGAAGACGTCGGGGTTGTTTTCGAGGGGGATGACGGTTTTCTTGCCGTTGGGGGTGTAGTAGACTCCTTCTGTGGGCATGTTGGCGGGTGTGTGATGGGGATTATTGGCGATTGATTTGGTGTTGATGAGTTGATCTGGGACTTTTTCCTGACGATGAAGTCCGGATGATTCGAGTTGGGCTATAAGTTGGTTTGATGGTTGATGAATTCGGAATGTCGATGGCAAGGCGTGGAGACGCCCTTCACTTACACGCCAAAGGAAGGCACGTCGTTGGGTGTACGCAAACCGAGCGCCTGCCTGGAACCCCGCACGGTGAGTTGCCCTCACCGCTTTGTTTCCGACTTTGAAAAGTACTTTGGCAATTGAACTTCCAGGAAACACAATGGCCTTGTATGGTCGCTGAGGACAGATGGAATCAATCTCTTCTATTGTGTGGATTGGGCAAGTTTGACCGCCAAGGCTCGAGTGCACCATCCCGTCCAGGTTGGTCTACTTAGTGGGCTGTGTATGATGAGCCTGCCATGGAGATATCGCATTCGTACCACAGGGAGACTCTTGTGCGCATACCCATTGTTGCGATTGAAGGTCTCAAATTGTAAGAAAAGTTCATAGCTATAGGATGTTACAGTCATTGGGGATCTCAATGTTATCTTTGCCGGCATCTACTTCACTACCCTTACCTTACACTTTCCTGGGAGATGACATGATGGCCGCAGTTCGGGTCAGCCCGACTCCTCCAGTGGCATTCCAATGATTTGGAGCAGACGAAAGCTTGAGCGCATGCTTCATCCAAGCCAGCTGCCATCATCAAGTTGGTAGTGACATCACTTTAGGAGAGCCATTTGACTCCAGCACATCTGCTCATCCAGGCGTTCCAGGCTGTCCCTACTCCACCCTTCCCGTCACACCGAACATGTTCGGACAACGGCAGGTCACCAAGGTCCGAAGCCCCGGCTCAACGTCTCATTCCCCCGTCTCCCAAGGGTCCCGATTACCCAATCCAGGAACCGCATCGGTGACCCTATCCCGTCGGCAGCCACCGTCATGATCCCACAGCGGCATTAGCGGGAGCTCCCCAGGTGAAACCGCGCCAGAGCTCCCTGAACATCACCCCAGGTCCCCAGCGCTCTCCCCTGGCACGGGCCAATGGCGAACTGCCTTTTAATCAGCCAACCTCTCTTTCTTCTTCCTTCGCCCCACGCTCCAGAGACCCGGAAGCCCCAGAAACCCTCGGAAACGTTGGACAAGCTTCCCTTTCCTCGGCCCCGAGCTGACGTCCAATACAAAGCTGCGCTGTGCTGCTGCTGGCTGTCCCTTTGGTCACGCAACCCCGATCCTCGATTCCCTCAACAGGCGGCAAAGGGACGTCAGTGAATCGTACCACTTTCCACCCTGATTTGTATATCAGTTGCGCCATTCGCTCTCGCTAGACTCCGCCGTAATCTTCCAAAATGGCCGGATATCTCTTGCTTGTGATTCCAAGCATCCTCATCAGCTTGCTTGCTTCCAGGGCACCATTCATGATGACCACGACACCACAGACTACCAAGCCTTGGGCCGACGGGCCCATGAAGCTCATCACCACGCCGCAATATGCAACCAAGAAGGTTCGTAACTTGCTTGGGTCGGAATCACGGGCCCGATTGGAGGAAGGTCCAGCTAACAGTCCAATAGACCGACCTCTTCACGCTGGGCTCAACGCACATGGCCCTGCTGCACAACTCGATCCTGCGAGGTTATAACTCCATTTACCAACAAGCGCCCTACATTCAGGAAGCAGACAAGGCGGACTTCATCGGATACTCCCAGACCTGGTTCAAATTTGTCAAGTCGCACCACGATGACGAGGAGGAGTCGCTCTTCACCAAGGTCGAGGACCTCCTGGAGGACAAGAGTGTCTTTGCCGAGACGCACAAGGAGCATGGTACGTACCTAATATCCACGACACCAATCCACGATGGTCAACTGACAAAGACATGAACAGAATCATTCCTGGGCGGCCTCGCCGAGTTCAACAAGTACCTTACCTCCCTCTCCTCGCCAGCCGACTTCTCTGGCGACAAGCTGCTCGAAATCATGAGGAGCTTCCAAGAACCATTCGAGAACCACTTCCATAGCGAGATCACCACCATCGCCGGCATGGCGGAGCACCCGAACGCGCCCAAGGAGGGAACACCGGAGGCCGCCAACGCGAGTCTGACGTTCAAAACGTGGGGCAAGAGTACCGTCACCAAGGCGGGCACGGCGGACGTGGTGCCGTTTTTCCTGCTGAACCTGGACCGGACAACGGAGGACGGGTTGTGGGCGAACTGGCCGCCCATGCCGGCGCCGATCAAGTGGGGATTGATCAATATCGCTGGTGCTTGGCACTGGGGGTGGTGGAAGTTTGCCAGCTGCGACGCGGCAGGCCAGCCGAGGGAATTGTACGCGCTCGAGTCCAAGATGGAGGACAATACCAAGGCTGAACTGTGATGGAAATTGTCTGGGATGAAAGCGGAATTCCTGTGGCTTGCTGGGACGAAAGACTGGCGTTTTGGGAGAGTTTGGAGCCTGTGTATCTGTACTTGTAAAATAATGCTCATGGGGGGCAGAAAAGCCAGCTCCAATGCTTAAATTACTGGATGGCCGCTGAAATCCGCCGCCCACCTTGATGCCAGGGCCCAGGTCCCAGTGTGCCGCAAATAAAGTTGAGCGGGGAGGTGTTCGGCGACAGCGTCATTCGTCGGCAGCAAGCCGTGAGATCGGCGGGAAGAATCGAAGCATGGGATCCGCAGTCTGAAGGGCGAAGCTAGAGCATGGCGGAGATTGCGAGCCATACGCTAGAGTTGATGTTGCAGCAGGATTCCCTGGTAGCTTCATCTATCCGGCCTTGGCTTTGCGGTCGCAGCACTGAAGCCTCTGGTCTCTTGACCGATATTCTTTTCTTAGGAATCCAGACACAGACATGCAGTGAAAGCAGCAGGTAGGCCAAAAAGCGAACACGATGTGGTTGGTGATGAGGCGGCCAACAAGCAGCGAGCGGGTTGTAGCGAGCAATTTAGAGAGGCGAGGCAAGCTGCAATGCGACGCAACCCCAACGGTAGGCCGATATTGCAGAAACAGACGCACGGCGCCGGGGCGGCGGAACCCTCCTGTTGTGGCCCAATGGACGGCGAAATCGAACTTGGGGCTCTTTTTGGCGCTTCACAACCACAAATCGCATGTGGGATCCGAGTGTGCCTGGTTGGATCGGTTGGAAATATCGCAGGCCGCAGCTTCGTACGTTCCACTGTTAGTTAGCTGCTTGCTCAGGCGAGGTGGCAATACATGAAGGGATTGCATCGGCGTCGGGAATCGGGAGGCTAGAATCGATAATCTTTCGCAAATGTTCTCAGAATAGCGCACATGTCGGGGGCGTCGGCCACTTTTCCTTGGCCAATTCCACCGCATCGCATGGTAAAGACTGAGAGTGGTCTTGGGAGCAGCGGCCAAAAGTCTCGACTTTCTAACTGGGGAGAATCGTCCCGAGTCGCAGTCTGGCTCGGCTCTGTGAGGTTGGACTCGCTGATGGTCGTGCGTACGAGACGCGGGTGGTGGCGAGCGTACAGAGCGTCTAGAGAGATGCTTCAGACTTCACCGTCATTCCTGTGAAGCCTGAGACAGGTACCCCATAAGTCGGCGTTGGGATGTGCGACCTTCTCGTTTTCGACGATCAGCCCGACGGGGGACAGGGCTGGACTCATGAGGTGCAGGTCATCATCAGCAACAACGCTGGTACAGATTACAGTGCCTCATTGCCTGCCTCTCTGTGAATCTGGAACGGGGTTATTGCTCTGTCAATCTGTGGTCTGCGATGCAGTGGTTGAATGTGACCGGCCGGTTGTAACTTTGAGAAGGACGAAAGAAAGTTGGTCTCTGACTCTCTGTACAGTTCGTGGCCTGTACTGTGCAATAGCAAGACACCGGTCTTTGAGTGAGAAGGGATGCGGGAGCCATTGTGAGAGGCAATACACGGTGCGTTAAACATGGAGAATCGAGTAGCAAGAATCGAGCCTTGGAGTCGGGACATGTGTCGTGCAGGAAGTTGGGAAGCAGGCCGGGGTACTTCGAGGTTGCAATTGGGCGTAAACTTGCTCAAAAACTCTCAGGATGCTTGAGGCAGGAAGCGATAGCGTTGTCTTGGCAGCAGGAGAGGCAGGAAACAGAGCAGGCAAGAGCAGGCAAGAGAGCAATTTTGCCCCCAGTTTCCCCGTGCGATTTTCTTACATGCGCCTTCCTGAACATACGATAAGGCAGGTTACTCCAACAGCGACCTCGTTGGCTGCTTCCTTCCATGGAACTTTATGTCCTACCTAAGTTACTGTTCGTACCTTAATGTACCCTATGTAACACAGGCCACAGGGCAAGCGCGAACATTGAACATGAAGAATCAACTTCTATATTTGGCACTGCAGGCAAGAACAGGAAGCCGTGCCTTGCCTTATGCTTATGTTCCCGGAAAGACCTGGCCTGGTACTTCGTACGGGTGAAATGGTACGTGCCTTAGAGTTCAAGTAAAGGACCTTGTCAAGTGGAACCTCATCAGATAATCATCGCACATCCTCGTCGCTGCATTTACACCGATGCCCTCAACCAGCCAGTGGCCATCATCCAACCGGGACGACTTACGCTCTCCCACTCAACCCGTACTACGATGTTTACGGATATCGTGTTTCCTCTGCCCACCAACCCACCGAATCTTACTTTTGGACCCTTGCTTGTCTCTCGGGAAGGAATCTAGCGCAAACTGGTCCTTGTAACTCGCTCTATCCCATGGAAATCTAGCGCAAAGTGGGTCTCTTGGCAAAGGTCGTTCTTCCCTTCGCGGCAAAGAAGTGAGAAGATCGATTGGATTCCCTGCTGACCCTGCCTTTATATAACAATGTCGAGACATATCCCCATTACTCAAACTCTATTCCGTCTTTTCTTCTTCAGCTTCGCTCTACCGACACTCTGACAGCTTCCGGGCCCTTGCTCCTTCGATCGATCGTCGGTTGCGAGTATCACGACATCAGTACTAGGCACAACTATTACCAGACTACTACACCACAAATTGTCTTGAGCAGCATCTACGAATAAACCGACGAGATGGACGGCATGTCAATGGCCACCACCACCACTGCCATGGCTGCCACTGGCACTATGAGCATGGCTGCTACCACCAGTACCAAGGCCGCCATGTCTGGCATGGGAAGCAGTACTGGCTGCAAGATCTCTGTACGTCCTGGCCGTCACCATCTGCCTTTGCTATCCATGGCGCCTACTAACCGCTTCATAGATGTTGTGGAACTGGAACGTCAAGGACAGCTGCTTCATCAGCAGCCAATGTACGAACTCCCTATCTGTGCCAACGACGATACCAAACCACTAACACCCCTACAGGGAAGATCACCTCCAACGGCATGTTTGCCGGCTCATGTATCGGGGTTATTCTCCTGGTCATGGTTCTCGAGGCTCTCCGCCGCGCCACCAAGGAGTACGACAGATACCTCATCAAGGCCCACAAGCAGCAATATGCCAACGCCGGCGCCGTCTCCCCGAGCTCCGCTAGCGCCGATGACCACGGTAAGGGGCCCTCCGGCTCTGCCGCCGCTATCGCCGCAAATGTCGTCCCGCCCTTCCGCCCCAACGTCTTGCAGCAAGCTGTCCGCGCACTCATCCACATGTGCCAATTCGCCGTCGCTTACTTTGTCATGCTGTACGTTGCCTTGATGCTGCCTTCACCTAAGAGAATGGCGCTAATATTGTCCTTAGTCTTGCTATGTACTACAACGGTTACCTCATCATCTGCATCTTCATCGGTTCCTACATCGGTGCCTTCCTGTTCCAATGGGAGACCATTTACGACGGGCCCACCTCTGCTGCCAGCGAGGCTACCGTCTGCTGCGGTTGAACGCAATTAAGAATAATTCATACACGAACCTGAGGTTCAGAGACACGGGAGACGACATACGACGTCTTTGAGGAGGAATCATAATACTATACCCACGCAGCGTTCCAGTTGCCCTACTGTTTGAATCTTAATTCAGCGCGAATGATAATACAACACTCTCCAAGGACATTCTTCAGCATTGGCAAATTTCAATCTCCAGCTCCTTCTTACCCCCCTTATGATTTTGTGCATGATGGTAGCAATATTTGATGTACCCTACCTTGTGTTGGGATTTTGGCCGCCTTATTGCCGGGAGCTTAAACCTTATCGCATGCTCAACCCTCTTGCCCCTCCGACGGGTGCCACACTGTCTTAGGTGTAAGATGATTGGATCAACCGTCTACCCGTCCTATCCCGCGGAAATGGACGGCTTTTGTATACTGATCGGAAGAGGGGAATAAATGCATCGGATGCAGAATCTCATCGTACGTCCCATCGCCTATTAACTATTAATATGAATATTCCCCATCTTACGTGGCCAAGTACAACATCAGGCTACAGACCATCCCGACCACTCTTTTCATACAGACTATTCTAATGCCTATCACCGAACTTCATACCAAAGAGCTCAGCCCCAGCTTCGGGATCGAAGCACACAACTTTCCACTTCAACCCGACACACTCAATCAAAGCGCTCGCCTGATTGAAGACCTTATCAAAAAGGCGAGCTTCTGGGGCTCCCTTCTTGGACTTGTCAAGCCTATCTATAATATTTGACTGATAATCTCCGAACAGCACCATCCTCATCATCCGCAAAAGCGGCCTTACAGATGAGATTCACATCTCCCTAGCCCGACGCCTCGGCGAGCTAGATGACTTCAAGCCATACCATAGAGCAGGTCGTATTAACCGCCTCCAGTACGACGAGCTCTTTGACGTGGGGAATATCGAGGCGAACGATTCCATCGTCGACCCTAAATTCCCGCGTGCCCCAGACTGGGCTGGGCAATGCCCTCTTCCACGTTGATTCGGGTTTCAATCTAGACGGGCGGAATGTTCTCTGCTTTGGCACACGACTTGCTTCCAAAGGGCACCGGTGGAAGCACGGAGTTTTGCGATACCAGGGCTGCGTGGGATGATCTAAATGAGGGTATGAAAGCAGAGTTGACGGAGAAAGACTATGTTGCTTGCCATTCTATCCTGCATATCAAGAAATTTGCCGCCCCGGAGCACTTTGCGAACATCGAACCTGCAGACTACCCAATGGTACGACACAAGCTCGTACAAAAACATAAACCGTCTGGACGGATGAACCTTTATCTCGCCATGCACATCCCCCATATCGAGAACCTCGTCCCGGAGGGCTCCAAGACTCTGTTCGAGAAACTCTTTGACCACGCTACGCAGGAAAAGTACCGCGTCGTGGTGGAGTGGGAGGATGTCGGGGATATGGTTGTTTGGGATAATACCTGCACGATGCACTGCGCCATGTGTGGGCAGTTTGCGTACAGGTATAGGAGGGATATGAGGAGGGTTACTGTCCATGATGGGAGTTCGCAGGCATGGGGGTTGGAGGAGAGGACGGATGTGAGGCAAGGCTTGCCGTGATGGATGGGTGGTGGTGAAGGAGTGTTGAGATTGGATACATCGGTGTCGGGTGGTATCTGGGATGTGTTTGCTAGTAGATGTCGTACAAAGAATTGAAGTCTTTCGTTGTTTTCTTTGTTGAAGAACAATCATCCCAGCCGGTACGTGCTTGCTGGCAGCTTGGATGTGGCTGCTGATACTGAGGGATTCAGCGTCGAAGTCGATCACTGGATTATTTGTTAAAGAAACAATAGTTGACGAAACAAGTCCCGTGTCTGGTTTGGCAGTGAGACCCATGTTATGATGACCGCTACCGATTGTTCGTCCGCCCAGTTCTTCGTAACTGGCTATCTCGGTATTTACCGCAGTGGACAAGACTCAGACACATGCAGCAGGCAAACTTCGCGATATTGGTATGCTCTTTGTCCACTACCTGATAAGTGTCTTGATTCGATCAGTTGTTCACGATTTTACCAAACTGCTTCGTCGGAGGTAAGCAAACACGTCCCTACGCCCAGCCAACTTGTGATGCGAAGTCATTCATCTTTTCACTTCACAGTTGTGGTCTTATCGAACCTGCAGTCTTTGATTTAGATGCTTGTTCTTGCAAACCTGGACTGCCAATGGCTAGCCGCTAAACAGTGGTGGGAAAACTCGAAGCGATTAATATGCCCTAACCCACTGACGATGTGAGAGATGGGAGGACGGGCTGGCGGTAATTTGGATCTACTGTCTAAAGTGACAAAGACGTATTTTCCACCAGAACACCTTAAATTTTACCAGTCTGCCCTATGCCAGGACAACACAAATCTCAAAGAAAGTCTGAATGACAGTTCAACCTCTGAACAGCCTCATCTAGGCCACTCAAGGTGGAAATCTACCAAAAGTGAGAAATGAAAAAGGCAAGAGGTTTGGGTCTAGACTAATGCCTAGCTAATGGTTTCTGTTAACGTTGAAGTATTTGAAGGGTCAGATTGTCCTCTGGGAAGTGGAAAATTGCCCATGTCGCTCTCATAACATCAACAGAGCGAGTTAATCAACGGACCTGTCAATCGTTTAGCCTCAGAACTTGTCCTCTCAGCCCTTTCTCTCCATTTGGAATTTGAACCACTTATATATCTGTCCTGAGGTAAGTAGCAATCTTTCTTTTTATCCTGCTCTGCAGGCAACGAAGTCTGAACAAGTTAATAATTTTGCACTAAAGACACCATGTCTTCGGATACAGATCCGGTATTTGATCAAACGGCGGCTGCACCCATGAGGAAGAAGACATTCAAGTGCCCTATTGCGGGTTGCATATTTAACGTGGACAAATCCATATTTTTCGAAGATGTGCGTGTGTGGGATGCGCATGTGGCAGAGCACCTTACTTGCCCTTACTTTTTCTGCCGCGAAAAATACCCTGATCAGACAAGTATGAAGGAACACGAAACGAAGCATGACAAAGCCAATGACTGCGATTTTGGGTGTAGCTGGCGTATGTGCAATAACACGTTCAAGGATTTAAAGAGTGCCAGGATGTGTGACTGGTCACACCTAGCGGTACAGTTCGAGGCCGACCCCCACTGGAGGTGTAGGAAACTGAAAGATAATGGAGAAGTGTGTCATAAAGGCTTCAAAAAGAATGAACTTCCCGAGTTCGAGAAGCACTTGAGAGAGGCGCACAAAGTACCCCTCGACGACGTGTTCGTAACCATAACAGAATCCGAGGTTATGATGAATGGAAAAGGATTCTGGTGTCGACTTTGTGGTGACTTTGGTGAGGCTTGGAGCAACGATGATGAGCGCCTTCCAAAGTATGGAAATGAACCCTGGGCTTGGGTGTTCCGGTTTTTGGATCATGTCTCAGCGCATAGCATTTCAACAAAGAAAATGGTTGGTGATGCGGAGGACACTGATGAGGGGCGGGAGACTGACGATGTCTAAATGAGCGGTTAAGCCATATGATTGGATACCAAGTCAGAGCAGCAAAGGATGTATACGGAGATCTAGCTGCGGGTTAATGTCTCTTCTATAGAAGGAAAGTACCCCAATAGTTATATCAATATCATCTTCTTCATCACAATCTCATCTTGTCGTACTATTGACAATCACAACACTTTGATTTTAATGTGCTCCTCTATCACGTAACATAAGGGTAGTTACTGACACCTACTACAAAAAATCATTCAATTGGTCGTGAGTGATTATCAGCGTTCAAAAGCGTTTACTGAAACGTATTCTGAAAGGCGGTCATCGGGGCGGAGTCACCTGGCCATGGTGACAAAGCCATGTCTACCGCCGGAGTCTAGTAACGTTACCAAACTGCGAAAGAAGTCAATACAGGCGAGTTGAATCGTCACAACTCACGTGGCTCCAGCTTGAAATAGAGGAGCTAGCTTGTCATTGCAAATTTCTCGCAGATAGTACAAAGAGCCGTGTAGGCTGGCCTCGCTAAATGATCCTTAGGTCAGGATCTAGGACGCGTCTCGCGATGCACAATAGTTTTGATAGTGGTCAGTACCGAGAAGGTATCATTGTGAATTTCACATTCATATTATCCCGGCATACAGAGAGCTTTTCCCTTGTTCAATACCAAAATCATGTTTGAATGGTATCACTCGAGGAGAGTGAACACCACACCGCCTAAACTATTCATAAATCATTAGAGTGTGACAGTCAAGGATGTCAAGAGCACGAGATTTTGCTCTACGTAGGAAATCATTCAGTCATTATATATCGAGACATATACATATGAAGAATGAGATTTTCAACTCGAAGTGGGAAACCTATCCATCGCCCAGGACGTTCTACAAACCTTGCACTTGACCTACAAGTTATAATATTGGAACTACAAGTTGAACCACAAATCAATCTCAAGGTAGCTATTTTTGATCTGCCCACGAAGTAAGTTGACAAGTTTGGCACATACTAACAGTATCATAACGAAAGTATGTCGCAGGACCCGTTTATGGATGTCATACTCGCGATTGTGTGCTATCATAAGGATTGCAATGAAGAGTTCGATAACGAAGCGGAACGAGATGCGCACGAGAAAACGCATCTTACGTGCACGTATTGTGGCCAAGCATTCGACAGTGTAGCGGATCGGATTGATCACGAAACAGAGCATGTTACGTGCTACTATGGGTATTGCGGCTTGCAATTCCCGAATGAGGACCTCCGGATGATCCACGAACAAACCGAACACTTTCTTGGCAATTTCATGTGTACATTCTGCGGACAGCGTTTTGAGGATGCACTCCAATGGAGAGCATGCGAAGCATCACACGTTGCTGGCCGTGGACGGCCCGAAGTCTACTGGGTGTGTTCGGAGGCATCGGTCATGGATGGAAAACCGTGCAACACATCTTACACCAGTACACAAGGTACCAACTACAAGAATCACCTACGAATACGACATCGCTATAACCGAACGGAGGATGGATGGAAACAGATTCTTGATAAAACTTGTTTCAAGCATAGTGGATTCTGGTGCGGGCGTTGTGACAAGGGTCTCAAATACGATGACCCGGCTATCAAAAGGGATCTTAAGCTCCGCGGGATAGGGCAGTCACTTCGTCTGGATCACATACAAAAGCACGTGTTGGAAGATGGTGGCATCCATTGGCAGTGGCCTAGTCCGGGGGTGTGAGAGTGAGGCTATTCGCAAAATAGAGATTAGCAATTGTGCTCAATAATGGGCCGCTGAATGGATGGAGTAAGAAGTGCGAGAGTGAGGCGACTCATGGGAGCAGTCAGTGATTGTGCCTGATGATGAGCCACTGAACCATGAGAACAGGGGATGTTTCTTGGGATCTAGCTGCTGGTGGAGTATCTCGGACCTACTCAGACAGTTAAGTAAGATAATTCATCATTAAGGAAGTACAGGTTTAAATCTGATCGAAGGCAAATCCTCTAAACCTTTCCGCATGGATCAATGTAACCCAAAGATATTTCGTACAACACGATGTGGAGGCACGCGGCAGCTCTCGACGGGTCATTACGCAAAAGTCTGGATCTTGCTTGCCAGAGGATAATCATTAGTGTTGGATTTCGGGACCGGCGGCCGGTGCCCACGGAAAGAGAAAACTCAGCTGCTGACCTCGGCTCTAGGCAATAAATTTCCCAAAGCCGGTGATGGGTGCCGCCTGTTCAAAATGACAAAGACACACGTGTTTACCGCCGCGACACCGTACTGTAAGTTGACATAGAGCATCTGAACAGTCCCTCCCCAGAAAGACCCACATTAACAAAGAAGCCCAGAGAGGTTGTCTCAATTGCCCTGAAAGTGAGAGGTCACCCATCGAGCTCAAAGGCATAGATATCAATGTCATGTCAGAGATGCTAGACTAGAAGCAGCGGGGAGTCAGAACGTAATTTGCAAGGTGGAACTCCTCTGGTGGCGGTCAATATTAGAAAGGAATCATGAAATGTCTTTCTTTCTACCTTCACCAGATGACATTGGAAATTTGCATTCAGACAGCAAGGCCTTGTCTATGCATGTTATTCGAGCACGAAGAAGAATGGTTTACCGAAAGACTTGAAGGACATGGAAGTGACTATCATCGGAAGATCTGGTTCATCATCCAAGTTGATTCAAGTACTGAGCTAAACTATATTAAGAGCGATGTCCCTTGGCTTCTAGGCGTATGTAAACTGGACAAGCCAGGACAACAGAACGAAGTTGCAAGCATTTCACAAACCTCATCCTAAACTACAAACTTGTCACCCAACTTCCACCTCTCTTTGGATCACACCTCAAAGTACTCGATTATATCGAGGTAGCTATCAGTCTTCTTCTGTCGTTGACGTATCTCACAAGTCGGAAGACATCACTAGATGTTCACATAAGGAAGAATCATGTCCAGAAACGCGACCTCGCATACCAACGGGCACCCGCTTACGAACGGGCATCCGCTTACGAACGGGCAAAATCTCACAAACGGGCACTCGCACACCAACGGAAATCCGCCCGCAAACGAGCAAATCATCTGCTACTACGGGTATTGCGGTCGAGTCTTTGACCTTGCTATTGATTTACGTGACCACGAAGAAACGCACAACTTCGATAATAATGGCAATATTATCACGTTTCATTGCACCTTTGATGGCTGCAGTGATACATTCAACGACGCAAAGCTATGGAGAAGTCATGAAGAGGAAGCCCATCCTGGTCGTTTCAACACTGGTATTCACTGGATGTGCGGAGACAATGTTGCCGGGACTAATGAGCCATGTAACGTATGGTTTACCTATCAAGACCAGCAGGACTTTGTGCAACATATTATGAGTCACAACGAGGGCAGACAAGCATTAACTCATCTGGACGTGGGAAGTCTCCTTCAAGCATACTGTTACCCGGGACATTACGAAGGATTTTGGTGCAAGCTTTGTTTCAAGCCTCACAAATTCAGGGACCACCATATTTATGAAAACCTAAGGCGCCAAGATCCATTCCAAAACGTTCGTTTGGATCATATCCAGCAGGAATACATCGACCGACCAGAAGCCTCGGCGCAAAGTTTGAGGGGAACACAAACTATCACGCGAGGAGTTGTGATAAACTAGACCTCAGTCATTATATGTCACCACAGTATACAGTTCATCAAATGAGGGGATGACTGAAGTTTCTCTTTGGATCTAGCTGCTCGTCGAATATTTGAATACAACTAAGTAAATTTACACTATGAGGTGCTAAAACACCTTAAAGACATTTTTCCAACATCACTGAAATTTTCCATGAACATTTCCATCTTTAGTAAATGTTGCTCATACATTTCTTTTCCGTCCGTTGGGCTTAAAACGTACTCATGAAATAAAAAGCCTTATATCTTATAGCATACAAAGACACTAAGAGCCTGGAATCAGCAGACGAGACCCCGGATTCCAGACTCGGCTACAAACCATCTTATCGCCATCCCATGAATCTTTCAAGGCGATAACTCAAATCGACAGATGATTGCTCCTCTTGTGGCCATCTTGATCATCTGTCTAGAGTGATAAAGACGCAGGTGTATGCCGCCTGAACAGGGTAAACCCCAGAAAATCCCTGATTGACAAAGAAAGCCCCGCAACTATGGTAAGCCACTGGACAGGTTCTTCAAAGAAATCGTATGGTTTTTCGGACTCTCTTATCGAGTTTTTGGACTCAATCGCCCAGACAAAGGTGAGCTAGAAGGTCAGTAAGACTTGGCCTTTCTGGTGGCGGTCAATCCTAGCAATGCGTCGTCTTTGCTTGCATTTATCCCTACCGAATTGTGAAGAAGTTTTCCTCAACATGAAAGGACAAGTTCAATTACGCAATCAAAGTTGGCACTGCTTGTTGCATCACCTACCTCACACGACTGCAATTGGTCTTCTATTGAAAACCTTGGTAATGGACCAGACAGTATAGTTACACATCAACTGACGAGCGATTGCGGTCGCTTCCTGGGATCATGAATGCCCTCACACAGCTTTACCGTGATAGAGAGTTACCAGCCATTCAGCAGCTCTTTGGCCAGCTTTTCTGAGGTAATTCTCAAGACTGTCTAGCTCAAGCTTCTTAGAGAAAACATCGCGGCGGGCCCAGGAATACTCTGGGATCATGGATGCAGCGCACGACACACAGACTTTTAGTGGCGGTCAATTCAAGAATGCTTTATTGATAACTTGACATTTGATCCTCGCCAGATGACATGACGTTTCAAAATCAAACATCAAAGCCTAGACGATCAATGTTGCTCGTGCGAGGAAGATGAATGCTTCGCCGCCCAAGGTAAACTCACAATGAGAGGGGAGTCAAGCTTATTGAAACATCTCGGCGATCAAAAGATTCAAGCTAACTGTCAACTATCAAATCTTACCTCAAATGTATTAAAGGAGGGGTGATCCGACCTCTAGGGAAGAATGGCTGGTAAACATCACGACGCCAGACACCCGACCGTGGTATTCTATGAAACTTACGCCTAAACTACAAATCTGATATTCGTTTTCTTCGAAGTCATAGTTTGAATCACCAGTCTTTGCCAATGTAATCAACATTTTGTTCCTGCTCTTGGTGAGACTTACGAGTTCATGCTAACAACAGCCTTTCAGGCACCATGTCCGCAAACGGGACTTCGCACATAAATGGAAATGGCCTTACGAATGGGCACAGTGAACATTTACCCAGATGCTATTATGGGTATTGTGGCCGACGATTCACCACTATGGCGGAACATGCGACCCACGAAGAAACGCATGATAGTGTCCCTGATGGCTTCTTCTGTACCTTTTGCTCCTCGCCTTACTTGGAAGCACGGAACTGGAGACTTTGTGAACAAAGTCACGCTGAGCAACGAATCCAGGATCTAAACGGCATTTACTGGGTGTGTTCGCTGCAGGACCGTGACAATGATTCAGGGCTTTGCAATACATCATTCGAGGTTACGCAACGTTTCGAGTTTGCGGAACACTTGATAATGATGCACGGAGTGGGTACCTCTTGGAATGAGGTGCTCTCAGTCCAGAGAGAAAATTGTTTTCCGATTTATGCCGATGGATTCTGGTGCGGATATTGTCAAAAGGCTCTAAAATACGATGATCCGCAAATACAGGAAGGCCTCGCTCTTAGAGGTTTAGACCAACCGCTGCGTTTGGATCATATTCAACAACATATCATCGATGGGATAAGACCCCGCTCATGGCGATGGCCTCGACAGGGCGTTACTGAACAACCTTGAGGAGAGGAGGAAGATTGAGGAGAGGGAGAAATACTTCTTAGGATATAGTTATCAGTCAAACATCTTTTACGTAGTTGATTCTGCTTAGGAAGGAAGTTACCAAAACAACTAAAACGCTATATCTTCAACACCTTCCCTTAGATGATCGCATCTTGCTTGCTTTCCTACCTGAAGTACCTTGATCACTCCATAGACCTCATAGATCGACAGGTACACTGTATCCCTTCATTTTATCCAAACTTCTAGACATGTAGGTCAGGCACTCCGGCATCCTTCGTCACTCAGCCAAGCTTGCAGCAGCTATAGAAGCGCGACTGTTTCCTTCTGGTAGACTTGTTAAAGGTCGCATCGAGAGAGCCCCTAGAATACGTACTAATTCGCTGCTATTGTTGGAACGACGTACAGAGTCTACTCCTTCAATTGCTTCTGTCCCATCCCTGGGCTAGGACTCCGCGAACAGTAGCGTCTCTGCTATTGTTGTCTAGGTGGTTACCTCACGTCGAACTCAAAAGTCCCGTCTCGTGGGTTTCGGCGCCACCTGGTCTGCTGGGATTAATATTGTGAGTGTCGCGCTAAGTCGATGTTTGTTTGGATGATCTATCAGATGAATAGAGAAGGTATCCTAAGCACCACTAGTCACAATTCTTCCATGCCACTTTGTTCATAACGTACTCTGGTATCCCGAACTACCTTACCGTGGGACTCAAGATTCGCTTAACAATTCCCCGGACCACCTGGTGAATGAATTTCGTGGCATCTAACAGTGAAAAAGAAGATTATACTCGACCGCATTCTTCCTCTCTTGAATGGCTGTATGTGTCGTGTTACCAATCTGGTGATCTCCATCTCTTTCAATATTCTTGGCGAGAAGCTTACCGCTTGATTGACACCCAGTAAACTCTCAAAGAGGAGGATAATGTCCTTCTCATCATGATCTTGTACGGGAATTGGAGTGATTGATGCGTTTCACTGAACAGTCAATTCAGATCTTTGTCTAATGGAATAAATTCTTGATTGCAGGGCCATATTTTGGTATATGAGCACCCACGCTTGGATTTTCCGACATCTAGCTTCCAATTGCGATCATCTGTGAAGGCCGTCACTCACCAGACCCTGCCTTTTGATTCAGACGTTCAACTTTCTTGGACAACTCGGAATAATTAGAATAATCATCAAGGTCAGTAGTTTGAATTTTCTGCTTTCCCATCAGCCAGGTTCAAGCTTATGACTGCGTATACTGATGTTATAATAGAACTTGAGCATCATGTCTGCCCAAGCTGAGCAACAAGCGGTCCAACCCGAGCAACAGGCAGTCCAATCTGATCAAGTGAACATACAGTTTCCACCTATGCCTGATAGAGTAGGAGAGGACCAAGACGAAGAAATAATGGCGGCTGAACGAGAGGCAAGACAGGCCGGACAGCCCACCAAACTAGGGTGCGTCCATTGTAGACGAGAGTATGCCACCGAGGCTGCTTGGATACGTTGTGATAAAGCCCATCCCAATTTGATATTCTTTCTATGCGAGGAGCACTCGCCTCCTACCCCGGGTCGCCCTGGTGTTCCCTCGAACATCACCCCTGGCGATCCAAATTGCAGGTGTTTGCAAATGTACTGCAGTTTCGAAAATTTTTATCAACACTACAATATCAACCACGGCTGGGATTCGATAGACGATCTCCTAAAACGGAGTGATTGCGGGAAAGACAACTTCTTTTGTGGGTTCTGTGTCAAAAAGAAGAAATACCCACGCGCTATACCCGATGACACGCAAGCCACGACCGACAGAAATATGAGAATCCGTCAAAGACATATCTTAAAACATTACCGAGATGGCGCAAAAAGCAAAAAATGGTTTTTTCCGCCCCTCATGGACACCCCTCGGTCTAATCGTCGATAGTGTCTAAGATGCATAAGACCCACGCTGTCGCCGTCGCCATCACCGTATCTGAAAACCACGATCATATTCACTGATCGAGCAGCTACTTAGAATTAGGCAGCGTATATGGCGCTCAGCGAAGGACCTCGATAGCCACTGATCAACACGGACATCGTACATGGAACGAGGACAAGCCGTCAAGCGGCACGCTGCGTGAGAACAACTTTTCCATAATGAGCAGGAGTAACACGCTTTGGAAGTCTCAATCATTCTTCGTCAAAAGTCTCTCTATTTCTTGAACCTGGCGGCTCCTGAAATACAATTTGAGGACCAGGGGGGGAATGGAGAATGAGGGTTGCGAGGTGATCGGAGAGCTCGGCCAAGTAAATCAACATCGTGCATTTTACTTGATTGCTTTTCCAGTCTTGCTCTAATAATCCTTTTGGAAAAATGATACGCACATTACACGTTGAAGTTAATCGTTTAATATTGGATTTAATGGAATGTTCATCTTGATATAATAGTATATCAATTAGTAGCGAAAAGCTCTTTGGAAATAGATAAACGCCAATCTGCCTACATGTCCTCAGTGCGTACATCCGAGAAAGATGGAGAGGTTTCAACGTTGCGATTAAGAGTCGGCTTCATCCCACTACGACTCAAGGCTGAAAGGAACGACCGACTGCTCTGCTCGATTCTCAATATTCACTCCGTGCCGTCCGGTCCTCGCCGACTAATGCCGACGAACGCGGCTCGCCCCCGCTATCTGGGCGTACACCAACAACTCTTCTCAACAATGTCGAGTTGAGCCTAAGTAGAATACCAGAGGGGCTTGAAATCAAGTCATCCGTATTGTCTGCGCTGTAAGGTACTTAACATGACTCTTGGCACAGGGAAAAGGTCTTATCGCGCTTGTACGAGATGCCAAAGTCGAAAGACCAAGTGCAACTTGTGAGTATGCCCACGATTCGTCAAACAACTCTGCTCTAATCAACACACTTCAGTGAAGTGGTTGGAGAGCCTATGAAACCTCCATACGTTTCCTGTTACTATTCTGGCAGTGAATGCGTTGTGTTTTCATCGCGCAGGTCTCGTAAGGCAAGGCGGGACCACAGTACTCAAGCGTCTCCTTCCTCAATCGACCTATCACCCGGGCCAGCATCTCCTCGGTCTTCAAACTTCGTCCCCTCAACGAACGAAGATAGTTGCGAAGAAGGCGATGTTACGGGACTCGACGATCACAATGCCATGGAGCTCAGGGATCCCTCCGATGCTTTGCAGATTCTTACTCGTTCAAGGAGCAGGGCATCTACCGGAAACCCAATTAATACACGTCGTACAACATCTCACCATACAAATACCATGCCATCAGTCAAGCCTAGAGAGGCTCTTGGAAGACTGAGAAAAGCCAACGGTTCTAGCTCTCGGGTAGAAACCTCAACCCCAAAGTGCATGACAGATACGATGTCGGGACTAAACAGCTTTGAGCTGATCCGACGAGGTGTTCTTCACCTTGACAAGTCATCCGAGCTTCTGACTATGTAGGTTAAACGCACCGACATGGCTGAATAGCAAGACTCAACTGAACAGGTTTGCAAGCACTTATTACCCGTACTGCCCTGTCACTCCGACATGCTTCTTCGCCCACCCGGGCCAGCTACAGAAACGTGACTACTTTCTACTGGCAGTCTTGTTGACTATTGCATCAAGAGACTCCAGCAGACGCACATATTCACAGCCAGTGTTGGAATCACGTGCAAAGTCTACTTCTTCAAGTGCCCCTAGCCCATCCCTGGACTCAAACCCCGCGAACAGTCGAGGGTCTGCTCCTTTTATCTGAGTGGTTGCCTCATGTAAAAACAAAACGCTCTGCCTTGGCGATCCATAAGGACCACTTCAGTGAAGGACAAACAGCCTGGTCAATTATCGGTCTCGCCGTACGCTTGGGCTACTCACTGAGGTTAGACCGTGCCGCATTTCGGAGTCCTTCATCTGGAGACTCCGTAGACGATAGACAAGAGCATATTTGTCTCGTTTGGATGTGTGAGTTTGAGGATTTCAGCTGGTAGAAGAAGTTCGCGCTGATCATGTTCTCGATTGTAGTCACCTACTTGGCGGACAGGCAGATCTCAGTCCGATTAGGGCAGTCTTTCTGGTCCCATGGGCCGGCCCTATCTTCCAAGTTCACGGCCAAAGACTTTCCGAGTCTAAAGCCTGTGGCTGGACGTAGTACCGACGACTACGCATCAGTTCTGCATGCGCACTTGGATTTGATGCAGATACTTCACAACGCCCACTCGATACTATCCTCGGCCAATGAAAGAACGCAGTCAATGATTAACGAGGGCGATTATCCGCGCTACTCGGATGACCTGATGGAAGCAGCAACGGCATGGAACACCAATTGGGGAAACCTCCAAGTTTCTCTGAAACTGAAGTCTACGCTCCGTATTTCGCACGAATATCTCTGTTTGTATATTAACGCATTTTCTTTCCATGCCGTGGTGACGCGTGAGTCTCAACATCAAGGCCCTCGGCGGAACCACCGACGGTTGTTACGTGGCAACAAGAGATCGGGGTCGGATCTTTTATCCAGTGGTATTAAGGCCTCCCCTGACGCAAGATACATTGCAAGTGCCATTACGGCAGCAAGAGAGCTTCTTGGTCTCATAACGAAGTTGGACTTCCGAAGGATATTGTGTTACCTCCCTTCGCGTTATCATCTGTAAGTTCTCTCTCTCTTGAAGGTTCTCATAGCGCAATGCGATTCAAAACTGACTGAACCTGGAAGCTACGGACTCTATGCCGCAGTGTTCCTATACAAGACCCTCAATGCAGGGGCTGTTCGGGGCCATTCTCAACAGAACCAAGTGGAAGGCCTATCGCAAGCCTTCATATTGACCCTGGACGAAGTAGCCTCAACCGAACCGCACATCTGCCTTGGATATAGCGTTCTACTGAGGGAGCTTTGGCAGCAAGAAAGCGGCCCGCAGGTGGAATCGGGCCCAGAAGTCCAACGTGACCAAGGAACTCATAGAGATCATTCGAGTTCAGCAGAAGACACCATCCTCGTTGATCCATCGACGTGGAGCAACGAGGAAGGCTCTCAGACTACATTGCAAGGCATAGACCGAGTGAACCAGCCTCTCGCCGGGGCGAGTTCCAGCTCGGCGGAGGCTGACATAGGCACTCAGGACCTCCTATCCTTGGAAAACTACTTGTTCAAGTCTATGTGGACCGAATTGGCTAACCCAGAGCATCAAGGGGACTTCTATGACTTGGAAGGAGGGCTACTAGGTTTCGATATGGATCCTTTGAGCGGGTTAGAACCGCTCTAGTCAGGTTCACTCAAAGAAATGACCTTGCATCGATCGGTAACTTGTCCCTTGCGCTCACTGAAGGCAGCTACGAAAGCCAACCGAGTCTTTTAGACTCCCAGTGATCAAGACTTAAAATCGCTGCAGTCAATTTCGTCCTATCATCAACCTATAAATCTCCCTTTAATGGGCATAAAATAGCGTGGCTTCAGAATTGCTTGCCCGAATCCTCCTGTTCTCTCTCACGAGCATCCACTTCATCAACCATGCACCAGCGGCGCAAGCCACGCAGAACGCCGCACTGCTGGCCATAGGAATCACATATCTTGGGGCATCTGACGTGGGCCACAAGTACTGGCGGCATAGTCAGAAAACAAGTCCTTTGGACAGTTCAAGGGGAAACAGGGGCAGCCGACTTACAGGTGTCCAAATAAAGCTGATGCTAGCGCTGGTGTTCACAATCGCCAGCGCCGAGGCCTTCTTCTCTCTCGTCTGTCCGCACGTACTCCCAACCCAGCCGAGCAGGCTTTCCCAACAATGTCAGCTTCACTACAAATACAGCCATATCTCCAAGGATCGGGGATAGGTCTTCTACTCACATCGAGTTTACACCATACGTGCCAATAGTAAACACCGTCATGGCAAAGTACCTAGCGCCAGTATTCATCGTCACGCAAGCTAAGATGAACCCAAACGCTGCAACGGCCTTTGAAATGGTGATATGCCACGTCCTCTCGTTGAAACGACCAGAGCTCCACGCCCAGACAATGGAAAGTATACCGGCAATGAGGTATGGCGGGCATGTGAGGACCAGCGTGATCGTTGTGTTGAAGTTGAGCGTTTGGACAATCGCTACATACAGGTTAGCTGGCGATCATGACGAAGAACAACCTTCGGGAAGGAAACTTACTGGGAAAGAAGTTCTTGAACCCATTCGTCGCAAGATGACAATGCTGCATCCAGATAAACACCCACACCTTCGGATCAACGATCGCCTCGCGCAGACCGCCCCAGGTACTACTCTGCATCTTCGCACCGACTGTATCCCTCTCAATCCTATCATGCGCAAGCTGCCGTTCCTCAGGCGTAAGCCACCTCGTCGTTAGAGGCTCGTCAGGAAGCGTATAACAAGCCATCATAGCAATTACAAACGTCACCGCGCCCTGCAAAATAAACAACCACCGCCACCCCTCGAGACCATGCAACCCCTCCATCCCGTGAAACACACCCGCAGCAATCAACCCCGCAAACGCAGTCGCCAGAATATTCCCGGAATACAATACACTGATCCGCGTCGCGAGTTCCTTCCTTGTGTAAAAGATGGACAGGATGTATAGCGCGCCGGGGTAATACGGCGCCTCGACGACGCCCAGAAAGAAGCGCGTGAGGACGAGGCCTTTGTAATCCTTCACTACGGCGGTGAGGGCGGATACTACGGCCCAGGACATCATGAAGCCGCCCATGTACCAGGAGGGCCGCACGCGAGTGAGGATCATGTTGCTGGGGACCTGGCCGAGGATATAGCCGACGAAGAGGATGGAGACGCTGGTGGAGTACTCGACGCTGCTGAGGCCGAGTTGTTTTTCGAGGCCGTTGAGGCGGGCTAGGGCTATTGCGTTGCGGTCGAGGTAGCTGGGTGGTGTTAGTTTGTTGGTCCTCAGACTTAGGTTTGAAGGTTGGTGGAGTGGACTTACTTGAGCCAGTACATTAACCATAGTGTAGGCTTCGTAGTTTAGAGTCAGATTAAGTTCAGACAAGCAGCTTGAGTCTTGGACAGTCATACCATTACCCAGAGATCCAACTTTCTCACAAGCTTGATTTCTGTAGGGTCAGCTTTGGCCGCAGCGCCAGAGTAATCGACCGCCGCAGCAGGCCTCTTCTCGTCGTCCAAGACATGAGAGTGCTCCTGGTGAAGAACCTGCTGCTTCTCAATATCGGATGGCGATTGTGCCGGAAGGCCCCTGGCCACTGTTTCCGTCTGCGTCGCCATTTCCACACTGGTGTTGTCGTTGCTTCTAATCCTCAGCAAGGATCACAGGAGTTACAAGCAACGATGGCAAGCAAGTTGAAAAGTTGAAGCAATGAATTGAGGGTCACATCCGGAAACCTGGTCAAGGGTAAGGAAGACTGTATATGTACAACAATCTCGTGCAACGAAACCTCCACCCCCCTCGGTCCCTCTTCCCCGCAACAACCCCGGATTTGGCATCCTTGGCTCCGCGATATCTGGTGGGGGCACCGTCGTGGTGGCAGGGTGGTAATCCATAGCTTTGGACCCAGAGTGACGGCGTTCCACAATGGTGCAGGTCGACCGCCGCGGAAGCGTAAAGCGGCAAAAGCACAGTTCGGCCAGCGGCGCCGAAAGCCGATAACACCCATGGGGAGCATGGAGAGCGGCCATGTCCCCGCGCACGCCACAAAGGATTCATGGTCTCTCATTGCCCAGCCGCCGTCTCTCTCCATCTCCAGATTACCGCCTTGGCATTTCTCCTGCTGAGTTCCCCGCTGAAGCGTGGTATTGGGGATTGCTAGGTGGGCCAGACATGGCTCTCTCCCTCTTCTTGCTCGTCCCTCCGGAGGCTGGACCAATCAGACAATACGTTACTGAGATGTTCTCATGTGCCGTGTTGGTTCTCGGTAAACTTGTTGAGATGCTGGGAGAGAAGAGTTGTGGGGAGTTTTCGGCCTCGGCGACCGCGCCGATGCTTCGGTCTGTGGTGCCGCTCTATCGTGGGTGTACATCACCGTGGTTAGCTAGGAGAGTCAAGTGAGGACCATGGCTTTCTTGCTGAGTAGCTCGATTCACATAAATTTAATTGGGTACAGTGTAATCTCGATGGATCTGTAAGATGATGCAGAGGGGTGACATTCGTTCGGGGCCTTGGCTCGGTGCTGAGTCCGCAATCGGCGGTTGCTGTTGTTTTTTGGATCCAAAAGATGGATCGCGGTCATGCTGAGTATTCCGAAGATATTCATCTTCACATGTAGATCGGACGGTCTAAGAAGTCCTGTATGAAAACACCGCGGACCGCATTGAAGTCTAATAGCCTCCTTCTTTGATATCTTCCGCCTCTCCTCCTCTCTCTGCTCCACCTGTCTTGTCTCTTGCCCTGCCTCCCGTCCTTTGGCAAATCACAACTCCAAAGATGATCGATAAACCCCCCATCAGAATCGGAAACGTCTCCGGCGCAACAGGCGACCATCCCCACGCCATGAGGCGCATGCTCCGCTCCGGCAACGTTCAAGTCATCACGGGTGACTGGCTCTCCGAGATGAACATCGCCTGGAACGCAATCACCAAGCGCGACGTCGACCCTGACCTCGGCTACGAGAATGGCTTCTATGAGCAGCTCGAAGAATGCATCGACGACATCATGACCAAGGACGTGCGCGTCGTGACGAACGCGGGGGCGCTCAATACTGTTGCGTTGTTTGATAAAGTTAAAGAGTTGTGCAAGAGAAAGGGGTATCCTGAGAGTGTGGTTGCTGCAGTCCTGGGAGATGATGTCTCTGGGTTACTCCAAGATACTTCAAGGAGGGGGAATTTGAAGTTCCCGCACTTGGATCATCCAGAGATCACTCTCGACGACTGGGGTTTCGAGCCCTGCTGTGGCAATGCGTACATCGGGTGCTGGGGAATCGTGGAGGCTCTCAGAGCAGGCGCGCGCATTGTAGTTTGCGGACGATGTACCGATGCTTCGCCAGTGATGGGCGCCGCGGCGTGGTACTACGGCTGGAGAGAAGACCAGCAACAAGAGCTGGCCGGCGCGCTGCTCGCGGCGCACCTGATTGAGTGCGGGCCGTACGTCGTGGGCGCCAACTTCTCCGGCTTCAAAGACTTCCTCCCAGAGCTTGTCGATCTCGCGTTCCCCGTGGCGGAGATCTCTCGCGACGGCGAGTGCGTTATCAGTAAGACTGCTGAGGGCGGCGGTCATGTTACGCGGCATACCGTCACGGCACAGCTGTTGTATGAGCTACAGGGCCATCTCTACCTCAACCCAGACGTGGTGGCTGACCTATCCAATGTCCATGTCGAAGAGCAGAAAGACTCCGGGGAAGATCGGGTTAGAGTGTGGGGTGCCAAAGGGCTTCCGCCGCCACCGACAACGAAGGTCATGTTCGCTGCTGAAGGAGGTTACCAAGCCGAGGCGACGTTCTACATCAACGGACTTGACGTGGGCGACAAGGTGACGATGATGAAGAATCAGCTGAGTTACCTCTTCAAGGACAGCAACTTCAGCAGGCTGAGCATCGAGCAGTACGGAACACAGGCCCAGAACCCTAGCTCTCAGCAAGCGGGCACCGTGCAGCTTCGTGTCTTTGCGCAGGCGCGGAAGAAGGAGGATATCGCAGCCGTCAACTTCAAGGTTCCCATCTATGCTGTTAGAATGCAGAGTTATCCCGGGTACCATATGTCGCTAGATTTCCGAACGATGGATCCCAAGCCGTTCATGGAGATGTTCCCAGCGCTGATACCACAGTCAGCTATCGACCATCAAGTGCTTCTGGGCTCAGGAAAGCTAATTTCCGTTGCTCCGCCTCAGAACACTGCGATATACAAGATTGAGAGGCCATCCGCAGACACAGCAGATCCAGTTGACATCGTCTTCTTGGGCCCGACGGAGTTTGCGCCTTTGGGAAGCGTTGTCCACGCTCGTTCCGGAGACAAGGCCGACAACTCGAACGTGGGCTTCTTCGTTCGCAATGAAGATGAGTATCCCTGGCTGCGGACTATCTTGACCGTGAGTCGACTGAAGCAGCTGTTGGGTGACGACTGGTATAAGAATAATCCAGACCGGAGGGTCGAACGGGTCGAGTTCCCCGGGATCAATGCTGTACATTTGTAAGTCGAGCGGCTTGTTTGACTGTATCAATGTTGACTAATGATTGTGTTAGCCGAATTCTGGACAACTTGAATGGAGGAATTGCATCCTCGGATAGGATAGATGGCTTGGGCAAGGGGATCGCGGAGTACTTACGGAGTCGATACGTCGAGGTGCCCCGAACCTTTTTACAGCGGGGTAGGATTTGATGTGTGACGATAGCTTGTAGGAATAACGGATGAACGTATTTGCCCTCAATATCTCATGACGCTAGAAGTAGCGACTTGGAGTTTCTCCCATCCCAAACAACCAATCTTGGGAAAGCTGAGCAATGGCATCGCTGTGATACTGGTCATAGCAGATATTTTGCAGGTCCTCAAAGCAGTCTCGTAGAGTCTCGTCGACACTCATGTTGACAAAGTTCTGGCCAGAGGCTTGACCATACATTGCATCATTGAGGCACATGTCCATAGCCTGGGATAGGTGTTCTGTCTCGCCTGTAGGTTGGTTGTTATAAGCCGGCTCATTCGATGATGAACCGTGTCCAGTTTGGGCTTCGACAATATCAGCGACAACGGCGTCACTGAGGCGGTCGAATACTTCCGAGCAGTTGCGTGCCATGGCCCATCTCTCAGACACCGCCACCAGCACCTTTGAGCAGGCTCGGGTGTCGTTGACTACCTGGCTGATTGTGGGAGTTGTTCGCAGTGTAGCTCTGGGCGTGTTTGCATTGGCGGGGTTCCGGCTTTGTATATGCTGGAGGTGGTTCCTCAGTGCATAGATGTAGGAGAGCCCTGCGATGAAGATGGAGTGAAGTGTCACCCAAGAATAGTTAATCTTTCTGGAGCGATGTAGATTGGCGTACAGCTTTATCGCCTCTTGCGAAGAGTCAAATATGTGCTGTAGCACGATGATATTTCCGGTTGCATCGCACAGAGTGGGAGATGGGCGGAACAACATCAAGATTCCGTTGTGGTACAGGAGATTGTACCATTCCGCCGAGCGGAAACTGGACCTGCTAGCGGGTGAGGTGAGCGGCGCCTCTGGGGGAATCAGTGGTAGGCTATTTGTCCCCTCACGCCATGATTGGAGCTCTTCCACGAGGACGCTTCGACTATCTTCGTAGGTGACCGGGTCTCGGGCTGTGTTCGCGCTGCGATGGAGGACGTTGAGGATCTTGCCACAAATTAACCGGTACCTTACGATGTGGACGAAGATTGCGGTTCCGAGATGCCACTCTGGGGTTCTAAAGGAGGCCGTCGACAAAGAATTGGAAAGCGGGACGGGGCTGCCGGGCATGTCGAAGGGCGGGAGTTCGACATCGATATCCTCGAGCTGGATAGCCAGCGGTCGGCCTAAGATGAGACTGGCAATTCGATCCATTGATACCACACTCCAAAAACACCGTCTCTTGATCTCAACGTCTTCATGTCTTCCCTCCGCATCCGCCTCGTCACCGGTTCGTGACGGAGGGATGGTATACGTCGACGCCTTATGCAACCCGAGCTCGAAGCATGTCCTCGCCGCAACCCCAATCAGGTGCCAGACGCTCGTGCTTGTGTCGTGTGAAGTCGTCCCCATCCTATACTGACAGATCAGAAGCAAAGCCTGAAGAGCAGTGATACCTCCGCGAGATAGAACATCGCCTAAGCGCGTCATGGCGCGTGTGTAGTGGACCTCGGAATCCCAGAACCCGTTCCAATTCAGCTTGTAGACTTGCGCCGTCCCGATTGCAAGAGTCATGTCGACGAGAAAGCTGTCGATTGGATCTGCTTTGTCCGAGTTTCCCACGTCGTACACGGCATCTAGTGCCCGATCCAGTGCTTTTGGTGATAGGAACGGATAGCAAAGCCGGTCGTGGCTGGAGTACGCATCGAGTATCTCTACCGACATGCTCCTTGGTGGCAGACTAGACGTTCCACTGGGTATAAGGCTTCCCGTCCGTTCAAGGTGACGCGATGTTGAGCTTGAGTGCTGGCCGACGGTATGGCTGGGTGTCCCGGAAAACTGGCTATGAGACTGCAGCAAATTGGCGAGAAACAAACCGCTCGTCGAGCCGACAAAGTCTCGACCTCCACCAGCGCTGAGTGATAAGTGAATAACCTGGCTAGCAATCTCGCCGCTCCCAACAGCTGGTGCTTCAGCCTCGTCAGTCTGCAACCCCAGACTTGACGTGGTAGTCGGAGTCGCCAGTCTCTCATCCGCGGTGTCTGCTTGGCGTTGCTGCTCGGCCAGTCTCCCGGTCAGATTATCATTCTCTGCCTGCAGGTCTCGTATATGCTGCTCAAGCCTCTCGACATCCTGCCGGCGAAGTTGTATCTGATGCTCTCTCGCGGCATAGGTACACTGGACGTTGATTCGGGAGCAAGAGGCGCATGACGGCCGAGTGCGGTCGCATTTGACCTTTCGGCGGTGGCAGCGCTGGCATGCGCCGGTCCGGCTAACCGAGCCGGAGGGCATTGAGTTTGGTGTCTGGTAAGTGGTTTTTCAAGGAATGGCCGACATTTCAAGTGTCAAGCTTCAAGCAGATCTCCCATGGTATCGGAGTTCAAATTTGGATGTGAATGAAGGATGCCAAGAGCGTGGGAGGGATCCAGCGAGGTGGGAAATCTGGGGTAATTAGAACGTCTCCGCTCTCCAGGCCTCCTCAACCAACCACCCCGCGCCTCCGCTTTGTATGCCAGTGGATTTCTGACTTCTCCCGTCGGTTGTTGATAGCAACTATCACCGTCGGATCCACACATGTAGGATTTATCATTCTTGCTCACACGAAGACGAACAGCGTTGTTCAATGTAAACTCGTTGTCTATGAAGCACGTAAGACTATGAATGCGCGCCAAGTAAACCCGTCCTCTGCTCCAACACCGAATACAACACCTCGATACACTCCAATCCCTATATGCTAGATAGTGTACACTAGTCCTTCATACTGTTTACAAAACACGGCCTCTCACACCTAGATGTAAAGCTTGCTACCATGGTACTTGGTCTTCTTTGAGTAAGTAGAGGCGACAGCCGCCTTGGTACGCTCAGGGAAGCCCTTGAAGGACACGGCGTAGGTGGCGACAGAGTGAGAGACCAACTAAAACACAGGTCAGGAATATGAAGTGAAGTCAAGAAGTTGCGAAACTCACCTTGGTGTTGATCTCCCAAGCAGTCAAGTTGACATTGCCAACATCGTCACACAACTGGTGGTAGCACGGGTCGTACCAGTCACCGGCCTTGCCGCCGAACAGCTTGGCCTCCTCCTTGGTCTTGATGCCCTCAGCACCGGTAGCAATACCACCGCCGGGAATACCGTTGCGGATGAAAGCGTCGTAGTCACTGCGACCATCAAACGGAATAAAGGTGTACGCAAGGCCGTGAGCCTTGTACCAGTCCACGTAGAGGTCACGCAGCTCCTCCGAGCCAGTGGGGTTGACGGCGTTCGTGGCGTTGTAGACCTGGTACGCGTAGTTGGGGCTGCCAAGCATGTCGTAGTCCATGAAGAGACGAATCTTCTGGTTCTCCTCCTCGGGCAAGACGTCAACGTAGTAGTCAGAGCCGAGAAGACCCTCCTCCTCACCTGCCCACCAAGCGAAGCGAACGCAGTTGTTGACACTGAACTTGGTCAGCTGAGTGGCGATCTCCAGAAGACTCAAGCTGCCGGAGCCGTCGTCGTTGATTCCAGGTCCCTCAGCAACACTGTCGCTGTGTCCACCAAGCATCACGCAGTTGTTCTGATCACCCTCGATAGTCTGGGCAAGGATGTTGGTGGTCTCGATGGTGTTGACAACGGCATCGATGTAGGCAATAGCGTCAACGGATTCGCCCTTGCCCAGCTTCTCAAGAATGGGCTTAGCATCGTCACCACCCAGACCAAAGGTGGCAATGTGGTCGGGAGAAGGCGTTCCAAGTGTGCCGTGCACAGTCTCGGTCTCGTAGTTGTACACAACGGCTGCGATGGCACCAGCCTTGCCGGCCTGCTCGCTTTTGGCTCCAAACGCACAGGTGCCCCGGCGGATGAAGGCGATGTTGCCCTTCACCTTGGAGGGATAGTCGGAAGCATCGCATCCGTTGTTCTCGACGAAAATGAGGTCGCCGTACACGGGCTCCTTATCCTTGGTGGGCGGGGTCAGGGCCATCGGAGAGGCTGACTTTGGCACATCGTTCCCGATGACAAGGCGCGACTCGAAGACATTGCCAGATACGGCAGGGAAGGTCTGGTTCCAGATCTTGTAGTAGTCGCCCAGCTTCGCGAGCTCGAAGTAGATGTACTCCAGAGTTCCGAGGTGACCTATACGACTGGTAAGCACGAAAGATAGCGAGTTGCTGGGGAGACGATCGTACCATCGCTGCCAATGACGCGGGTGGGGTGATTGTACTCCTCCTCTCCCAACTTTGCGATGTCATAGAGGTCCTTTGCACGCGCAAGCAGGTTGTCGGCGCTGATGGTATCCTGAAGGGCCTCAGTCTCGACTAAGGGCTTCTTGGAGGACGACGAGGACGTGGTGGACGGGGATGTTGCGACGACAGGCGCATCGTCGGCAATCATCGGCGCTTGTTGTTCAGGTACCTGCATCTGCATCTGCAGGGCGGACACACCACCAAGCAGGGCCAAACCGGCCAATTGTAGTCGACGAGCTCCAGCCATGATGTTTGATACCTCAGTTCCGAACTTGAGTTGCGAAGGTGAGGTTGAGACGGGGTTGGGAAGCTGTGTGTCACAGACCTTGGGGGGTCAGAGCTGGGTCTCAGTCGGGGGACCTGGGGAGCTGTTGCGATAGACGACCGATATCGCGAATCGGTTAGTCATGTTGCCGAGGCCCACCATTCGTCATAGCTCTTATCTTATCGTTGATGGCTGACATAATCTGGTCGAGCGATAAGACATCGGCGCCCAGTTTTCACAGGGGGCCGTTTCCAGAATCAAAAGAACCCCTGGGCTGGCTTAGCATTCCCTCGCTTCACTGGACGATTACGTTGTTAGCGCAGATTGCAGCTGTCAAGGTGGCCCCGAGACTCCGTCACCCCTGCTGTACAGCAAATCCAAGGGGCCAAGCGGCCCCCGTGTGCGCATGTTTTCATAGGGGGAACACGGGGTTGAAGATCAGGACACAGTGGACCGGGGGGAAGCTCCATGCAATCCAGGAGCTCCGCCCCCCTCCAAGCACCCCCCAAAGGGCAAAGGGCCCGCCTATCCTGTCTCTCGGTGCTGCTCACCACCGGGCACTTTTACACTTCTTTCAGGTCCCGCGTTTCCCAGGGCGCACCTCAGACTTGGGACGAAGACGAGGCACGATCCGTCTCCCTTCTCTCTGTCCCTGTTTTTAGGTTCTGTCTTCTTGAACCATCCCGTCTGCATTCTTTACAGGTGCAGAGCCGCAATGGTATTGTACCAGACATCATCAACGTCCGCTGTCCAGAATGGGTGATACAGGAGCCACGGGAGTTTGGCCAAGAGGTATGTACTATCCCAAGATATCCGGCTGCGAGGGGGACATTCCCTCATGTGAAGCTGGATATGTCGATGTGGCCTTTCGCTGACTCCTGTCTCGTCCCGAAGATGCCGCTTCCTGGGCCTCGATACCAACTGAATTCCTCCTCGCCGAACTATCCAAGCGACATGGACCTCCAGTCACGAATGCCGAAGCTGCTGCGGCAGAGGCAACAAAGCCACAATGCGGTTCATCAAGAAAGGAGTCCTACGATACCGCGCTGCATATTGGCGCGCTGATCTTGATATTAGCGCTGAGTACAATCTGTAAGCGACACGTTTTGGCTTCTGGCGCTCGACAATATCTGGCGAAACCATGATGACATACGATGGAATACTCGGAGGGAGCTTCTGCCCAAGCTCTTGGTACAACATCATGTGGAGAGCCCAGGCTAATGAGTGATAGCATGCGGAATCCCATTACTCCCCAGGAGAACCTCCAAAGGCCGACCTCAAAGCATAATATTATTCTACTGCCAGCACTTCGGCACCGGCGTCCTCCTCGCAACGTCCTTCGTTCACCTTCTCCCAACCGCCTTCACCTCGCTCACCGACCCGTGTCTCCCGTTCGTCTTCAACAAGGGCTATCCCCAGATGGCAGGCCTGATAGCCATGGTAGCAGCACTCTCCGTCGTCGCGCTCGAGTCCTACCTAGCAACCCGCGGGGCCGGTCACTCCCACTCCCATTCACACGAGTACGAGTACTGGGATGACGAAGAAGGCAGCGGTCATTCCCCAGCAAACGCGCATGCCGCGGGAAGCTTGGCATCGCACAGACACGGCTCTCACCGGCCGGAAGATATCAACCTCGATAACATGGATTCTACTCAGGGGCTGATGGCCGGCGCGTCGCCTTTACCGAGCTCGACGCCAACGCGTGCGAAAGCGAATGATAGCCTCGCCAACGGTCGAGATAGCTTTGACGACGACGAATCGGATATTGACCTCGACGTCAATGAGCTGCACCCGACCCCCGCCGACGAACCCAGACGCCGGAGCTCACCTGGCATCCGCCCAAAGATTACAGTTACCCCCGGCGCACCCCAAATCGTCACGGAAGAGGAGCAGAGCAAGCTCCTTCGCCAATGTCTGCTACTAGAAGGAGGCATTCTCTTCCATAGCGTCTTTATCGGCATGGCTATCTCAGTCGCAACGGGCCCTACCTTTATCGTGTTCCTCATCGCCATCAGCTTCCACCAGACATTCGAAGGGCTCGCTCTCGGCAGCCGAATCGCCGCCATCCAATTGCCGCGGTCATCGGCGCGGCCATGGCTCATGGTTCTCGCGTTCGGAGGCACGACGCCGCTCGGTCAGCTCATTGGTCTCATCGTGCATAATCTGTATGATCCCATGAGCCAGACCGGGTTGCTTATGGTTGGGTTCATGAACGCTATCTCGGCTGGGTTGCTCCTCTTTGCTGGACTGGTCCAGCTGCTAGCCGAAGATTTCTTGTCCGAGAAGAGCTACAAGATTCTGCAGGGACGGAAACGGCTTAATGCCTACATGGCTGTGATTGGCGGAGCATCACTCATGGCCATTGTGGGAGCGTTTGCCTAGAACAGATGGGCGTACTACAGCGAAATATCATCACAGCAATACTGCTAATACACTGTTTTTGACCAACACAACAAGCCAAGGAAGGTTATGAGACTTGCCGGTGACTTACATTTAGCTCGGCCCCCACTATACAGCAACACACATAACCAAAAGCAAGGAAGAGCACACAAGATCATCCCTCCAATACGAGCAAAAGGCAAAAGTTTAACCCGGGGAATGGCTTTGCCATTCGCGGTGAGGATTTGAGCCTCACGCGGGGGTCGAACCCGCAACCTTGAGATTAAGAGTCTCACGCTCTACCGATTGAGCTAGCAAGGCGGGTTACTTGAAGCTGATCCGAAGGACCTGCTGGATGGTTGGAATCGGAGGGCGGTTGAGTCATTAAGTAGGGCTGAAAGCTGCGATGTGAAGAGATTTTTACCCATTTTCTTGCGGTAAAGTGGGGCGGGACCGGTGCTCCGGTTTTATGTGTGATTTTTGTGGTCCGTGGGCCGGGACTGGTTCCATACGTGACTCCCTCCCGGGATTGTGCATGTGTACATGAAATATGATGATGGTCGGGGACATGTGTTCGGGAGATGACTCGCATTTTTCTCTCGTCTTAGGTTTGAAATGGGTCGTTTCCCAGGTGTGACATCGTAGTATCCCCAGAAGCTATGAGTTGGGATCATTAGTACTTACACGGCCTTTCTAGTCCGGTGGCTACTGAATGTCGCCCGTGATCATGGCGATTGCGAGCCTTTCCAGACCACCGACGGTATTGTCAAATCTCTCAAAGTCCAAGACGAGAATGGTAGAGAGAGGAAACAAATGTTGACTACTCAACCCATGTACCTAGGTAAGCCGTCGCAAGTTGAATCATACCTTAGAGCTCGGTACTTGTATTGGCAGATTGGTGAGTTTGAGAAATACATCAATGTAACAGTGACGCAGATCGGACATTGATACCACTATCAAAGTTGAGTCTTTGTTGAATGACCAACACCTGGTTTACTGGAACCATCACCGTCCGGACTGCATAAGACGAAACTTGATTCTTGATCAAAACGAGCCACAGCTGTGCCAACCAGCTTCACGTGAAAGGTCTGGCCAATTCATACAACTGTCATGATTCTTCATGATAACAATACGCCCGGAAGTTTGGGTTCGTTAATGCTTCGAAGTCTTAAATGAGTCATTGCGGAGCTTTCTCTAGGTAGGTAAAAAAAAATACACACCAACTGCGCTCATGAACAATATTAAATAAGCCTGTCAATAAATAGTCATAATTTCAAAAGTCTTTGCAGCGCAACACGAAGAGAAGTTTTGAGAGAGTAAGACTCAGGCTTCAGGGTAAAATCCTCAGATTATATCATGATTTAAAGATCAAACGACACACTCATCTTAAGGGATGGAGCTCTCAATGACTTTCTCTACGAGATTACGATGGATTTTCAGTGAGAACGCAGCCCCTCATTACATGGAAGCACAACCCATAAACTTCACAGCCATCACATACTTGGATGAGACATGAAGAAGCTCATCATCAACCACTTTGAGTTCCGGGCTTGCTGTGCCACAGAATCATCCGAGGCACAGGCTGACATGTCGTCTCAACCTTGAGGACTCTGAGCAGTGACTCACTCGGAGAACTAACAAAGTAGAAAAGGCGCGATGGGATCGCATTGCCTTTTGGCCAATACCTCACTATTAACTCGTGTTCTATCTGAAGAAACTCAAGTCCAGGTGAATTCAATCGTTCTTTTCTCAACAAGATATATCAAGCTTGACCAAGAGAGTCTTCTTCAACGAGACGTCGACGGTACTCCACCACACATGCCCAGTACGTACCATTCCTCAGCAGGCCATCCCAGCGCGATTACAGCCCACCCGCAGTTCATCCGGCACCAATGCAAGGCTGATTTGATGTGCCGCCAGGTGCGCAGGTCACTTTCCATCTCTCAGAGAGGCGGGGCAGTTACTTTTTTTTTTTTCCTTTGCCTGGGCTGCCCGCAGTGCCGATCGACCTCTGATGCAGCTCCAAAAACCAATCCTACCATCGTCGCCGACCCAAGTCAACCGCACCCACCTCACCGTGGGCGAAGCGCCTCTCTGGGCGTCTGCTCCGACCCGACGAATCTTCTCTTTCCTATCGACACTTCCGACACGACACTTGCTGATGCGATTCAATTGACGATCTCCGTTCTTGATATTCACTATAGGACCAAAGTTCGATCCTGTAGTCCAGCACCTCATAATATTTTGCCGGCGCAAAGCGACGACCCCTCGATCGCGCGAAACTCGACGACGACCCTAGACGACTAGAAAAATCCCCCAGACACAACCTCCCCCACCACCACAGATCGATCTCTCATCACCAACAATTCCCCCTCCACATCCACGACACAGCTGGGCTCGAACCGTTTTACTAGCCCTTCCAATTCCCGTCGCACGACCGTACCCTCTTTGAAGCACCCACAACACCAAAACGAGACAGGCCGCCGCCGCCGTAGACAGCCGCAATGGCTCCCGCACCCCCAGCGGCGGACTCGCCCTCGGCGGCAACGACCTCGAGCACCGACTCTAAGCTAGAGGTGTGGAAGGACATGCTGTACGAGAAATTCCAAAAGGCCGGCGACGAGAATGAGCTCTTCACCCAATACGACCTCCTCGACTTTGACGTGATCCCGAACCGCGACACCGTCACCCTCTTGAAATGCCTCCAGAGCCTCACAAACGACCGCCTCCTCATCGCCGTATCCTCCCAGACCGGACTTGCCTGGCGATGGCGCTCCGTCGAGGATGCGGAAAAGTAAGCTTCACTCCCTATGCTTGGACAGCGTCAAGCTCGCCAGCCATGCTAACGAATCCTACCACCAGGTACAAGCTCTGCACGACAGACGAACAGCGCATGGTCTACGGCGCAATCGACGAAGCAGGCGGCGATGGAATCTGGTCAAAGTCAATCCAGAACCGCCTGAATATGCACGACTCGGTTCTCAAGACGGCCCTCAAACAGCTTCAAGGAAAGGGCCTCATCGCCCCCTTCAAGAACGTCGAGCACCCCAACAAGCGCATGTTCATCAAGGCCTCCATGCGGCCCTCGGAACGCGCCACCGGCGGACCCTGGTTCACCGATTCGACGTTCGACGAGGCCTTCATCGAGGAGATCCAGCGCGTCATCTTTGACTACGTCAAGCGGAAGAGCACCTACCACAGCACCGGCTCTTCCTCTTCTTCGTCCGCCGCCACTCGCACCGCCGTGCCCAAGAAGGGCGTCCTCAAGGGTGGTCTGCCAGATACCAAGGGCAAGAAGCGCAGCGCGGGAGAAATGTCGAGTGCCAGCGAAGCAGACACCAAACCCGCTCCGGCTGTCCAACCCCCCAAGCGAGAACCAACCTGCCTGCCACTCCCCGCCGGCTTCAAAGAATACCCCACCGTGCGCGAGATCGCGCGCTTCATCTCCCAGTCGGGCATTACGAGCGACACGATCCTCGGCGAGGAAGACATGCAGAAGCTCATTGACGTGCTCGTGTTCGACGGCCTCATCGAGTCGATTCGCGTCTCGGGCCGCGTGGGCTACAGAGTCTGCCGCGCCCCGCGCCAGAGCAACACGGCCTGGGCGGGCCGCCAGGACGATGAGGGCGGGCCGGAGCCGTTTGTCAACGGGTACACGGAGGCTCCTTGCGGTCGGTGCCCCGTGTTCGAGCTCTGCGAGGAGGGTGGGCCTGTGAGCGCGAGCAATTGCGTTTACTTTCAGCGGTGGTTAGGTCTCGAATGAAATAGGGGTTCTTCTGCCCTAAGGAGTAGCAAAAAGGTGGTCTCTTTTTTTCCGTTTGGGTATGGGTCTGATTCATTCACATCATGGGAAGCATTGCATTGGCGTTGGCACGAACTAGCAAAAAAAGAGGACATGGGCGGGACGGTTTGCCAGGGTCCAAAGGGTAGAGTTTCCATCCTCCCCAAAGAGAATTTAGCTTCAATGGCGACCAGCTATTGGCTGTAATTATACCAATGACATGTTTGACCCCATCACGTTCATTGTGTTTGAATGCATTCATGGTCCATCAATAGGGCGCTCGGTCATTTTGTGTCTTTAACGTTGCTTTGTGAACAACAGGCTGGTCATACGAAGCTTTGGTAATCGGCCAACCAGGTCCTCCAAGGCAAAATAAATCATAGGCAAAATGTCACATGGCGGCAGCATAAAGGTGGCAGGAACTTTTTGTCTTGGCAGACTATATAGCAGCAGTAAAGCTGATTGCCGCCAAGCTGCGTGATGGCGCAATACCCAAGTCTCTACCAAAATCGTCCTCCCTTTCGCGTCAAGGTGTCTCTCGCGACATTTCAGAAGCAGGACCTAACGTACAAAGAACCGAGCGAGAAGCACTTTACAACGCACCAGAGGCGACGATGGTGGGGCGCTTGCCGTACTTGACGGCACCGCTGGAGGAGCCGGTAGCCTCGAGAGCCTTGACGATGTTGAGGCCGTTCTGGTCAGCAACCTCGCCGAAGACGACGTGGCGGCCGTTGAGCCACGAGGTGACGACGGTGGTGACGAAGAACTGGGAGCCGTTGCTGGTGAAGGGTTAGCTATTGCGTTTGCAAAGTCGACAGCCAAGGAGGAGAGCTTACGTGTTGGGGCCGGCGTTGGCCATGGAAAGCAGACCGGGCTTGTCGTGCTTCAACTGGAAGTTCTCGTCGGCGAACTTCTCGCCGTAGATGGACTTGCCACCGGTGCCGTTGCCACGGGTGAAGTCACCACCCTGAAGCATGAAGTCGGGGATGATGCGGTGGAAGGAAGAGCCCTGGTAGCCGAAGCCCTTCTCGCCGGTGCAGAGAGCGCGGAAGTTGGCGGCGGTCTTGGGGACAACGTCATCGAAGAGGTTGAAGACGATGCGGCCGTTCTGCTCTGTACGAGGGAAAGCTTGGTCAGCGAAGCTCTGGATGCGGTTAAGATGGCGGGGTCGGTAAAAAGACAGCTCGGACAGCCAAAGATGGGCGAACAACAAAGTTTCAAGTCTTTTGGAGTCGAGGTGGGGTGATTCCAATGCGGTCTAGAGCTCTAGACGTAGGCATTGTGATGCTGGGAACATCGAAAACGACCATGGTGATGATTGTTTTGATGGAATTCAATGGATAAGTGGAAGAAAAAACTTACGCTGGACGGTAGAGGTGGGACGTCCAGAGCCGTCGAGGACGGGACCCTCCCACTCAATGTCGAAGTAACTGGACAGAAGGTCAGTTATTGCGTCATTGAGAGCATCGTCGTGATGGTGTTAATGCCCTTGAGCAAGGCCGAGGGAAGGGAAGACTTACACTTGGGAAGGCATGATTTTGGATGCTGAGAAGAATCGAACGGATGGCTTGGTAGATGCAGGAATCACAGTTCGGAGAGGTTGAATGAAGGCAGAAGGTCGAGAAAAGGGCGAGGGTGAAACGGAGGAGCAGGCGAAGGTATGGCGGGGTAGGAGGGGTCGCAAAAGGGTTGGTCTCATTTTTTCAACAGCTGGGTGGAGGGGTTTATTGTTAGCGCAGGAGCTCCCCACTGCGGGTGCCGAAGGGGCGAATAAGAAGGTCAGAAAGTGAGAAAAGAGGGGTGAAAAGTCACGTGAAGTGAGCTGTTGCTGAGGTCACTGACGGACCGGGAATGTACCTGACCCAAGTACGTATTGCGTATTAGTACCTTGGGAGGTACCTTTGGGGGGGGGGGGAGGGGATACAAGGCGCAAGTACCGCCGACGGTCAAGGTGACGGAAGGGAAGGAGGGGTTGGGTTGGAGCGTTGTGGGAGGGAAGGAAGGAGGCGATGCGGCGGGGAGGGGCAGGCGCAATGGAAAGTTGCAATAACTGGGAAGAGGGCAGGAAGGAAACGAGGGGCAAAGGGATCTTCTTCCCGGCTTTCTCTGCTTGGGTCTTTGCTTCGGTTCCGTCTCGCCTCAGCCCGCCAGTTCAGTCCGGTCCAACCCAGCTAGCACACCAGCCCAATTGCTTGTGCTGATGCTGGCTTGACTTTGTTCCAGTCGAACCAAAAGTGCGAGGCAAAAGCCAGTGTCAAAGAGCTGCTGAGTGGGATGACTTCATGAACCATTCAACCCCGCCTTGCACCTAGCTCGACAGGCAAACCGGATAAGCAGAGCAAAACAGCAAACGCAAGTTAAGCTCAACCATCCCAGTTACCCGGCCAGCCGGCATCGTTGGGAACGAAAACGATTCTCAATCAGAAGCCGAGAAGAGAGAAACATCCCACCGCGGCAATGCCTGAGCTGAAGACGGTGTGCTAGAGGATGACGGCTTGTACCTCCACCAGCCTGCCAGCTTGACACCGGTACCTGGATGAACTCTCTCACCCGCAGCTCATAGAGACGTAAATACCTCCGAGCAGGATAGCGAACAGGAGAGAGAGCCATTGGTAACCCACGGTGCGGCACGAGCAGGCCAGACGAATGCACGTCAAAACCCCGAGGCCGCTGGCCATTGGAGCGACAAGGGAGGTACCCTGGGAAGGGGGGCAACGACAGCAAGCTGGCACAGCTGTATGGAGTCGTTTGTCTGGCTGTCGGCGGCCAAGTCACCGTCCCCCACTGGCCCACGTTGTCCCTTGACAACCCTTCGGAAGCTCGTGGAATCTTGCGTCCACCGGGGGCGGGGGGATGGTAGCTTGGACAGATGAGTGGATGGTACAGCAGCGGCGACGGCGGCGGACCGGCGGTGGACGAATCGAGTGACGTGACGTGACAAGCCGTAAAGGAAAGGCAACGCATCGGCCATCGACGAGCATCAAAACATGCAACAGCCGAAGGCCAATGAAGCCGTCCAGTCTCCCCGGCATGAACTATGGCACCATCCATAGCGGCGGCGTCACCGTGGGCTGGTGCTCTCGAGTCTCGACGCTGTTGCCAGTGTGTTGCCATACAGGAGAAGTCCAGGCCTGTGCTCGTGCGTGGAGCTTTGCTCAAGATGCCAGGTAGACTCAATGGCTCTTGTGGCAGCATATCAAGCTGCAGAGGCTGGTTGGCAAAGCTTTACCGTCCATTCTGACAGCCCAATTGGCTTGCATGAGAACCGCATTGGCCGCACAACCAGCTCTGGTAGCTCCGACGACTTTCATGTGGAAATGGGCAAGGTAGGTAAGGTAAGGTGGATGATGGGCAGCTTGGTAAGGGGAAAGGGAAGCTTGTGCTGGATGCAGAGAGAACAGGAGTATGACGAAAGGAACTAGTTTTACACACCTCAAAGAGCAGGATTACACAGTCTAAGTGTTGGTACAGTTACAGAGTAATAAAAGTGAGATGAAATTTTGTTGATACACACAGAGGTTGATGAAAGTCGCTGATGAGAGAAGAATTGAATCTTTGCTGTCTTCTCAGGAGAAAAAAGTTTTGGTGAGGTCAGGGACTTCCCAAAGGGGGCGGAAGGTCACGGCACGGCGCGGGATCAACCTGAGGAACACATGTTCGGCTCAGGTCATCTACGGAGTAGGTACGGTCTGGGAATTGGAGCACGGGCGCCCACGTCTGTCAATTGGAGATGGACAGCTGTCGGAGCTCGAGGCCTCGAATTATTTTGCACCTTGTCATCCAAATTGAAAACAAATCATGAATTACTTTATCTACAGTCAAAGTAAGTCATTCGCACTCGAGGAACACGATTAGCTGAAACTCGGACAGCTTCATTCAATTGGTGGTTTCTGGGAATATCTCATGGAGAAACAGTAGCTGTTCCGAGTCAAGCTGTGAGCTGATCGAGGCGTCGACGTACCTTAGGTAGTACGTACCGACCAGGGAAGCTCTTTCCTCCTCTCCCGCTGCCCACTGACGCTTTCCAAATTCCAGCGAGTTGCCAGAGGTGTAACACGTGACTCGGTACCATCATTCCCCACATCTCCTTTCCCTCAGACTGAGCCAATCTTATCTCATCCACGCGGTACGTACCCCCCTGCCGCCGCACTGCCCGAGACCGATTGACCTGACTGAGCCTGGGCCTGAAAGTTCCAGGGTGGCCAGGTCGCTGGATTGCGCTTCTCTTTGAAACGTCGACAAAGAATCATAGGAGCATCGCGTCTTCGAGTTTACCACCCTCACCTGTGCCTTTGGGCTTCTTGCTTGCCATTCATCAAATCCCTCCCCATATTCAACCCGTTACAACCGCCAAAATGGATTGGAACAACCTCAGAGACACGGTCTCCAACATGACCCTGTACGACGTCAAGGCTGGCGTCAGAAAGGTCCAGAATGGTAATCACTAACCGTCCAGTCCAATCCATTGCTGGTCGCATGCTAATTGCGCATAGCTGTTATGAACTACACGGAAATGGAGTCCAAGGTTCGTCCATTGAATAATCAGTCTCGACGTATACTCCAGTCCGTCTAACAGGTCCTAGGTCCGAGAGGCTACCAACAACGAACCTTGGGGCGCGTCCTCATCACTGATGCAAGAGATTGCCAACGGCACCTTCAACTAGTAATCTACACCGAACCGAAGCATACAATCCAACGATACTGACGGACCACCAGTGCTACTCTTAACGAGATCATGCCCATGATTTACCGTCGGTTCACAGAAAAGTCCGCCGAAGAGTGGCGGCAAATCTACAAGGCTCTTCAGCTTCTCGAGTTCCTGATCAAGCACGGCTCCGAACGAGTCATCGACGATGCCCGCGGCCATATTACACTACTCAAGATGCTTCGCCAGTTCCACTATATCGACCAGAACGGGAAGGACCAAGGAATCAACGTTCGCAACCGTGCCAAGGAATTGGCCGAACTTCTCGGCGATGTCGAGCGCATCCGGACCGAGCGCAAGAAGGCGCGGGCCACCAAGAACAAGTACACCGGTGTTGAGGGTGGAATGAGCATGGGCGGTGGATTCTCAAGCGGGAGCGGCAGTCGCTATGGAGGCTTCGGAAGCGAGACCGGAGGCTACGGTGGCTACTCCGGAGGCGTCTACGGAGATGGTGGTGGATTTGGCGGAGAGGAGAGCAACGATTACGGCAAGACACAGTCACACGGAGACAAGTTTGAGGAGTACGACGAGTTTGATGACACTCGCCCCGCTGCCAGCTCCTCGTCGTCTCGATCCAAGAGACCAGAGCGGGCTGCTGCTGCCGCTCCCAAGGCGGAGCCACCCAAGAAGAAGGAGCCTGAAGTCGATCTCTTCTCCTTTGACGACCCTGCGCCGTCTTCTATGCCAGCCCCCGTTGCCCCGGCCCCATCCAACGGCTCCGGTTTTGCCTCCCTGTCTGCTGCTCCGGCGGCTTCCAACGATGACGATGACTTCGACGACTTCCAGTCCGCACCGTCGGCCCCCGCAGCAGCAACTCCCATGTCCCCTCCCGTCATGACAGCCAACTCTGCCACGACTTTCGCCGCTCCTCAGCCGGTTTCTGCACCTCAACAGGCCAATATTGGCAACATGGTCAGCATGTCTTCCATGTCACCCGCCCCAAGCGCCAACTACTCAGCCTTCAGCACCCCCGCCGTCGCTTCTCCCGCGGCACAGATCAAGCCTACTGGATACCAGCCTTCAGGGCCCAACTACTTTGGCTCAGTTCAGACTGCGGTCCCGCAGGCCACTGGCGGCTCTTTCGCATCTACTCCTGGTGCTTCGGCGGCGGCGAAACCAGCTTCAGCTGCTGCTAAGCCGGCCGCTGCCGGTGGTGATGCCTTTGGTGCCCTCTGGTCACAGGCTAGCTCCGGTGTGAAGAAGACGAGCACACCCACTGCTGGCCCGGCCTTGGGCCAGCTTGCGAAGGAGAAGAGCAGTGCCGGAATTTGGGGTGCCCCTGCTGCGGCGTCGACACCGAAGCCTGCTGGAAACTCATCCTCCACCGGCGGAAACCACGGCCTGGACGACTTGCTTGGTTAAGCCTACTATAATGATACAAAGACGCGGAGACGAAGAACCGGCGTGGAAAAGACGGAGCCTACTCAGCCTTATAGCACCACTGGCCAAGCAGCAACACAAGACAGAGGCCGCCGCGGTGATGATAAGGCAAGGAGACGTGTGCTGATAGGCTTCTTTACCTAGGCGTATCGGCAGGCAAAAGAAGACTGCAACGCGTGAACCATATACTGAAATTTCAAGCGAACCACATTCAACACTCGTGTCCTCAACGGTCTTTCCACCTCGTGCAATGTGACATCATTCTCGTAGGCTTGCAGCTGTCTTTGCGTGTCTTTGCGTGTTGATGAGGCGACCTTGATGACTACGCATGTCCTGATCGTCGGGGCATGACATTTGCAGGACTCACAGCCCTCTGCGGCCGATAGCGCGACCTTCTCATGCGCCCACGATCCGAAGCAAGCCGTCTTTACTGTCAACTTGGGAAGGGACGATTGAACAAGGTCTAGACCGTGTCGAGCACTCTATCGCGAACTCTTTATTACAGGGACCCGACTGACGCCAAGTCGATCATCAGCGGACCGACCGTCCGCGGGCCAACCACCGCCGTCCCGCGGCTGTGGGAGGCTCAAGAGGTTCAAGAGGATCAAGAGGCTCAAGGACCAGTACAGAGATCCTCGCGCATACAGGACGCGTCAAACCAACAGAGGCCCAGGAACAAGACCTGTACGGACCTCAACAATAAAGCATCATGGAGCCAAGATATGCGGCCTGGGCCAGCAACCGCCAGACCTAGTTTCAGGTCCGGTACCTGCATGTCTTTGGGACCTGTGCTAGTTCGTATGAACAGGCGCCTCAGCCTCCGCCATCGTCGTCCCACCGTGGTCGCGTTTAGTGTTCTACTCAATTATTAGTTCAAGATACAGAAAAGGCATGGAGGTCCACCAGGTCGAGGCCAAGGTGGAAGCTAGGTGAGTTCCCCGGGATCAAGCAGACCCAATCATGTCCATCTAGCTCGATTTCAAAACAGGCGCGCAGCCATCCAATACGATCACCCAGGACCTGGCTCGATGACAGCCAGCCATTGGACGCGCCTATTTCCTTCTCCACAGCTTTGATGAGAGATGCCAGAAAAGAAAAAGAGCCTGGCGCTGCATGTCCAAGAGCCTCCAATTTCCCGGAGCCGTGTGGCCCCGTCGTAAATTTCGTACCCGCGTCGCTTGTCCAACCTCTCCGGAACTCCACCGCCGTTAAGCGCCGCGCCGCAACCCCGGCTGTTGACGATGATTGGCCCAACCCAGCGGCTCATCATACCTAGCCGAACGTCGTGCCGTCCAGGATGCGGGAGCCGTCCAAGGGTCTAGGGCGAACCACTCACTCACTGCTTTGCACAGAGGTACGGCAACTGACGTATCTCATGCAGGAACCGTAAGGTACCTCGCCGTATCTTGACGTTCATGGGCTTGGGGAATTGATGTCTAGAGGCCCAGACCGCGAGAGCTCGAATTAGCAACACAACAACAATGCAAGGCAACCTCAGGTACCATTTGCAGGCCAGATGAACCACAGGGCTGGTTACTGGGCTGGTTGAAGATGTTGCTTTTTTGCAGATGCAAGATGTATAAAGACGATTGATCTCATCCGTCTCTTCGTCTTGAGTTTCTTTCTGTTCCTCATCAACATCACAATCACAAGTCTTTACAACAACCTTTCGTCTTTTTCCTTTTTTCTCTCTCTTTTCCTTATTTCCTAGGTCAATTTCCTTGGTCAAGTTTAGGTCTCATCTCTCTCTATCTCTCTCTCGTCTATCTCGGTCAGAACTCGATTTTCATTTCGCATTTCCCGACTTTCCTTTCTAGGTCACGACAGACAAACGGAAACGAAACGAAAACACACGATCTTGAACGAAGGTTACTTTCTCTATCGATTCATCGAAATCACCTTTCACAACTCTCTTTTTTCACAGAGTCTCATTCTATCCACGCTATACTCTTCGTCTTTTAAGAACCAATACAAGTCGCTAAACCAAGCGACTTACGACACCTCCTCCAAAATTCCTTCCTCAACCTCCCTCCCGTCGCCCACCGCCAGCATCCCCTTTCCGCCCCGGAAATTCCCCGTCCGCACGGCGCTCCACTTCCACGCCCCGCGCCCGAAGCTCACCCTCGTCACCCCCGTCTCCCTGGCCCGCGACTTCGCCGCCCGGAAGCACAACAGAAGAATGGGTTCCGCTCCTCGCCTCGGCGCCCTCGGGCACACCTTCACCGCCATGCGCGCCATGCAGTTCGTCTCGCTGGTGTCCATCATCGGCATGGTCTCCAACTTTATTTCGGAGATTAACGGTGCTGATGCCGTTCCGCCTTCTGTTTTGATCGGCACGCTCGTTATTGTAAGTCATGCACCTTCTACACTGAATCGTCCCGGAGAATGGCCATGAATTCGTAGATTGGAAGAACGATAGCTGACACCATCCAACAGTCCTGCATCGCAACCCTCTACATCTCAATCACCTACATCCTCTACTACGACAACATGCTCCCCCTCCTCCTCGCCGCCGGCGCAGACACTTTCTTGCTGATCGCCGTCATCGTCGTCGCCTGCCTCCTCG